GTTATGTGTTGTCTCATGCTGGTGTAGCCTAGTGTTGTCTCATGCTGGTGTAGTTATGTGTTGTCTCATGCTGATGTAGTTATGTGTTGTCTCATGCTGATGTAGTTATGTGTTGTCTCATGCTGGTGTAGTTATGTGTTGTCTCATGCTGGTGTAGCCTAGTGTTGTCTCATGCTGGTGTATTTATGTGTTGTCTCATGCTGGTGTAGTTATGTGTTGTCTCATGCTGGTGTAGCCTAGTGTTGTCTCATGCTGGTGTAGTTATGTGTTGTCTCATGCTGGTGTAGTTATGTGTTGTCTCATGCTGGTGTAGTTATGTGTTGTCTCATGCTGATGTAGTTATGTGTTGTCTCATGCTGATGTATTTATGTGTTGTCTCATGCTGTTGTAGTTATGTGTTGTCTCATGCTGATGTAGTTATGTGTTGTCTCTTGCTGATGTAGTTATGTGTTGTCTCATGCTGGTGTAGTTATATGTTGTCTCATGCTGATGTAGTTATGTGTTGTCTCATGCTGGTGTAGTTATGTGTTGTCTCATGCTGATGTAGTTATGTGTTGTCTCATGCTGGTGTAGTTATGTGTTGTCTCATGCTGATGTAGTTATGTGTTGTCTCATGCTGATGTAGTTATGTGTTGTCTCTTGCTGATGTAGTTATGTGTTTTCTCATGCTGGCGTAGTTATGTGTTGTCTCATGCTGATGTAGTTATGTGTTGTCTCATGCTGGTGTAGTTATGTGTTGTTTCATGCTGATGTAGTTATGTGTTGTCTCATGCTGGTGTAGTTATGTGTTGTCTCATGCTGGTGTAGTTATGTGTTGTCTCATGCTGATGTAGTTATGTGTTGTCTCATGCTGGTGTAGTTATGTGTTGTCTCATGCTGATGTAGTTATGTGTTGTCTCTTGCTGATGTAGTTATGTGTTGTCTCATGCTGATGTAGTTATGTGTTGTCTCATGCTGGTGTAGTTATGTGTTGTCTCATGCTGGTGTAGTTATGTGTTGTCTCATGCTGATGTAGTTATGTGTTGTCTCATGCTGATGTATTTATGTGTTGTCTCATGCTGTTGTAGTTATGTGTTGTCTCATGCTGATGTAGTTATGTGTTGTCTCTTGCTGATGTAGTTATGTGTTGTCTCATGCTGATGTAGTTATGTGTTGTCTCATGCTGATGTAGTTATGTGTTGTCTCATGCTGGTGTAGTTATGTGTTGTCTTATGCTGATGTAGTTATGTGTTGTCTCATGCTGATGTAGTTATGTGTTGTCTCATGCTGGTGTAGTTATGTGTTGTCTCATGCTGTTTTAGTTATGTGTTGTCTCATGCTGATTTAGTTATGTGTTGTCTCATGCTGATGTAGTTATGTGTTGTCTCATGCTGATGTAGTTATGTGTTGTCTCATGCTGATGTGGTTATGTGTTGTCTCATGCTGATGTAGTTATGTGTTGTCTCATGCTGGTGTAGTTATGTGTTGTCTCATGCTGATGTAGTAATGTGTTGTCTCATGCTGTTGTAGTTATGTGTTGTCTCATGCTGATGTAGTTATGTGTTGTCTCATGCTGGTGTAGTTATGTGTTGTCTCATGCTGGTGTAGTTATGTGTTGTCTCATGCTGATGTAGTTTTGTGTTGTCTCATGCTGATGTATTTATGTGTTGTCTCATGCTGTTGTAGTTATGTGTTGTCTCATGCTGATGTAGTTATGTGTTGTCTCTTGCTGATGTAGTTATGTGTTGTCTCATGCTGATGTAGTTATGTGTTGTCTCATGCTGATGTAGTTATGTGTTGTCTCATGCTGGTGTAGTTATGTGTTGTCTCATGCTGATGTAGTCATGTGTTGTCTCATGCTGATGTAGTTATGTGTTGTCTCATGCTGGTGTAGTTATGTTTTGTCCCATGCTGATTTAGTTATGTGTTGTCTCATGCTGATGTAGGTATGTGTTGTCTCATGCTGATGTAGTTATGTGTTGTCTCATGCTGATGTAGTTATGTGTTGTCTCATGCTGATGTAGTTATGTGTTGTCTCATGCTGATGTAGTTATGTGTTGTCTAAAGCTGATGTTGTTATGTGTTGTCTCATGTTGATGTAGTTATGTGTTGTCTCATGCTGATGTAGTTATGTGTTGTCTCATGCTGGTGTAGTTATGTGTTGTCTCTTGCTGATGTAGTTATGTGTTGTCTCATGCTGATATAGTTATGTGTTGTCTCATGCTGATGTAGTTATGTGTTGTCTCATGCTGGTGTAGTTATGTGTTGTCTCATGCTGATGTAGTTATGTGTTGTCTCATGCTGATGTAGTTATGTGTTGTCTCATGCTGGTGTAGTTATGTGTTGTCTCATGATGGTGTGGCCCTGTGTTGAATCATTGTGTTGTTGTGTTTGCTGTTTCTAATACTTAATGCACGATTATTTCTCAGTACTTCCAGGTACTTGCCAGTACTTGTCAGTACTTAAAATGGCTGCATAAATGGAAAAAGTGTGAGGGGGGGGGTATGTCAACTGATGAAATGCTTGCAGTAATACCACAGATCGTTTACCTGTACAGGTACACATGAAGTCCAAGAATGTCTTGAAGGTCAAGGTGAGGCAGATCTACACACACACCTGATAAAATGTGAGAAAAATCCTGGCCATGAAAAGTTTATACCTGTAAATTACCTGTCGTTTGGATGCAATGACAACGACCTGTGTGACTTTATAAAAGCTGTGGCTGACTTAACCGTGAGGATAGCCGTTAACTTCACCAGTCCAGACAGACCAGAGTTTATCCCACGCACTAAAGATCCATATCCTTGCTACACCACCAGGGGACAGAACTCACTGAGGACAGGGACGGGGAGGGTGGTTAGGGTAACCAAGTACACAGAGGGAATGGTCGGCTATAGAACTTGTCCATGTCCTGAATGTGACCACTCGGACACACCCAGCCGGGGGTGGTGGGAAGTGTACGTTCAGACAGCCAGACATGTGGTTTATGATTCCAGTGAGGCGAGACAGTCCAGGTGTAGGTTGTGGTTTGATGATGATCAAAGTCCATTGGTCAACATTTATGGGTGGAAGGTGTGTGGGTCGTCCGACACGGAGGGAGATGTGTGTCACTTGTATTGTGCGACACATGACACAGAGGTGGGCGACACACTGGAGAAGATGGTGGCTCGGTTTGGTGGGGTATGGAGGGAGGTAAGGGACAAATACAAAAGTCGTAGAGACGTGGACAAGCTGACCATTATAGTGTCACATCCTCATGGCTGTTCTAAGCAGGTCTCTGTAGGTCACTGGGTGGACAGGCAGGTGGTGATGGGTCGACGGACCAGGTACACGTACACAACGTGTACCTGTCCAGGTAGCAGTGGGGCTGTCGTCTACAGACTGGGGTGTGACTGGTCTTACCACCCCCATAGTGGAGCTAACTCTAAACTTAATTCAGGTCAGTTAAACTATAGTGGAGTGTACTTTGATTAAATTATGGTGGATTATACAATAGTAGAATGTACTTTGATTAAATTCTGGTAGTTTAAACTATAGTGCAGTGTTGCTTCATGATCTTCTCGCTATAAACAAGAAAATGTGAAACATCTTTAATTGATTAGATATTTGCTACCTTGGACTCTTTTAATGTGGAGTATTTGTTTGTTTTTTATGTGTTTATTTTAGAATTTGGTAAAATATTAAAATTGAAGCTTTGTGAATAAATTTAATTTAACCACATTTTTGTGTTTAGGTTATCTTTGTAAAATTGTTTTTTTTATTTCTGTAAACAAAGAGAGAACAATATACAGGACAGCTGAGTTGGTCCCACTTTCATTGGTCTAAAGTCTTTGTGATAATGACCAATCTCATTCAGGTGTCCAGTTGTGGTCACTTCTCACAGCCCTCTAGTCAGATACCAGCTGATATAGATGTGCTAGATGGTTCAAGAAGTTAAACAAACAAATATATCTGTTGCAAGTTGTTTTAATAACACCAGGAGACACAAGCTGTTTTAATAACACCAGGAGACACAAGCTGTTTTAATAACACCAGGAGACACAAGCTGTTTTAATAACACCAGGAGACACAAGCTGTTTTAATAACACCAGGAGACACAAGCTGTTTTAATAACACCAGGAGACACAAGCTGTTTTAATAACACCAGGAGACACAAGCTGTTTTAATAACACCAGGAGACACAAGCTGTTTTAATAACACCAGGAGACACAAGCTGTTTTAATAACACCAGGAGACACAAGCTGTTTTAATAACACCAGGAGACACAAGCTGTTTTAATAACACCAGGAGACACAACATATTTTAATAACACCAGGAGACACAACCTGTTTTAATAACACCAGGAGACACAACCTATCCTGAGAATGACACCAGGAGACACAACCTATCGTGAAATTAATTTATCGATCTGCTATCGACACTAATAATCAATATTCTATTTTAGGAGCTTTTGTAATAGCAGTACAACAACAAAGCGGTGCCATATTTTAGCTCTAACAAGAGTCTAACATCCCCACATAGGTGAGTCTAACATTACCACACGGGTGAGTCTAACATTACCACATAGGTGAGTCTAACATTACCACACAGGTGAGTCTAACATTACCATACAGGTGAGTCTATCATCACCACACAGGTGAGTCTATCACACAGGTGAGTCTAACATCACCACACAGGTGAGTCTAACATTACCACACAGGTGAGTCTAACATTACCACACAGGTGAGTCTAACATTACCACACAGGTGAGCCAAACATCACCACACAGGTGAGTCTACTTATCATTTAGTTAATGGTTAACCAACCTATCTTCTCAGTCACACACCCAACCCCTTGTCCAACCTATCTCCATACACCCAACAACGAACCAACCCCTTCTTAACATCCATCCTATCTAGTTTCCAAGCTGATGGGAACAATTTGCCGTCATGTTTAATATTACAGATGGTCCATTGAATATTTGGTAATGATGTAGTTGTAATCGTTTTATCTTTGTTTTACCGACAGAAAATATATGTTACTTGTGCACACAATATGGCTTGTCAAGAAGACGATTCACAACATTTCAAGGGTAATCTTTACTTATTTGTATGTATATAGTGCATGTCACAAGATTTTTGATTAAACGGTTCTCGTGTTCTGGTAGTGGTGTAGTTATTGTGTGGAATCATTCACTGGTATTTTAAAAGACTACCCGTTATCCATGGATAACTGTGGGTTTCGTGGGTTATCCATAAATGACATCACTCCTTTCACTTATCGTCACAAAGAAAAACCAGACCCCACATTCAAATAGACGTCACACCTCAGACGTTTTTGTCTTTTAAAAACACCTATTTCGGCTGCGCATGTGTCTGACCACACTATCCCTTCATATGCTGAGGTCACAAAAACAGGTAAACTCTACTTCACCTGCCATGTGTCCCGCCAAGTCCCTTGAGGCAACTTTATCATTCACAATTTTTAAATTATCATCTTAGCTATTTAGGCACTTTAGCGTAGAAGCTGGGGTATTTAGGAAACTTAAGTTACGCAAATAGGCCCTATTATTTCAAATAAAATTATATCCCAAATTAGCCAGTTCCATAAGGTAAACAAACAAATATTTATATAAAATAATTAAGGCATGCAATAGTTTAGTATAAAAACTCATTATTGGCATAGGTTCTAGATCTAGATAGAGCTAGATCTAGATGTAGAATCTACGGATTAAGTCTACTTTTTTCCGTAGATCTAGATCTAGAACCTATATAAATCACATGTATTCTCGAATATATTATCATTGAAGCTAAAAAGCAAAGATTTATATCAAATATTTAAGGACTAACATAGTTTAATAAAGAAACTCAATAATTTATTGCGATTTTATAATTGTTTTTATTTTTAACTAATTAATTTTGGTTTGACCTAGATCTGGATTCCAGATTTTAGATCTAGGATTGACTTTCCCTTCGTCCGACAGCTTATCTGTAGTTTTAGAGAAATTTATTGTATAATCAAATTAGAAGAACTGTTGAAAATCGATAATAGTGTTGGAATCTAATAAAAATAGAAAACGGACGTATCGTTAAAGCTATAGCCGACAGAAAATTAGTTTTATAATACGTTAAACTTTTGAATGGGCACCAAAATCTTTGATGGAAGCCGCCATTATTGTTATAAAAAGTAAATAAATCATGTGACGTCACTTTAAGTAAAGTCATTGTTCTGAACTTTTAAAATTAAAGTGGTTAATCTACCAATGAATATATCAATAAATAAATTATCGTCTTTAAATTAATTTGTGATTAACAGTTTGGTCAAAAAGAACATTGTTCTCTACCTAAATGTATATTTTACAGCTCTACACATAGTGCAGATTCTCTCCTGTAACCAAGCAGACAATAATAAACAGTGGCGTAGCGTGGTCGGGTGTCAGCCGGTGCGGTACTTAACGGGGACAAACTTTCAATTTTCGATTTGCACCCCCCCTCAAATTTTTCTCTATATATTTTACTATTTTTTGCCTTGCTGTCACCCCTCTAAATGGTGTCACCCGGTGCGGTCCGCACCCCCCGCCCACCCTTCGCTACGCCTCTGTAAATAAATATACAAACATGTAAACAAACTTGAGTTTTAGTAGTATATAGATACATAGATAGAAAATAGATATATTTCTTGTCTATCTGTTCTTTTAAATGTTAGCTATCAAGTCTTTAAACCCAATCTTATACGGTAAGCACCTATGCCAGTTCCTTAAAATGTGCACGTCAATCTCCTACTACAATTCGATAACATCTACACACTTAATTGAATAGATTAATCAATTAAAATTAGTCATCAATTTAAATGTGATATGAAATACAATATAGGAAGATAATAGCCAGTCTGTTTATCCATTTTCCCATGGGCTATGTAGAGAAGGTCGTCAATCAAACATATTGAAAAAAATACTTAAAGCGATAAATATTTAAATGACCAAACGAAATAAAAGAACACATTCATTAACCATAAAACTAAAAGTAAATGCTTGGTTACTGAAGAGATATGTTTAATACATTTTGGCGTACATGTTTTTTCTGTAAAGATCAGCCCATTTGTTAGTGTATTTAAGGTGTTTTTATCTATTTTATTCAAACTGTGGTTATTATTTGCATTGTAGTGATCGTTGCAGAATTTGTATTTTAGTTGCATAAAGGTGTTTAACGTCTTAGTGAATGATTAGAGCAGTATAATATTTACCTGTACAGGTACGCACGAAGTACAAGAATGTCTCGAGGGGGAAGCTGAAGCAGATCTACACACACACTTTGCTGACTGTACGAAAAATCCTGGCCATGCAGGGTTTATACCTGTAAACAAGTTCACTGTTGGACACTTTCCATCTGGTTACCATGACAACGACCTTTATGAACTCACAAAAGCTGTAGCTGATATCACGGTTAGTATAGCCGTTAAGTTCACCAGTCCAGACAGACCCGAGTTTGTGCCAGGCACTCAAGATCCATATCCTTGCTACAGCTCCAGGGGTAAGAAGCTATTGAGGACAGGGACGGGGAGGGTGTTTGCATTGACCAAGTACACAGAGGGCATGGACCGGGCAGACGGCGACTACAGAACTTGTCCATGCCCTGAATGTGTCAAGTCTGCCACGCCCAGCAAAGTGTGGTGGGAAATTTTTGTGCAGACAGCCAGACATGTGGTGTTTGATGAGAGTGAGGCGAGACAGTCCAGCTGTAGGTTGTGGTTTGATGATGATCAAAGTCCAGTGGTTAAGATGTGTGGGCTGGGGATGGACGTATCAGTCACTGAGGGAGATATGTGTGACGTGTACTATGCTACACATGACGTACAGGTCGGTGACAGACTTCAAGAGATGGGGAAGCGATACAGTCAACTCGGTGGGAAGGTCATTCAAAAATACAGGGATGGTAGAGATGTGGACAAGCTGACCATCATAGTGTCACATCCGCATGGCTGTTCTAAGCAGGTCTCTGTAGGTCACTGGGTTCACAGGGAGGTACTGGGCGACGATGGCAACTACAAGTTTACCAAATACAGGTATACGAACAGTACCTGTCCAGGTAGCAGTGGTGCTCTGGTATACATTGTGGGGTGCTGGTCGGTCCACCCCCACAGTGGGTCAAAACCTGATGGAATCAACTACAGTGGCGTGATGTTGGAATAAAACATTAATGAATCAACTACAGTGGCGTGATGTTGGAATAAAACATAAATGAATCAACTACAGTGGCGTGATGTTGGAATAAGACATTAATGAATCAACTACAGTGGCGTGATGTTGGAATAAGACATTAATGAATCAACTACAGTGGCATCATGTTGCAAAAAGACATTATTTTGTTCTCTTTTTTCCACACTTTAAACAACTATCATTATTAATCAGTAAATGAATCGAATGTATCAACATAATATTCTTTATAAAAGTTGTTTTCCTTTTCTATGTAAATTTGGTATTGCAGCTTAACACAATGCATGTAAAATAAAGTATGTAACTAAAATTTATTGTAACATTTCAAATGCAAGGAATCCCTTAGATTTACCCATTATTGATTTCCAATTCTATAATCAAGTTAGTATCAATGTAGTTAGTGAAAATTTTTCTACGTTAGTGTAACACTACTAGGTCAGTGTAAGCAGTTTGATGTCGTAAAAACATGTTTAGGTGGTTGAGTGACGTATTTCAAATCTTATCGCATCATTGTTTGCTTAACAAGAAAGTAGACAGCCGACTCAGAGGCTTTGAAAGAAGATCCCTCCAACGCATCCTCAGGATAAAGTGGGACGACAAAGTCCCAAACAAGGAAATATGGCGAAGGACAGGAATAAACGACATTGTCTCAGAAGTTAGAACGAGGAGATGGAGATGGCTGGGCCATGTCCTACGCATGAGCAAAAAAAGACTCCCCAACATGGCGCTGAAGTGGAACCCACCCGGAAAGAGAAGTAGAGGAAGACCACTGGGAACATGGAGGAGGGAGATGGAAGAAGAAGTAGTGCAGGCTACTGGCAAAACCTGGCATGAACTAAAGTGGCTCGCCCAGGACAGGGTGGAATGGCGGAGATTTGTTGTTGCCCTATACTCCACAGGGAGTGATGAGGATTAAGTAAGTAAGTTTGCTTAATATCTAATTAAATTGTAATTTTCAAACTTATTTAAAACAAAAGAAAGTATGAATGACTGTGGAGAAACTAATCAATATCCAATTATAGAACACTTTGATCACTTTTTAATCAAAGAAACTGTTTAATCTATGAAATTCAATGTTCAACAAATCTATTACTCTGATTGTTTACTTTAAAATCATATTATCGAGTATTTATGTTAAATATATCGTATTGACAATGATTAGGTAATCAGTTTAAATGTTTTGGGATCGTTACTGATGAAAAGATTGTTTTCTTACTTGTATAACTGCTGGTTTGAGGTAGTGTGTGAGGTGTTCATGGTATTGTCATCTCAATGTAATTAATAATCGCCGCTAATTACAATATATCATTCTAAAATATTGAACAGTTTAAGCCGTTAAAATTTATTTAAAATTATAACAACAGTGTATTTTTAAAGGAAACCTTTAAATTGTCTACAATTGTTCGTTATGAAGATTGAAGAAACTTTCTCCTGTCTTAGATTTATCATCAGTGAAATAATATTAATAATACTGCCCATGATATCGTCTTTTACAAAACAAACAACAGTATGGGCCCACACTTTTATGGGCTCACACTTTTATGGGCTCACACTTTTATGGGCCCACACTTTTATGGGCTCACACTTTTATGGGCCCACACTTTTATGGGCTCACACTTTTATGGGCCCACACTTTTATGGGCTCACACTTTTATGGGCCCACACTTTTATGGGCCCACACTTTTATGGGCCCACACTTTTATGGGCTCACACTTTTATGGGCTCACACTTTTATGGGCCCACACTTTTATGGGCTCACACTTTTATGGGCCCACACTTTTATGGGCTCACACTTTTATGGGCCCACACTTTTATGGGCTCACACTTTTATGGGCCCACACTTTTATGGGCTCACACTTTTATGGGCCCACACTTTTATGGGCCCACACTTTTATGGGCTCACACTTTTATGGGCTCACACTTTTATGGGCCCACACTTTTATGGGCCCACACTTTTATGGGCCCACACTTTTATGGGCTCACACTTTATGGGCTCACAGCTAATGGGCCCACACTTTTATGGGCTCACACTTTTATGGGCTCACACTTTTATGGGCCCACACTTTTATGGGCCCACACTTTTATGGGCCCACACTTTTATGGGCCCACACTTTTATGGGCCCACACTTTTATGGGCTCACACTTTTATGGGCTCACACTTTTATGGGCTCACACTTTTATGGGCTCACACTTTTATGGGCCCACACTTTTATGGGCTCACACTTTTATGGGCTCACACTTTTATGGGCCCACACTTTTATGGGCTCACACTTTTATGGGCCAACACAATGCTACCGTCTTATAGGCTTCTACAATACAGTAAGGACTACTCAGTGTAATTTCAAGACAACTGAAATAAGGGGAATTAACTTTCTTTAGTTTAATTTTTGAAAGTATTTCAACAGTTACCTACCCTGTGCTGTTTTAGTCGACTATCGATACATTCATTCATTAAGTGATCGATGAACTGTTTGCCACGGAATGTGTAAAGTATCGTGCTTTGTGTAATGTATCGTGTTTGTGTAAGGTATTGTGTTTGTGTAAGGTATCGTGTTTGTGTAAGGTATCGTTTTTGTGTAAGGTATCGTGTTTGTGTAAGGTATCGTGTTTGTGTAAGGTATCGTGTTTTGTGTAAATTATTTTGTTTATGTAAGGTATCGTGTTTGTGTAAGATATCGTGTTTGTGTAAGGTATCGTGTTTGTGCAGTAAATAAGTAGTATCGATACGTGTCTGGAATAGAAAACATCCCAGAGGATGATAAAAGCAAGTGGAACATCATACACCAACACGCCCGTATTACATTCGTGCTGCAGGTTGCTACACATGTGCTGTACACGTGACACACGAGTGCAATTTCTTTGTTACACACTGCAACACATGTGAAACACGTGTCAGCTGTGTAATCACGGAACACGCCCTAAGAGAGGTGGCGGTCTCAAACAGTCGGTATGATTCAAGACGTGTAAGCATTGCATTCTTTCATGTCAACAACACGGTCTGATTCAAGACGTGTAAGCATTGCATTCTTTCATGCCAACAACACGGTATAGGTTTTTTATTTCCCCTATTCAGTCGGAGCGATCAATGTTCTAATTATAAATAGTTCCATCACACGGTAGTTACAGCGATACCACAACAAGACCACAACAACACGACCAACCAGTGGTGCCATGTACAGGATATAACAGACGAAGGTGGGTGTAGATTGTTTAAGTCGTTTGGCGTTAAATAAATATAATTGTATAGAATGTGTAGTTCCAAGTTTTGTTTTTTAAACTTCATCGTTTGAATATATAGTTTATATTAATGGGCAACTGGACGGTTACATTATTTTACTCACCAAAAAACATGAACAATCAGAAAAATGTCTGTTTACACATTAGGATCAGACATAAAGTAGCGCACCATTGGTGAATGTCAACTTTAAGTATAACATTGCTTTAAGTATAACATTACTTTAAGTATAACACATTTCCTGTTAGCTACTTGTTTCATAGAACGATTGAAATTTTCTGCAGTTTTTATCTAGCCAAGCATTTACTTTTATTACTATGATAGCGTAGAATGTAATCGATTAAAATGGTTTTATTGACAGCAAGCTACCCTACACTGTTGGAGTGAATCTAACGGATGTTTTAATAATCAGATCGATTCGTTCATACGACCACAGGGGTATGGCTTGTGATGAAGACGTATCCAGCTATTTTAAAGGTCATTACATTTTTAGTTTCAAACATCTTTGTGTAAATGAGAAAGGCTTTGAAGACATTGCTCCATTGATGTGGTGTCATCATAAAAATGCTGAGTTGGTATTTTCTCATCGTGAAGCTGTGACTGTTGGTGGTTGTAAATTCTTTCACGTCGTTCTATGTTACAATGAAAGGTTTGTATTGCTAAAACTTGTTTTGTTTACCTATACAGGTACACATGAAGTACAAACATGTCTTGAAGGTCAAGGTGAGATAGGTTTAGCTGGTTATCAGAATCAGTGCAACAAATCACACAAAGGTTTTGTCCCGGTCAATAATTTGACCGTCCAACATTTCCCCCCTGGATACCAGGATAAAGAACTCTATGACTTTACCAAGGCGGTGGCTGATCTAACGGTCAGGATAGTTCTTAAATACACCAGTCCAGACAGGCCAGAGTTTGTACCAGGCACTAAAGATCCATATCCTTTCTACAACACCAGGGGACAGAACTCATTGCGGACAGGGACGGGGAGGGTGTACAATGTGATCAAGTACGAGGAGGGAATGGATGAAAATCTGGGCCCGTACAGAACTTGTCCATGTCCTGAATGTGTCACGTCTGCCACACCACGCAACGTGTGGTGGAGAGTTGATGTGGTGACAGCAAGACATGTGGTGTTTGATGAGAGTGAGGCGAGACAAACAAGATGTCGTCTGTGGTTTGATTACAATAAATGTCCAGTGGTCAACCTCTGTGGGTGGGGGCTGGGTGGGACGGAAAGTGACGGAGACTGGTGTAGCGTGTATTGCTGGAGTCACGACTCTAACTTGTGTGATAAGCTGCAACTCTTGCTGGAGTTGTTCAGTTTTCAGTGGTTTGGTGTCTCCCACAAATACAAACGTCAACGACAAGTTGGAAGACTCGCCATCGTAGTGTCGCATCCCCACGGATGCTGTAAGCAGGTCTCGGTGGGTCGCTGGATACACAGGCAGGTGGTGGTTAATGACTGGACCAGGTACACGTACACAACGTCTACCTGCCCAGGTAGCAGCGGGGCCATGGTCTACAGACTGGGATTTGTTTCTAATCACCCCCACAGTGGGGCAGGATTTCGAGGCCTGAATTATAGTGGGGTGTGTGGTGACCTAGATTAAGTGTAAATTGGTCGTTTGTAGAATTCGACAAAGTTATCACATACATTTCACATTATATTCAATGTTTGTCTATTTTTACAAACTTTTATTTGACTCACTTCTTCTGTCTGTCGTCAGTGTGTCGTCAGTCTGTCAGTCTAGATCGAAACGCCCGAGCAAAATTATGGGCACTTCTAACTGACAGATACGGTTCGTAATTAATATGTGGGTCAAGACATGAAGACAATGCAACATGACATTAAATTTGTCTTATTTGGTTGCCTAATTATTTTTTATGAATTATTAAAAGTGTGTCCAGATTAGTCTCATCTAACTATTCCGCACTATTAGACACGTGTCATTACGTTCGTTAGGTGCACAATGGTTTTTAGTCATGCAACTCTATTGTAAATTTAAAACATTTAAAGTACTGAAAAAGAAATTCATAAAAAATGAAATGTTTTCATGACAAGCTTTTATGTAATAATCCACTAAAAAGTAGAAAATAAAACATACACTACTATTCAAATAACTATAAAGAAAAGCATGGATCTCTTCCTAAATATTAGTAAAGGTATCAAATAGATACTAAAGTGACCCACGCTTTTCTTTATTTAAAGTTATTTTTAAGTTATTTAAATAGTAGTGTATTATTTATTTTCTCCTTTTAGTGTATTATTATATAAAAGCTTGTTATTAAAACGTTTTTATGAACTTTTTTTTAACCTCTCCTTTATAAATCTGACATTATAATCTGCTGTTTTATAGTTGAATTCAGAGGAATAAAACGTTATTAACATTATAACCTGTTTTATAGCTGAATTTATAGGAATAAAAAACTATTTGATGGAATGTATGTAAAAAATATACAATTATTTTTAAACTGTCATATTTTAAAGATGCAGTTTCGTTATTTTCAAATATTTGACACAAAAAAGTATTTCAATGAAAATATTTCCCAAATTACCTACGTAAAACAGATCTTACCACCCCCCCCCCCCCAGCATACTTGCTACAAACGTTTAACTAAAGCTTGTGTTACAATGGTGCTATAAATAGCTACACCTGTGTCTTACCACCAGGTTTTGTGTGACCTGCAGGTACACAGCTATTTATAGAGACCTGTCGTCTGGCTGTTTATTGAAGCGTGATCAGGCACAGAAATCGATTATCGATCATATTTTATAAAATAGACTGATTGCAAATGAGATCATGTTTTGTCAAATATACAAGCTGCAACATGTGTGAGAGGATAACTAGAACATTGTAATCTTAGAGATGAAGACAATTTAAGGATGATAGTGTAATTGAAAGTAGTATAAGTTCCACTTCCGTTTACCAGAAATCACTGAAAATTTGAAACATAACTACAAATTTGATTTTATACTAGTATATGAAATTTCATTAACCTTGCTGTAACGGTACTCACGTTATTGTGTTTGAAGACACACATACACACAGTGGAAGTAGAGAGGAAGCGGGAAGAAAAAACGGCGTTGTTTGGTAATTAAGCTGTTGTATTTTTGAATCAATAAAATTGTGTAAATTACCAGGACAAGAGTTGTTTGGTGTTATCCATCAAACCTTAATAGGCAATAACACAACAGTGATGCGGTTGGTATTTGTCTAGAGTTTGTGCCATGAAGTTGACGGTACAAAAAGGCCGTGACATTTTGGTGTCAGAAGGGAGCGGTGGTCCGCACCGTAAAGTATTAAATTTAATATTGTTGACATTTTGGTATTTGAGTAACTTTTCTTAGACCATAATATGGAGGACTATGCCAAAATGATTGAGTTGGCTGATTCTTTAGGATACACTGGGGCAGAAAAGGCTAAATGGGTTGAAAATAAAATAGCAAATGCTGAAAAGAAGATATCTGATGCAGCTGAAAGGGAAGACAGAGCTTTAGATAGGGAACTAGCTAAAGCTAAAATAGAGGCTTATAAGGTAATAGCCAAAATAGAGGCTGATAAGGAACTAGCTAAGGCTAAAATAGAGGCCGAAGACAGAGAAAAACATAGACAACATGAGCTAGAATTAGCCAAAATCTAAAGTAACAATTCTCAAGAAAGCATTGTTAACAAAACGGACAATTCGAAGCCTAAATTCAGAGCATTTAAACCACAGGAAGAAAGTGTGGAAACTTACTTAATACTCTTTGAGCAAACATGCAAGAGTTTTAATTATTCATCTGCTGGTAAGGCACAGGCTTTATTGACTAACTAGGCATGCTGCCCAGTTTCGCTTAGGCTTTCGAAAACATTGAGAATTTGAATGCTTAATTGATTCGCCCATATAAGGCGCCGGTCAGTCGAGGTCAGTTTTGACCCCCTCATCGTAGACTTTTCGGCCAACCGGCCCCCGTGTTCTGTCGCCCCAAGGCAAGATCCTGCCAAATTCGAAGCGCCTGCGGCGCCGGAAAGTGCCCTATCGGGCACCCGACAACTTAGCTTTATAGATCATCTAGATCTAGATCTAGAATCTCTAGATCTATATGATCTAGAATCTCTAGATCTAAATGATCTAGAATATCTAGATCTAGATCAATATCTAGATCTAGAATATCTAGATCTAGAATCCAAATAGATACAATATTTTTTTAAAGTTTAGGCCGAGAAAATCGTATTGTATACATTTCATAGCGTACATAGCTCTAAATCATATTTGAATGAAATAGTTCATTGAAATAGTTCATTTTTTAAAATTCTAAACTCGGAAGATGACGTCATCAGTTTTGTGCTCTTTTTTATTTAGTGTAAACAATAAGCGACGTCATTGTTAAATGCGTTCCTGTCCCAAGTTTATATACTTTTCCGGTTGCATAAATAATACTGTTTCTCTACATTCGAATACGCCTTTATTTTTTACTTTTCTTCTTTAAATAAAATTGTGGTTATACTTTTAAAACATCTAACATATTATTTTCAACTAAAGTCCGTATAAAGGTATCCATATATCGCTACCGATTCTGACGTGATGTCCGGCGAAAATATTTTGCGGACAGAGAGAGAGAAGTGCGAACGTGTGGATTTATATATTAGGATTTAACAGGAGACTATTGCCATAATAGCAAGTATGTCTGAGGCTGAAAAAAAAGACTATGACCTAGTAAAAGAAAGATTGATGAAACATTTGGAAAGACAGAAGGCTATTACAGAAAGACTATACGAGACGCCAGAATTAACACCACTGGTGACATAAACCAGATCATTTTTGATATTTGCAAATACATGAATAAAAGACTAGAATTGGCAGAGATAGATTTAAAGAATCCTGAGGCAATTATTGAAATTAACCTGATAGATCATGTTTTAAATAATGCAACAGATAGTTCGTTCACTTTTTTGAGTGAAAGAAAAGTTAGGACAGAGAAACAATTAATATAGCAACTTAATATTTTTAAGGATGCACATCCAGGGGCTTTTTTGGACAAAAGAGAGCATGAAGATATTTCAGCAGCAGTCTACAGTAGAAACTGTGGCAGGGATCAAAGAAGGTATGGCAAAAACAATAGAGATAGAAGTAATAGTGTACCTACCAAATGGAAACCAGGCAGATATAAATATAGCAGAAGCACAGAGTGTTACCACTGTGGGAAAACAGGCCATGTAAAGTCTGAGTGTTTCAGCTTACAAAGTAGAGATACATATCTCAGCAATAATAACAGAGGAGGTTATGCACCGAGTAATAATTATAGAAATCAAAGTAATTATTACAGACAAGGACAGTATAGTGGACAAAGTAGAAATAAATTCAACAATCAAGGTAGACAGCCAAGAATGGGACCAGACAACAAGGGAGAAAATAGAAATAGTAGAAATAACAATCAAGAGACATCAGCAGGGGTAGAAGGGTCAGAGACGGTGGCATCTGTTAGTCAAAGCAATACAACACTGAAGATGTTCCCAGCTAAAGTAAACAATGTCAGAGTGATGTGCCTGAGAGATTCAGGTTGCACATGCATTATTGTTAAGAAAAGTCTTGTAAGACCTGAACAATACATTCCTGGCATAATGAAGGTGACATATGCCAACAAGAAATTTAAGGATGAGTGTGAGATGGCAGTAGTTGATATAGATTCTACTTGGCTGAAAGGTAAATATAAAGTGGTGGTCATGGAAGAACCAATAGCAGATATGATTATTGGGAATGGAAAGGAGGTGAAACAAAGTAATGAGGAAGATATAGATAGATGGGCAAGGCAAATTGGAGCAGCGGTTGAGACAAGAACACATAGAAACACTAAAAGACTTACTAGAAAGACTGAGGAAACATGGGGTTACAATAGCACCAGAGAAACTGCATGGGGGAGTACATATAGTAGAATTCTTAGGATTTAAGGTTGGAAATAAAGAAATTAGACCTACTGAAGGAAATAGGGACAAAATATTAAATATCAAAACTCCTAGTACAAAAAAAGAAGTGAAATCATTGTTAGGACTATGCAATTTTTATAATATTTTTGTAGATAAATATGCTGAACTTACTACTCCTTTAAGAGAATTGCTATCCAAAGACAAAGTTAAACTAGTATGGACACAGAAATGTGAAAGTGCTTTAAATAAAATAAAGGCTGAATTCATGAGTGACAAGGTACTGATGTCACCAGATTTTAGTAAGCATTTCCCTCTTTTTACTGATGCATCAAATAGGGCCTATAGCGTTAGGAGCTTGCTTAATGCAAGAAAAGGGTAATAAACTATACCCAGTACAATACCTCAGCACGGCATTATCACCAACAGAAAAAAGATATGCAGTGATTGAGAGAGAGTACCTAGCAATTGTGTGGGCATTGAATAAATTACAGAAGTATTTATTAGGAGGACACTTTACTCTTAGAATAGATCATAAGCCATTAATCACAATCAATAAGAAAATGATAATGAATAGCAAAATAAATAGATGGGCACTGATTTTTATTAGATTTCAAGTTTGAGATAAAAACAGTAAAGCGACAGCACAATACACTAGCTGATTTCTTATCAAGACAGATTGAAGATAAAAAACAACAACATAGAACTGACTAAAGAAAACAATGACCTGAGACATATCAGCCAATCCTTATAAGGAAATTTTAAATAATGTAGTGGGTGATATTTACTACCAGAGAAAATTAATATTTTAAAAGTGTAAACAAGATAGGAATAAGTCATAACATGACTTGTTTAAATATGTTTTACAACTATTTTAATTTAGTAATGAAAATGAACATACATTTTGTTGAATTTCTGTGATTTGTATGTATACTGTATATCTTGTTAAGTAATGAACATGCTTATGGCAGTATGAGTTGACAGATGTGGTAATTTGCATATGTTATGATGAGGAGTTGACCTCAGCCAATGAAGTAGGGAAATCAAGGATATGATTTGCCTATGGGAGCTATTGCATAGCTAAGATTTTGTTCTACTAAGAGAGAGTTTTCCTTAGTTAGATTTATTTTGAGATACACTAAGAGGTAATATTCCTTAGTGAGGTTTAATGAATTTTTGTTATACTAAGAAGAGATGTTCCTTAGTTAGAGTCATTTGTTATTATTAAACTAAGAAGGTTTACCTTAGTTACAATTTTCCTTAATGGCGATACTTATAAGATAAGTGAAGCTTTGCATTTTGCCATGTATTTTATGAATATCATTGTTTCAATTTGGTAAGTGTACATATAATATAAATTAGTATGTTCATTAGCAAGTTTCTTTTTCAATATGATTTTCATTTAACTGTTACATGTATAATGAAGATTTTATAGCGAATGTGATGTATATAAGAAAAAATTAATGAATTAATTTTTTAAAAGGGAGAAAGGGCATATGTAACAGTCAAATGTAAGGTGAATGTATGTTTCAAGTGGAGGTGTAAAAAGGCGATATAAATCTAAAATATATTGTGGGTGGGCGCATGCGCAAAAGAAAGTGGAAGTAGAGAGGAAGCGGGAAGAGAAAATGGCGTTGTTTGGTAATGAAGCTGTTGTATCTTTGAATCAATAAAACTGTGTAAATTACCAGGACAAGAGTTGTTTGGTGTTATCCATCAAACCTTAATATGCAATAACACAACAGTGATGCGGTTGGTATTTGTCTTGAGTTTAAGCCATGAAGTTGACAGTACAAATCGGCCGTGACACATATAAAAACAAAGAGAACGCCCTTATAACATTTTATTGATTAAACTGTTTGAGACGCTTTCTATTCACTGGTTTCCAGTCTACACGTGTCCAGTCAACACGTGTCCAGTCAACACGCTTGTCTAGCCAGTCGCCACTGTTGTCGATGTTTTCTGTGTGATCCAGGTGAGAAAGCTGGACACCTTGGTGTAGAGGCCGACAGACGAGCCGCAGTCTCCCGTACCTGCAGACACGATGCCGTACTCATAGAAGCGGCCGTCTGCTTCTTTACAGGCCAGTGGACCGCCAGAGTCGCCCTACAACATCAGACGATTGTAACAATGTTACATTTAAAGGGGACATTAATCAAATCTGTGATCTACATACGATTGTAACAATTTTACATTTAAAGGGGACATTAATCAAATCTGTGATCTACATACGATTGTAACAATGTTACATTTAAAGGGGACATTAATCAAATCTGTGATCTACAGACGATTGTAACAATGTTACATTTAAAGGGGACATTAATCAAATATGTGATCTACTGACGATTGTAACAATGTTACATTTAAAGGGGACATTAATCAAATCTGTGATCTACAGACGATTGTAACAATGTTACATTTAAAGGGGGCATTAATCAAATCTGTGATCTACAGACGATTGTAACAATGTTACATTAAAAGGGGACATTAATCAAATCTGTGATCTACATGTTGAAGCAGGTGTGTACCAAGCGTGAAAGTAAGAATGCAAATACTAACGCGCAAAAAAAATCTTAGACAATTCAAGTCTTAAAGTTTAAAACGTACACCCAAGGCAGATTATAATAATATTACAACCTGTATATTTTACAAGAAGGAGAGAAGCTATGCACACAGGCTTTACAACCACAGAATACAACCTCACAGGAACATGTGTGTCACAATTCGCTGAGAACATGATCCTAATGTAAATCTTACCTGACAGGAGTCTTTCCCAGCAGACCCAGCACAGAAGTTACTTCCGGTGTAGTAGGTACCGTACGTGGACTGACAGGTGGCGTCAGACACGACAGGTACATCCACCCACATCATGGTGCTCTGGATGGTACCTGTGGTGCTACCTGTGGATGTACAACAGTGAATTAGACCACCACATCATGGTGCTCTGGATGGTACCTGTGGTGCTACCTGCAGATTTTACAAGACAACACGTCATCTACATAGTGACTTCATCAATCAATGTCAGCTAATAAAAAATATCTTTTAGCTCTGGTGTGTCGTATGTCGTCATTAGCTGTGTTTAAATGTACACTGTCAGGTAATGCAGATCGTCGTAACAAGTAGGGAAACATCACAAACTTTTAAAGCAGATTTTGTCGAGAACATTTAACATTGAACTTGACCAATGTACTTAATGATAAAAAAAATAAGTACATTCAATATAAATTTCTGGATTTAAACCAATGACTTTTCCACTAAGGTCAAAGTTATGCACATCACTCACTTCCCCAGACACTTACTGGAGTTAAGTCCCCAGCCCATAGCTCTACAGCCTGATGCCATTTGTGGAGTTTTGGAACCGTCGACCAGACAGATGGGTCTGTGGCACGTGTCAAAGGTGATGGGTGTGGTCAAGGTCAGGATAGCAATATCGTTAGCTGAAACAAAAGTGGATATCACATCTCAACTTCATGATCACGTTGATGAGGATGGTAGAGAGCAACACAAAACACAAACAACTTTCTCTGTGTGGTTCTCTTGTCTCACAGTGCGTTATATTATCAATAGCTGCATACCCGTGCTCCGCCATGGAAAATCTTTTTTAAATGTACCAACATGGGAACAGAACAAAACTAAACACAAACACAAAAGAAAACACAAATACAATGTAAACACAAACAAACATAAACAAAAACAAGAAAATACTCTAGCACACAGCTAGAGGATGGGCCTGTGGCAACCATGGCAGGGTCCAGGTAATTTTTTGCCCAATTAACTTGAATTGGTTAAGGGCCTAAAATCTAAACTGGCCAGTAGAGTTGGGTTCTTTAAAGAAATAAAATCTACAGCCACGAAAAGATTAGATAGATCACGTGATGCCCGGACTGACCAAAGTTTTTGGGGTTGTAGCTCTCGTGTGTGGCGACTGTGGCGACCGGTCTCCTGACGACCCCCGGGACGCTGGTCTCAAACGGCATGACGTTGGACCCCGTGAATACGGTCAGCTCGGTGGCTGAAGAGATGGACGTCACACCGGTCCTGAAAGTTGAGGACAGTTTTCAATCAATAAATTAGACTTGCTCAAGTGATCATGATTAACTATCTATTCTGTAAACTTCAGTAGTAGCTTTCGAATAGGTAGGAAAACTTTTTACGTGGGGTCCTAGTGTATAAAATTAACAAAATTTATTTACGTGGGGTCGTGGTGTACAAAGTTAACAAAACCCTTTACGTGGGGTCCTGGTGTACGAAGTTAACAAAACAAACCCTTTACGTGGGGTCCTGGTATACAAAGTTAACAAAACTGTTTACGTGGGGTCCTGGTGTACAAAGTTAACAAAACCCTTTACGTGGGGTCCTGGTATACAAAGTTAACAAAGCTCTTTACGTGGGGTCCTGGTGTACAAAGTTAACAAAACACTTTACGTGGGGTCCTGGTGTACAAAGTTAACAAAACTCTTTACGTGGGGTCATGGTGTACAAAGTTAACAAAACTCTTTACGTTGGGTCCTGGTGTACAAAGTTAACAAAACTCTTTACGTGGGGTCCTAGTGTACAAAGTTAACAAAACTCTTTACGTGGGGTCCTGGTGTACAAAGTTAACAAAACTCTTTACGTGGTGTCCTGGTGTACAAAGTTAACAAAACTCTTTACGTGGGGTCCTGGTGTACGAAGTTAACAAAACTCTTTACGTGGGGTCCTGGTGTACAAAGTTAACAAAACTCTTTACGTGGGGTCCTGGTGTACGAAGTTAACAAAACTCTTTACGTGGGGTCCTGGTGTACGAAGCAGTGAGCAGCAGACAGGATGTGTGTCTGGTCGATGATGGAGCCGCCACAGACCGTGGAGTAGTAGCTGTTGTAGATCATCACCATCCAGGGATACTCGCAGGCTGTTGTCGTGGTCCCACCCACGATCCTGTAGCTGTTGGCGATACCACACTGGGCTGGGGGGGGGGGAAATAAAGTAAAGGTTAGGATGCCGTTGTTTATTATGAATAACAATCGGAACAATGATGTCGCTAATCGTAATTATTTTATTTCCACACTGCAATAAATGGAATAATAAGAAAGCCCACAAAACTTTAAAAATGCCATAAGTCAAAGCATTCAAATAAAAAACAGATAAATTAAATAATTCTCCCCCTACCCCACTTAGCGATTCAATAACTACTGGTCAGAACGTCTTTATAGGTCTCATAGAAAGCTTCTTTACTTAATTCATTGCAAAATTTTTAGCCCGATAAGTCATTAAAATGTGTTTCACAGGTTCACCAAATTAATGTAAAACATCAACCTGTTGACGAGATCTCTAAGCATTAGACTAAATAGCAGGCTGGGACTAATGGTAAACTTAGGCAACAGAAGAGATAAGCAATGGCTTACTTACATTTTACTACAGATGCAGTTGTTGTTGACTGAGCAACGGTTGTGGTTGGGGCTGGTGTTGTGGTTGTAGCCTTGGTTGTTGTAGTTGGGGCTGGTGTTGTGGTTGTAGCTTTAGTTGTTGTTGTTGGGGCTGGTGTTGTGGTTGTAGCCTTAGTTGTTGTGGTTGGGGCTGGTGTTGTGGTTGTAGCCTTGGTTGTTGTAGTTGGGGCTGGTGTTGTGGTTGTAGGCTTGGTTGTTGTTGTTGGGGCTGGTGTTGTGGTTGTAGCCTTAGTTGTTGTTGTTGGGGCTGGTGTTGTGGTTGTAGCCTTGGTTGTTGTTGTTGGGGCTGGTGTTGTGGTTGTAGCCTTGATTGTTGTGGTTGGTGCTGCTGTTGTGGTTGTAGCTTTAGTTGTTGTTGTTGGGGCTGGTGTTGTGGTTGTAGCCTTGGTTGTTGTAGTTGGGGCTGGCGTTGAAGTGGCTGTTGTGTTCAGCACAGCAGAGTAAATGACGAACTCAGCGTAGCACAGTCCCTTGACCCACAGGTAGAGGTTATCTGGGGTGATGCCGTATGACTGGTTCTGTCGGAATATAGGGGTGAAGTCAACACAGAGGAAGGGTCTGTTGTAATGTGGGGATAACACAGCTAACCAGGCTATTGGATGGGCACTGTCACACTTAACTCAGGTACACAAGCTGCTAGCTGAAGGCAGATCTTCACACACGATAAGTGAAACATGTCAAGTACTGACAAGACAATGGCAACTTTTTGATACAACAAACTAACACAGACAACTGACTTACAACTGACCACTGACTCACAACTGACCACTGACTCACAACTGACCACTGACTCACAACTGATCACTTACTCACAACTGACCACTACCAGACAACTGACCACCACCAGACAACTGACGACTGACTCACAGCTGACCACTTACCTCCACACAGCTGTAGGTGGAGTAGAGTCTAGTGACCTGCACGACTAGGATCATGCTGGGTGTGGTGTTGGGGATGCTGAAGTAGGACTCGGTAGAGTAGCTGACAGACCGACACACCCCCCGGGCAATCTCCACATAAGAATCTGAAAATAAGATAACGTCAAACCACGTGACATATCTAATGAGATCTATCATCACTGCCATGAAATTAATGTTTGATAAAATTCTTGTCGCGTCAGTGAAAACTTTGAAAGTTCTTGATATGATTTTTTTTACAGTACAAAAACGTTACTGAAACGTTTTTTATGCATTCTTTTTTCAGCACCTAAAAAGATTTAATAGAATAGACTTGCATGACTAAAAACAATTGCGCACTCGATGAACACGAAAAATGTACGTATAATAGCACGGAAATACATTTTACAGCAAAGTTTAATTAGTTCTTTAAAAATTAATTACGACTGCAATTATGTCAAAATTGATGTCAGATTGCATTGCCATCGTGTATTGACCCACGTGCCAACTTTCAGAGAAATTGGTCTGTTAGAAGTAGTCGAACTTTTGTTCGGATGTTTCGATCGATGACAGACAAAACATGACAGACAGAGCAAGCAGGTTAAATAAAATATTGTAAAAACACAATTCAACATAGGTAAACCAATCTTGTACACAATATAACTAACACTGTTGTGAGGCCACCAGTCCTAAGACCACCGCCAGAAACGCTACAGAAAATTTCATTTTGTTCTGTCTTCTTCGGTGTAGAGCACGTCGAGACAACGAATGTAGAGAACTGACTGCTGCAGGTTGCTGGGGAATCAGGAGATTTTTATATCGCTCATCACGAGACGGGCTAGTACGTCAATCGACGACCAGATTTCAGAACGTGTTGAACCAGATGACTTAAGTCATCAGATCGATGTGACATCTGACCGAATTCTGACTGGTGCAGGAAATGGATATGTAGCCTGGGAGATCAGGTGTCAATGTCAAGGTCATTCGTGAAATCTTGGGACGGTTTTTGGGGCAAGAGTTTGGTGAGGCTGTTTGTTGGTTGATAGTTTGGTGGAGCTTTCTGTTGGTTGACAGTTTGGTGGAGCTTTCTGTTGGTTGATAGTTTGGTGGAGCTTTCTGTTGGTTGATAGTTTGGTGGAGCTTTCTGTTGGTTGATAGTTTGGTGGAGCTTTCTGTTGGTTGATAGTTTGGTGGAGCTTTCTGTTGGTTGAGAGTTTGGTGGGGCTGTCTGTTGGTTGATAGTTTGGTGGAGGTGTCTGTATGTTGATAGTTTGGTGAAGCTGTCTGTTGGTTGATAGTTTGGTGGAGCTTTCTGTTGGTTGATAGTTTGGTGGGGCTTTCTGTTGGTTGATAGTTTGGTGGGGCTGTCTGTTGGTTGATAGTTTGGTGGAGCTGTCTGTATGTTGAGAGTTTGTTGGAGTTTAGTGGAGATGTCTAATTGTTGAGAGTTTGGTGGAGCTGTCTGTTGGCTACTGTTGTAATTTCCTTCGATGTAATATCCGCATCATCAATAATCACGTAATGAAGAGATACACTTACATGTAATTGTGTAAGCCTACCTCCATATCACTCATCACTCTCCTCTTGTTTTTCCACACTCAATATTTACCATAATGTACATCCCTCCATAGAAAGCCCTCCATTAGGTCATTAGGTCAGTGAGAGATTTTGTACTTCATCGTCTTGATACTTGATACTGATGTTATAAATGGCATCTCAAACTTGTACTTAAATTATCTTATTGTTGGGGCATGTATTTTGAATCTGTAATAGAGTCAACTTACAGTGTATTAAGGTGAAGTAATTGTGGTACAGTCAAGTCCTCTGTCGAATGTTATCCCCTTGTTTGTTTACAAGATGTTTGGTTGGTGTTTGTTTATGATGTCTTGGTGATGTGTGTTTAAAGGATGTCTTGGTGGTGTTTTTTAATTATGTCCAGGCGATGTTTGCTTACAAAATGTTGAGCTGGTGTTTTGGTAAATGGTGTTTAGGTGGTATTTTAAATGGTGTTTAGGTATTATTATTTTTTTAATTTAACTTTGGACACAAATGAGATAGAACCATCACATTGAGATGTTCAAAAAGATATTTAAGAAGATTGTATTTCAGCCAGTGATCGTGAAGATGTAAGCCAATACGGATGTGTTACTTATGGTGTCTTAACTGCCAGTCGTATCACAGACACATCTTACCTGAGGAGACGAACATATTACGTAAGTTAACACCTGTGATCATGTGACAGGTGTTTGAACACAGGTGAGGACCTGTCTGGTTTGCGTGACGTCATGTAACCCAAGTCTCGGGGGTCGGCTGGCGTGTTGACCCACGGGGAAAGTGAGACGTCAATAGACGTCATCACGTGACCGATCTATTGCTTGTCTCATGTGTGTGTGTGTTTGTGTGTGTGTGTGCTAAGTTGGTCTAAGACGTCAATTAAACCGTTGGAATGGTGACATCAACTATATGTATTTTAATGGTGACATCAACTGTATGTATTTTAATGGTGTCATCAACTGTATGTATTCTGATGGTGACATCAACTGTATGTATTTTTAAAGCGCTCCTGTCAAGTCTAATGATATCTTTGCCAGTGTGTTTTAGTGTTTGCACTAGCGTCTCCCTTGATGCCAGAGAAGTAACCGATGGCTGTGCTCACCAGAAACACGAAGACCGCGCAAGTTGGGAACCAACCGTAATTTTTTGTCGGAATAGATGAAAATCTTAGTTTTATTAAAATATATGTGTATATAAAACATTAACGATTGTTTTCAAAATCGATGTGTTTGTAAAAATCAGATTTCCAACTTTTTACCAAATGGATTCAGATCAATTACACAGCTAACTAAGTGTGTTTATGAAGTGGGTTGGAAAACTGTAATCAGGTAAGGCAGTTCAACATTTCTGGTTCTATAATGTATCGTCTCGCTGATGGATAAATAAAATGTATCAGTTTCCTTGTCTTCATTAAAAGTGATGGCAGGTCACTCAGCGTGTGGTCAAGGTCGTTGGTTTCTACTGGTTAGGCAAGGTCAGATGCTTCTAGAAAGAGAAGTTCCAGTCTCGGACTGCCTATATCCCTGGTGTTACTAATGCTGTGTTGTATCTGCGTTGTCTTGTGTACTGTGTTGTATCTGCGTTGTCTCGTGTACTGTGTCGTGTCTATTGTGTCGTGTCTATTGTGTCGTGTCTACTGTGTCGTGTCTATTGTGTCTTGTCTACTGTGTCGTGTCTACTGTGTCTTGTCTACTGTGTCGTGTCTACTGTGTCGTGTCTACTGTGTCGTGTCTACTGTGTCGTGTCTACTGTGTCGTGTCTACTGTGTCGTGTCTACTGTGTCGTGTCTACTGTGTCGTGTCTACTGTGTCGTGTCTATTGTGTCGTGTCTACTGTGTCGTGTCTATTGTGTCTTGTCTACTGTGTCGTGTCTACTGTGTCTTGTCTACTGTGTCGTGTCTACTGTGTCGTGTCTACTGTGTCGTGTCTACTGTGTCGTGTCTACTGTGTCGTGTCTACTGTGTCGGGTCTACTGTGTCGTGTCTACTGTGTCGTGTCTACTGTGTCGTGTCTATTGTGTCGTGTCTACTGTGTCGTGTCTATTGTGTCGTGTCTATTGTGTCTTGTCTATTGTGTCTTGTCTATTGTGTCTTGTCTATTGTGTCTTGTCTACTGTGTCGTGTCTATTGTGTCTTGTCTACTGTGTCGTGTCTATTGTGTCTTGTCTATTGTGTCGTGTCTATTGTGTCTTGTCTATTGTGTCGTGTCTATTGTGTCGTGTCTATTGTGTCTTGTCTATTGTGTCGTGTCTATTGTGTCGTGTCTTCCCTGTCGTGTCTATTGTGTCTTGTCTACTGTGTCGTGTCTATTGTGTCTTGTCTACTGTGTCGTGTCTATTGTGTCTTGTCTACTGTGTCTTGTCTATTGTGTCTTGTCTATTGTGTCTTGTCTATTGTGTCGTGTCTATTGTGTCTAGTCTACTGTGTCGTGTCTATTGTGTCTTGTCTACTGTGTCGTGTCTATTGTGTCTTGTCTACTGTGTCGTGTCTATTGTGTCTTGTCTACTGTGTCTTGTCTATTGTGTCTTGTCTATTGTGTCTTGTCTATTGTGTCGTGTCTATTGTGTCTAGTCTACTGTGTCGTGTCTATTGTGTCTTGTCTACTGTGTCGTGTCTATTGTGTCTTGTCTACTGTGTCGTGTCTATTGTGTCTTGTCTACTGTGTCTTGTCTATTGTGTCTTGTCTATTGTGTCTTGTCTATTGTGTCGTGTCTATTGTGTCTTGTCTACTGTGTCGTGTCTATTGTGTCTTGTCTACTGTGTCGTGTCTATTGTGTCTTGTCAATTGTGTCTTGTCTATTGTGTCTTGTCTATTGTTTCGTGTCTATTGTGTCTTGTCTACTGTGTCGTGTCTATTGTGTCTTGTCTACTGTGTCGTGTCTATTATGTCTTGTCTACTGTGTCGTGTCTATTGTGTCTTGTCTACTGTGTCTTGTCTATTGTGTCTTGTCTATTGTGTCGTGTCTATTGTGTCGTGTCTTCCCTGTCGTGTCTATTGTGTCGTGTCTTCCCTGTCGTGTCTATTGTGTCTTGTCTACTGTGTCGTGTCTATTGTGTCTTGTCTACTGTGTCTTGTCTATTGTGTCTTGTCTATTGTGTCTTGTCTATTGTGTCGTGTCTATTGTGTCTAGTCTACTGTGTCGTGTCTATTGTGTCTTGTCTACTGTGTCGTGTCTATTGTGTCTTGTCTACTGTGTCGTGTCTATTGTGTCTTGTCTACTGTGTCTTGTCTATTGTGTCTTGTCTATTGTGTCTTGTCTATTGTGTCGTGTCTATTGTGTCTTGTCTACTGTGTCGTGTCTATTGTGTCTTGTCTACTGTGTCGTGTCTATTGTGTCTTGTCAATTGTGTCTTGTCTATTGTGTCTTGTCTATTGTTTCGTGTCTATTGTGTCTTGTCTACTGTGTCGTGTCTATTGTGTCTTGTCTACTGTGTCGTGTCTATTATGTCTTGTCTACTGTGTCGTGTCTATTGTGTCTTGTCTACTGTGTCTTGTCTATTGTGTCTTGTCTATTGTGTCGTGTCTATTGTGTCTTGTCTACTGTGTCTTGTCTATTGTGTCTTGTCTACTGTGTCGTGTCTATTGTGTCTTGTCTACTGTGTCGTGTCTATTGTGTCTTGTCTACTGTGTCGTGTCTATTGTGTCTTGTCTACTGTGTCTTGTCTACTGTGTCGTGTCTATTGTGTCTTGTCTACTGTGTCGTGTCTATTGTGTCTTCTCTACTGTGTCTTGTCTACTGTGTCGTGTCTATTGTGTCTTGTCTACTGTGTCGTGTCTATTGTGTCTTGTCTACTGTGTCTTGTCTACTGTGTCGTGTCTATTGTGTCTTGTCTACTGTGTCGTGTCTATTGTGTCTTGTCTACTGTGTCGTGTCTATTGTGTCTTGTCTACTGTGTCGTGTCTATTGTGTCTTGTCTACTGTGTCGTGTCTATTGTGTCTTGTCTACTGTGTCGTGTCTATTGTGTCTTTTCTACTGTGTCGTGTCTATTGTGTCTTGTCTACTGTGTCGTGTCTATTGTGTCTTGTCTACTGTGTCGTGTCTATTGTGTCTTGTCTACTGTGTCGTGTCTATTGTGTCTTTTCTACTGTGTCGTGTCTATTGTGTCTTGTCTACTGTGTCGTGTCTATTGTGTCTTGTTTACTGTGTTGAAACCAACTTGGATGTTGTCCGTTTGGTGATCACACCCTTGAGGGGAGCGTTGAAATGTTAGGATAAAGTTAGGATATTAGGATCCCATCCTGTGGTCATAATTTATCTTCATCGTATTTGTTCGTCTAGTCCCAAGTTGTACGTCTTGTCTGAGTTTATTCGTCTAGTCTGTCGTCTAGTCTATTTGTCTAGTCGGTTTGTCTAGTCTATTTGTCTAGTCTGTTTGACTAGTCTGTTCGTCTAGTCTATTTATCTAGTCTGTTTGTCTAGTCTATTTGTCTAGTCTGTTCGTCTAGTCTATTTGTCTAGTCTATTTGTCCGGTTGTCTATTTGACTAGACCGATATTTCCTATTATAAAGCATGTGCTATAGTTTTATTGACATTTTAAATTATGGACACGAGAATAAATATATTTTATTGTCTAAAACAGCAGATATGTCTACAAATTATTAATATCAATCTGACGGTTATATCTATTATAATGTTTAGGTAATGTTAAGGATTTCACAAGACAGTGAGGTGAACAGGTAAATTTAATTGCGTTCACGTAAACGTAAAGATAAATGAACATAAAATTAACACACTTGTGAGAGAACACTTCCTGCTTATCTAGAGGTAAGGTTTTAAAGCGTTAACCAGGCCATCTGTTGTATGATATCATGCTACAAAACATTCAATTTGTCTTTCAAATATATCTCATGTCTCAAATATGTCCTATATGTCGTAAGTAAATATTACCTATATGGCATTAGTCAGCAATCACAAATTCCATATTCTATAGTCCACATGTTAAATGTAAGGACGCTAGTGAAATAAAAATTAACCTTTAAATTTACAGCTTAAAAAGAAACAAAGATGAAATGGGTGATTTTGATGCCTTTATTTCTTCATGATATCGAACAGTTCACATGAGTCCATTCGAAACTTTGACTTCGCCTAAGCGACCATCGTCATTAATATCTTCATCTGTTCTATCCAGGGGAGAAAACTGGAGACCTTGGTGTAGAGGCCAGGATAGCCACAGTCCCCGGCTACCACGATGCCGTACTGGTAATAGCGGCCGTCTGCTTCTTTACAGGCCAGTGGACCGCCAGAGTCGCCCTACAACATCAGACAGTGGAGGCATTAGACCTGAACAGTGGTCACTTAAATGTAGTAAACATTTTAGACTAATTTCTTTCTAGAACTTAATCGTAACTAGGGTTGTAATATGGAAAACAAACAATTAACTTTAGAAATTAAAGAAATCCAATTCTAAACGTAAAACATAGGTTAAATTCCAAATTCGAACAAAGACATTGATAGGTAAAACAATGACCAATCATCTGAAATGTAAAAAATATCAAAGAGAAGAATAGGAAAGTAAGAATGAAATCCTTTAATTTGCTGCATGCGTAGATTAATTTCTTATTTTGGTTTACACATCATAACTATGTCAAAAACATGTTGAAATGTGAATGTTATAGGCGGTATTATGTGCAAACACTATACAATCACACAATCTGACGAAGTTATAGAAATGTTTCACAACAGTTAGTGCCACCATAGGCCAAGATAAAACATTCACATTGGTATCTTCCATCATTCACCTCGGTAACACATTCACAACACTATCCGCCATGACCCACCAAATAAAACATTCACAACACTATCCCCCATGACACACCAAATAAAACATCCACAACACTATCCGCCACCAAATAAAACATTCACAACACTATCCGCCACCAAATAAAACATTCACAACACTATCCGCCATAACTCACCAAATAAAACATTCACAACACTATCCGCCACCAAATAAAACATTCACAACACTATCCGCCATAACTCACCAAATAAAACATTCACAACACTATCCGCCATAACTCACCAAATAAAACATTCACAACACTATCCGCCACCAAATAAAACATTCACAACACTATCCGCCACCAAATAAAACATTCACAACACTATCCGCCACCAAATAAAACATTCACAACACTATCCGCCATAACCCACCAAATAAAACATTCACAACACTATCCGCCATAACCCACCAAATAAAATATTCACAACACTATCCGCCATAACTCACCAAATAAAACATTCACAACACTATTCGCCATGACCCACCAAATAAAACATTCACAACACTATCCGCCATAACCCACCAAATAAAATATTCACAACACTATCTGTTACCAAATAAAACATTCACAACACTATCCGCCATGACCCAACCAAATAAAACATTCACAACACTATCTGTTACCATTCCCCTAGACCTGACATTATTCCAATGTACAACTAACCCGACAGGAATTGTTCACAGAAGATCCAGCGCAGAAGTTACTTCCGGTGTAGTAGGTACCGTAGGTGTTTTGACAGGTGACGTCAGACACGACTGGTACATCCGCCCACTTTATGGTGCTCTCATAGGTACCACTCGAGCTGGCTGTGGATGGTGATGTGGATGGTGATGTGGATGGTGATGTGGATGGTGATGTGGATGTTGATGTGGATGTTGATGTGGATGTGGATGGTGATGCGGATGGTGATGTGGATGGTGATGTGGATGGTGATGTGGATAGTGATGTGGATGGCAATAGTGATGTGGATGGTGATTAGATGGTGATGTGGATGGTGTGGATGGTGATGTGGATGGTGATGTGGATGATGATGTGGATGTGTATGGTGATGTAGATGGTGATGTTGATGTGGATGGTGATGTGGATGGTCATGTGGATGATGATGTGGATGTGTATGGTGATGTAGATGGTGATGTTGATGTGGATGGTGATGTGGATGGTCATGTGGATGATGATGTGGATGTGTATGGTGATGTAGATGGTGATGTTGATGTGGATGGTGATGTGGATGGTCATGTGGATGATGATGTGGATGTGTATGGTGATGTGGATGTGGATGGTGACAGCTGTGCTGCCTGCAAGATAAGACCACCTGATGACGTCACGGATCTTCTGGTCTGAATTAAACATAAACCGGTCTTACATCAAGCATAATGGATTCAGAGACGCAATACACATCTATCTTGGAATCCAAACTCGAGTCTTTCAAGTTTACAGTCCTGAGCTCTATCGGTCAACCATGGCGTCCCACAATTTACCATTAAATTATGACAAATGAACCATGTTTTAAACAAAAAAAAACTACTTCAGCACAAAATGTAATTCGATTCTGTTTCTCACACCAGACGTAAAATGTTTAATTTTGTTCACTAGGACACTTGTCTATAACTTTTTAACACTTAAAGATAATTCATGTGTACAGAAATAATTAGTTTAAGACATAATACATACCCAGTGCCCGTGCTAACCTCTCATCAGTGTCTCTGGCCACGACAGTACCTTCAAATTAAAAGTGTTTTTAATCTAAAATATATATAAAACTGAAATCATGTGGGTGGGTTACTTTGTTTCTCATCCAATAATGTTTTACTTCATCTTTTATAGGATCGCCGTGAAACATTGGGGAGCTGATGAGAATACTCTAGGGGAGGTTTCCGCGAAAACAAAAATTTACTTTTGAAAGGGCAGCGTCCCGGCAGGGTGCGATTCGGTGCCCCGTGCATTTCCGTTAGCGCTTTGCCACATACGTTCGTTTAAAACAGTCCGATAGACTATGGATAAGATGGGACCTTACTGTGGCGTTGCAACAGTGGACTTCCGAGAGAACCTTCTACATCCCTGACACCTGGGCCGTCACCGAAGTGTTTTCTACCTCACTATTATGAAGAGAGATTAACGTGAACTCAAGGCTTTCATCAACAAATTGCCCAAAACATATTATCCAAGAAATATAGCGCAAGCATTGTTTACGATTAAATAAATCATTGTCAGAAAACAAGATCACTTGTTCAAGAATATATGATTTGTAACTTAATGAAAAAAGTCTCTTAAATTATTGCGTCAGACTTTCTTACGAGACCGCAGCAACGCGCGGGGAGGGGCACGCCAGTATTGAATTTATTTATTTTAAATGCGAAATAGAAAGATATGCTAAATGACATATAAAAAGAGTTATAAAAATAATGACATATAAAAAGAGTTATGAAGATGAATTTTTAATACAAAGATGCTTCATTTGACTCGAATTGTATTTAATACATATGCCGTTTCAGTACAAAGAAGAGCAATTGTTAGAATTTGATGCAAAGAAAATTTTAAGATGTTACTTCTAAAATATAAACATAGCACCACTGTACAATAGGAAGCTACACAGAATTAATCAATTGATCAGATCTCGTATTTGAACACTACATTCATCTAATTGATTGATCAATAACTGAGATAATGTCAGTTGTGAGATGTGCATGTTTTCGTAAGATGGCTGTCCATATGATACATACATACGTCTCCACTCCAGACACTTACTGGAGTTCAATCCCCCCCCCCCAGAGTTTCTTCCAGGCATCTCTTCGGGGGGGGGGGAGGTACGGAACCCCCTTTCCCGAATAAAGTCTACCGCCCCCTCTCCCCTTGAACGAAATGAAATTTATATAATTTATTTAGAAAATATATTTTTTTAACAGTGTCCACCCCCCCCCCGAAGAAAGGCTACCGCCCCCCGAAAATTTCAAGTGCCCCCACGGAGAAAGAAGTCTGATTCCCCCCCCCCCCCCCAGCACCCACCTCCCCAGACACTTACTGGCGTTAAGTCCCCAGCCCATAGCTCTACAGCCTGATGCCATTTGTGGAGTTTTGGAACCGTCAACCAGACAGATGGGCTTGTGGCACGTGTCAAATGTGATGGGTAAGTTCAAGTCGAGGAGGGCGATGTCGTTTGCTGGAATAGAAATAATGTAATTAATTAAATACAGTATAATTGTAATCATTACATTTATTAAAAAGGTTTATAATGTAGGCCTACTACTATAATCAAACAATTTAAATTAACTATCATTTTATAGTTGATGGTCTACGTATTTATTTCTGAACATTGTAATAATGGGATCTTTTTCTTTTATAAACATTGCAGTAACGAAGAACCTACTAAAACACAGGACTCTGAGTGAAATGGTTTACAACATGTGTTAATTTAAGAGAAGTGATTTAATCTGCCCCTATGTTCAGTTGTGATGTGCAGACCCTAGGCGCTAAGTAATATCAGCTTCTATCAGTAGTTTACACATTCGACGATCGCTTTGGAGCAGTGGAGGAAAGGATACATGAACTTACTGAAGGACTTTGGGTCGTAGTTTGGGTGTGTTGCTATGGTGACGACGTTTCTGCTGACCACACCGGGGACGCTGGCGTCAAACGGCATGACGCTGGAGCCCGTGTAGACGGTCAGGTCGTAGGACGACGAGTAGCTGATGGCACCGGTCCTGGAATTTGGGAACAGTTTAGTAAACAAGGTGTGGGAAGGTGTACACCATCTTTGTTTCACTCACCCAACTCTGTCCACTCAACAAATGTTAAGTTTGCTTAACTTGTGTTAAATTGTTCATTAAAAACTATTTTCGGGGTCCTGGTGTACAAAGTTAACAAAGACCTTTACTTGGTGTCTTGATGTACAAAGTTAACAAAACTCTTTACGTGGGGTCCTAGTGTTCAAAGTTAACAAAGCTCTTTACGTGGGGTCCTAGAGTACGAAGTTAAGAAAGATCTTTACGTGGGGTCCCGGTGTACGAAGCAGTGGGCAGCCGTCAGGATGTGCCTGTCGTCAATGATGGAGCCACTGCAGACAGTCTGGTGTAGTTTATCGTAGATCATCACCATCCAAGGGTACTCACACGTCTTGGAGCTGTTGGCGACACCGCACTGGGCTGGGGAGGGGGGGGGGGGAATGATTGGCTAAACTTTTCATTGTTTGACGGTCACATTTAATCATCTAACTGGATGATTTCAAGCAATGACGTATAATTTACAATTTTAATAAATCTGGAGTGATCTCCCCTAAACTTTCTCATGTACTTATAATACACTACGCGGAATGGCAACTCGTGATATTGACATGGTTTTCAATCAATTTTTAATTACTTAAACTATTTAAAATAATACAGAACTCCGTAGAAAAACGAATTGCGCCCCACTTGAAAAGCAAACAATGTGTATAATTGTGCGAAATGTTAGTATTTTATAAAAAAATTTGCGGTTTTTTTTTGGTGTTTTTTTTTTGAGAAATCGAAAATAGCGTATAGTACTATTTCCGGTAAACGGAAATTACTCAAAATGTGAAAGCTGGCAGAGAATTATATGTTTAACTTATATGTGAAATTTCGACTATTTATCCAAAACATTACTCAAGTACAGTCTTTTGAAAACACAGAAATCGCTGAAAAAAAGATACAGAACAACACATTTGATATAATACTTATATGAAATTTATCAAGCTTGCTGTAACGGTACTCAAATTATTGTGTTGTTAGAAAGACCCATCTAAACACAGATCTACGGACATATTTGCAAAACTCTATTTTTCCAAATCATTGAGTTGTAAAACGTCGAGATTTGTGAGAATCTCGATTTCGATTTTCTGACGATTACATTACTTCCTCTGTACATCGTACACGAAAAAGTAAAAATAAGCAGGTTAGAATAAATTTATTTCTTGATTTGAAAATAGATTTTATGAAATTGTATACTAGAAACTACATACATTTGTCACTATAAACGGCAGGTTCTTTGTAAATGTTTAATAATGTTTAACGTTTTAGTCAAAAGGTTTTACTAAACTTAAATTTGCGTATTAAATATTTGGAATTTAAGAAGTTTTTTTGTTTAAGCGCAAATACGCATTTAGCAATGAAACAACAGGAGTCTATGCAAGACATTTGTATTGATTTAAGACATAAAACCCTACAGATTGACAGCAAACTTAGGTAAATTTTGAGTTATGCCTCTAAACTTAATATCAGTTTCTCCACTGTTACCGGAAACAGTTTAGCACAAACATCAAGTTTTTAAACTATGTATCTTTACGATATGTTTCGACAACTCAACTTTTATTTTCTTTAATCAAACGCATTCATAGATAGAGAAGTAAGTATAAAAAATTAAATGAACTTACATTTGACAAGAGAAGCTGTTGTAGTAGAGGGTTTAGTGGTTGTGGATGTTGCTGGTGTAGTGGTGGCTGATTTGGTTGTTGTTGTAGAAGGTGCTGGTGTGATGGTTGCTGTTTTTGTAGTTGTTGATGGTGCAGGTGTTGTAGTTGCTGTTTTAGTAGTTGTTGATGATGCTGGTGTGGTGGTGGCTGTTTTGGTTGTTGTTGATGGTGGTGGTGTGGTGGTGGCTGTTTTGGTTGTTGTTGGCACTATGGTAGTGGTAGCCGTCGAGTTCAGCGCAACAGCATCTGAAAAAAACATTCAAATCTGAAGTCAGATTCTAGATATTTGTATAATGATTGGTCGAGGATTGTTTGTCTATCTGGTGAGCAGCAGTTGGAGCAGCTAAAGAAAGATGAAAGAAACGTTAAACAGTCGTGCAGGTTTGGAATCTGGTTGAAATGAGACTGACAAATATTTCTTGAAGGCCTTCATGATGTTGGTCATCATCTTACAACCTGTTCTAACATAAATCTGTGACATGCGATATCAGGCAGTTGGTACATGGAAGTCTGTTGACAACTTTACCTGACCACAAACTAAGCCCACTCGTCATGACAAACTAAAAAAGAAAATACAAAAGCTACAAACACTGTTGTGAGGTCACCAGGACCATTATCAGAACACCTGGAAACAAATTCATTTTTTTCTTGTCGATGTTGAGACTTGCCGCTGTCGTCAAGTGTCTTTGGGACGCCTAGACGTGCCAACCTGTAGAGAGAACTGTCTCAAGACTGTCTGTAGCGGGTGGACAAGGAGGTTTTTATACATGTCAGACACAGATGAACAAACACAGTAGGTGGTAACAAACATCAACTTTGTGTTGACCAGACGCCTAAGGTGTCCAGATCAATGTTACACGTGGCCAAGTGCTGACGAACGCAATAAAGTAATTAAGACTAATTTGATTGAGTGCAGATGGACTCAGTCTCTCAAAGTGTTTCGTGAGAGAAAACATAAGTGTAAACTTTCTGCACTGAAAGAGCGCGCGAGGTCGAGTAGGTACATGCTGTAATCAAGCCATGTTGCTTACACGATTTGTATTCACTTTTTGGTCGAATGTAAAGTAACACGATCGGACCTGAAGGACATTATTGTAGATGAAGTAGAGTTATTCTTTTTTTGTGACCATTAAATGAGAATGGACAGTGTGATCAGCTTGACACAAAATGTATCTAGTTTCTGAAATATCTGTTATATATTTCACGCTTTACATTTTCAAGGTGTGAAGTGTAAAAGTAAGACACTGACGTTTATATTTCAAACGTAATTTGTTCGATAGTTGACTGTATTCTTGTTGAAATGAGAAAAAAATGCATTGTGTTTGGTGCAAGGTCATTGTTTATGTCCAGGTGGTAATAAAGGCATATCATTGCAACAATTCAAGTGCCAGTAAAGGTATTTCGTTAAATCTCTATCAACTGTACTTGAGACATTAGAAGCATATCGTTGCATTTCTCTAACGCAAAAACCTGTGAGTTAGTGACGATATGACCAAACATCTTACGTGTGTTGGTGAAATGTATCAAGTATGGATGGTGTTGTGTTTCTTCTGATTATGTGACAGGTGTTTGACCACAGGTCATCACCTGTTAGATTTACGTGACGTCATGAAACTGAAGTCTCGGGCGTCACGAGTGTTTTTACCCACGGGGAATGTTAATCCTTGTGATCACGTGACCCATCTGTTGCTTGTCTCAGTTACCTGCAGTCTCCAACAGTGCCACTAAACGCATACATATCACTGACAGCATCAAATGCTGTACAATGATGGTGACATTGCATGTTTGTATACTGATGATAATCTTAAACTTTATGCATAGTGAAGGGGACATCAACTTTGTACAGTGGTGATTACAACATACATGTATATATATATATATATATATATATATATATATATATATATATATATATATATATATATATATATATATATATATATATATATATATATATATATATATATATATATATATATATATATATTGTTACGACCGTGGGGACGTAGGTTGCAGGTGTAGGGTTGACAACAGACGTGACCCAGATTGAACAGGTCTAGATGGAGACAATCAACGAGGCACGTGTTAGAATTAGATTACATTTACGGACGACGGCATCAATGGGGGTAGGTGTAGAAGACACGTATCTAGTTGGCCTGGGTGACCGTAATGGGGGTAGTTTATTAGCAGGGTCTGACACTTTAATCAGGTACCCCAGACCTGTTGGCGACATTTAATTAGGTTAGGCTTGAGTGGGAAGTGTTGGTGCATAATTAGCCCCGCACCTGGACATTCGTGAGTCCGTTATTTAAGGAGGGGTAGACAGCAGACTGGGGACACTCAGGGAGACTCACAAGTCACACACACGGAGACGGACTCGGATAGCTAGGTCTAGAGGAGACAGACATGGGGCGTCTCTGTGAGCTAGTGGACAGCCAAGAGATGCCTGTACTGTAGTAGACCTAGGCTAGTTAGACAGTTAGGGAGAAGTAGGGTAGTCGTTCTAAGAACTTTAGTTGTTGTAGCTAGTTGTGTATATTTCTGATTGTTGTACTTCGGTGGCGGGTTAACTTTAAGTGTTGTAATTTGTGGAAATAAATAGAGATCACTGAAGTTGGCATTTATCGATTTTTATTTTCTTCTTCTTGTCTACGATTCCCTGACTAATTCGAAAGTATTAGAGAAGGGGGTCGTAACAGAATATATATATATATATATATATATATATATATATATATATATATAAAGTGAGGGTGACTTCAACCAAAGTGTAGTGATAGTAAAATTAACTGTTAGATTGGTGACATAAACTTTGGATTGGTGACATAAACTTTTGGATTGGTGACATAAACAGTATATATATTGGCGTTGACATGAAACAATAAATTCATCACAAATACTATATACCTTTTTCGCCGTTAAATATCTTGTCTGAGATATTTGGTCTGCGATCATTTGTCATTGTCATGGAACCATAGTTTCTTAAAATATGTAACATCTCGTTTTTTTAAAAAAGATTTATTCGTAGATGAAGAATGAACTATTTATTTCTACATTTCAAAACGTCGATTGAAATAAATCTCTTAGCAACCTACTTGTGGGAGTAGATCAGTTACATTCCATTATTGATATAGTGAGGGGAAATTATAATAAAAACATAAGCCAGCTTTTTTCTTTAATGAATCATGTCAAATGTGTCTTCATCAGGAAAGTTAAATGAATGCCATGCTAAGAAGGTTGCAGGTTTTTATGGCGTGATGTCAATGTGAGAGGCTTCTAGGATCTGAGGTCAAGGTGACAGTCTTCTAGGATTTGAGGTCAAGGTCACAGTCTTCTAGGATCTGAGGTAAAGATGACAGTCTTCTAGGATGTGAGGTCAAGGTGACAGTCTTCTGGGATGCGAGGTCAAGGTCACAGTCTTCTAGGATGTGAGGTCAAGTTGACAGTCTTCTGGGATGTGAGGTCAAGGTCACAGTCTTCTAAAATTTGAGGTCAAGGTGACAGTCTTCTAGCATGTGAGGTCAAGGTGACAGTCTTCTAGAATGTGAGGTCAAGGTGACAGTCTTCTAAAATGGTCAAGGAGACAGTCTTCTAGGGTGTATGGTCAAGGTGTCAGTATTCTAGGATATGAGGTCAAGGTGACAGTCTTCTAGGAAGTGAGGTCAAGGTGACAGTCTTCTAAAATGGTCAAGGAGACAGTCTTCTAGGGTGTATGGTCAAGGTGACAGTCTTCTAGGATATGAGGTCAAGGTTACAGTCTTCTGTGGTGTGAGGTCAAGGTGACAGGCAGCTTAAATCACTTATGTTAAAACTGATGTCGTGTTTCTGCATGAAGTCTATATATATAGTCGTATGACTTTTGCCCGAATGCGACACATGTCTGAATGGACAACTGCCCGAATGCGACACATGTCTGAATGGACAACTGCCCGAATGCGACACATGTCTGAATGGACAACTGCCCGAATGCGACAGATGCCGGATAGCCACATCCTTGATGGTCGTTTGCCCGAAACAATGTTTTAAATTAAATATTACAAAGTAGCTATTTCAAACCAATTAGAATTTGACTTTTTGACAAATCAAAACAATTTAATGCATTAAAGTTGAAATTATTCAATAGTTTTTTTAAAAATGTATCGTTTATGTTTTTTAAATTGCTGTTAAAATATATTTTTTTATAAATGTAAGGTGATGCTGGTGAAAATGTCTTTTTGTTGTTTTGATTAATGATTTGCGGATCATTTTTGGCCCAAGTATTACAGTGGTAATATCAGAATTATAAAACAGTGAAGCGACGCTGCGTTTGGCAACATTGAACAGAGTCGCGTTCGTTTGAGTATACTTGTTAAGCATATTTTCACAATAAGGCGCGGTCTTGGCGTCGAATTTAAAAACTAAACATAGGCGCTTATGCTCGATCTTGATATAACACACCTTGTTTAGACATTGTGTTAAAGCGATTACTTATTAAAGAAATTGAGATTCATTTAAAAAATTGGAGATTGCATACTGGACTTTTTGTTTTATAGAAAGAAAAATTTTAGAAGTTTAAAAGTTTTTAAATTGTAAAAAAAAAAATAATAATATTAACATTTTTCGGGCTAACGGCCTTCAGGAAAGTGGCTCTTGGGCATTTGTCCCATTCGGGCAAGTGTCGATTTGGGCCTATGCCGCAGTCGAACAAGTGTCTATTTCGGCATTCGTCTCATTTGGGCAAGTGTCTTTCGGGAAAACGCCAGGCTCCCTCAATATACATCAATTATCAGCTTGATATATCTTGTATAAACATTCACATACGTCATAAATTATCACCACAATAAGTCCTAAATAAACTTTCATGTACGTCATAAATTATCAGTTAGATATATCTTAAATAAACATTCACATACGCCATAAATTATTACACCAATACGTGCTAAATAAAAATGTCTCATATCTCACAACTAAACAACCCTTTACGTCTTAAGAAACGACAAATGGTTAACATACTGGTTGTGCGAGTTTTTTAATTTTTGTGTCACAACTGAGTTCTGAAAGTTTTTACCGATAGTAACAAATTAAATATCCAGTTTTGAAAACGAAAAACAAATTTTAAAAACTTTGTAAAAAAAGGTATTTTAAATAAGATAAGAAAAATAGTCATTTACTTTCTTTCATAAAAGTTTTGGTAGCTAATCAGACCTTTTACATATTTTACCGACCAAAACTTAGAAAGCAAGTTAGTTTTATTTTCTAATTTTCTGTGCATTTAAAAACTTGTCAGAAATGGGTTTTTTTTTTTTTTACATTTGTTTTACTTTCCTCTTTTTATTACTTTATAACGCTACACATGCTCCGACTAAAAAAATTTCTTTGAAACACAATCATCAGCTCGCAATAGCAGACAATTATCTACTTCTTCACAACGTCCATGACCGTTCTCGGGCGGGAAAGCAACGTCCTTGACCACAGCTCACAGACGACAGCAAGCTGATGAAGCGAGTTTTTCTTTGGCCACAAAACAACAAACAAACAAACAAACGGACGAATCCAAATAATTAAAAGCTTGTAAAAAGAAACAAAGATGAAATGGGTGATTTTGATGCCTTTATTTCTTCATGATATCGAACAGTTCACATGAGACCATTCGAAACTTTGACTTCGCCTAAGCGACCATCGTCATTAATATTTTCATCTGTTCTATCCAGGGGAGAAAACTGGAGACCTTGGTGTAGAGGCCAGGATAGCCACAGTCCCCGGCTACCACGATGCCGTACTGGTAATAGCGGCCGTCTGCTTCTTTACAGGCCAGTGGACCGCCAGAGTCGCCCTACAATATCAGACAGTGGAGGCATTAGACCGGGTTAGTGGTCACTTAAATGTAGTACACATTTTAACCTAGTTTCTTTCTGGAACTTAATCGTAACTAGGGTTGTAATATGGAAAACAAACAATTAACTTTAGAAATTAAAGAAATCCAATTCTAAATGTAAAAAATATGTTAAATTCCAAATGCGAACAAAGACATTGATAGGTAAAACAATGACCAATCATCTGAAATGTGAGAAATATCAAACAGGAGAATAGGAAAGTAAGCATGACATCTGTTAATTTACTGCATGCGTAGATTAATTTCTTATTTTGGTTTTCTGTAGCGCAATCACACATCATAACTATGTCAAAAACATGTTGAAATGTGAATGTTATAGGCGGTTATATGTGCAAACACTATACAATCACACAATCTGACGAAGTTATGGAAATGTTTCACAACAGTAAGTGCCACCATAGGCCAAGATAAAACATTCACATTGGTACCTTCCATCATTCACCTGGGTAACACATTCACAACACTATCCCCCATGACCCATCAAATAAAACATTCACAACACTATCCGCCATAACCCACCAAATAAAACATTCACAACACTATCCCCCATGACACACCAAATAAAACATTCACAACACTATCCCCCATGACACACCAAATAAAACATTCACAACACTATCCGCCACCAAATAAAACATTCACAACACTATCCGCCACCAAATAAAACATTCACAACACTATCTGTTACCAAATAAAACATTCACAACACTATCTGCCATGACCCACCAAAAAAAATTATCCACAACACTATCTGTTACCATTCCCCTAGACGCGACATTATTCCAATGTACAACTAACCCGACAGGAATTGTTCACAGAAGATCCAGCGCAGAGGTTACTTCCGGTGTAGTAGGTACCGTACGTTGACTGGCAAGTGGCGTCAGACACGACAGGTACATCCGCCCACTTTATGGTGCTCTCATAGGTACCACTCGAGCTGGCTGTAGATGTACAACGGTAAGTTAGATCACCACAGCATGGTGATAAACATGGTGATGTGGGTGGTGATGTGGGTATGGAAGGTGATGTGGATGGTGTTGTGGATGGTGATGTGGGTGGTGATGTGGATGGTGGTGTGGATAGTGATGTGGATGGTGGTGTGGATACTGATGTGGATGGTGATGTGGTTTTTGATGTGGATGGTGATGTGGATGGTGATGGTGATGTGGATGTGGATGTGGATGGTGATGTGGAAGGTGGTGTGGATAGTGATGTGGATTTTGATGTGCATGGTGATGTAGATGGTGATGTGGATGTTGATGTGGATGTTAATATGGATGTGGATGTGGATGTGGATGTAAATGTGGATGTGGATGTGGATGGTGATATGGATGGTGATGTGGATGGTGATGTGGATGGTGATGTGGATGGTGATGTGGATGGTGATGTGGATGGTGATGTGGATGGTGATGTGGATGGTGATGTGGATGGTGATGTGGATGGTGATGTGGATGGTGATGTGGATGGTGATGTGGATGGTGATGTGGATGGTGATGTGGATGGTGATGTAGATGGTGATAGCGGTGCTGCCTGCAAGATGAGACCACCTGACGACGCCACAGACTTTGGTCTGAACGTATTTTTGACGTATAATTGACGTATGTTTGACGCATACTTGACGAAACAAGACGACGACGAAATATCAGATACCATTATCCTTTACCATATATTTATTTATTTAAAAAAAAACAAATTATACATGTAATAAAAAGAGATAGTACTATTATTTGTTTTTAAATATATTAAGGAATTATCAGATAGAAAATCTATTTCAGCACAAAATGTAATTTGATTCTGTGTCTCACACCAGACGTATAATGTTTAATTTTGTTTACAAGTGCACTTGTTGATACTTGTTAACCATTAAAGATAATTCATGTGTACAGAAGTAATTAGGTTAAGATTTAATACATACCCAGTGCCCGTGCTAACCTCTCATCAGTGTCTCTGGCCACGACAGTACCTTCAAATTAAAAGTTTTTTAAATCTTGAATAAAAATAAAAATAGAAAAAAATGCAATAGACATACAGTAACAAGTGTGGACATGAATTTATAATAAAACAATGCTTAATTCAGTAGAATCGAGTTTTTAACAGTTATGTATATTATTGGTTTGTATACAAAGAATGTTTTATTCTAAGCAATTATTAACATTTGATTTAGAGGAGATTTACTTTTTTATATTACTTTTAAAATATAAACATAGAACCAATGCACTATAGGAGAGTACACACAATTTATCAGTTAATGAATTCTCATATTTGGAACTTCATTCATCCACTTGAGATAATGTAAATTGTGAGATGTGCATGTTTTCGTAAGAAAACAAATATGTCGCTGGTATTCTGAAGTACCCTATGATACATCACCACTGTAGACACTAACTAGAGTCCTCAACCCTCTCCATATACACACATACCAAGAGCTAACTAGACCAATCCCCCCCCCCCTCCCTCCAGTACCCACCTCCCCATACACTTACTGGCGTTAAGTCCCCAGCCCATAGCTCTACAGCCAGATGCCATTTGTGGAGTTTTGGAACCGTCGACCAGACAGATGGGCTTGTGGCACGTGTCGAAGGTGATGGGTGTGGTCAAGTCTAGGAGGGCGATGTCGTTTGCTGGAATAGAAATATTGTAAAAGCTAAGAGATTTAAATAAAAATCATTTATAATGTACTACTGTAAAGAAACAAATTATTTAAAATATTGATTTTGAGTTGCTTGTCTACATATTGCATTTCTGAATATTGTAACAATGGGAACGTTTTCTTACAATTATTGAAGTAGAAAAGAGCGAGCTAAAACATAGGTAAGTTAGTGAAATGCTTTACAGCGTTTGTGTAAAGTGTTTGAGTTAGTGTAACCCTTAGTTCCTTTGTGATGTAGGTTAATGTGTCCCTATTTTGCATGTGAGGTACACTGATGTGCCCCTATGTCCCTTTATGAGGGATTATGCCCCTAAGCTACTTGTAGTGTGTAGACCCTAGATTCGAAACTAAATCAGCTTCTAATTTTCAATGTTTACAACCTAAGCTATCTCTATGAAGCTGTACAAAAAGAGATTAGAACCTACTTAAGGTCATTGGGTCGAAGTTTTCGTGTGTTGCTATGGTGACGACGTTTCTGCTGACCACACCGGGGACGCTGGCGTCAAACGGCATGACGCTGGAGCCCGTGTAGACGGTCAGGTCGTAGGACGACGAGTAGCTGATGGCACCGGTCCTGGAATTTGGGAACAGTTGAGTGAACAAGGTGTGGGAAGGTGTACACCATCTTTGTTTCACTCACCCAACTCTGTTCACTCAATACATGTTAAGTTCTCTAATGCGTTTGCTTAACTTGTGTTAAACTACTCATTAAAAACTATTTTCGGGGTCCTGGTGTACACAGTTAACAAAACTCTTTACGTTCCGTCCTGGTGTACGAAGCAGTGGGCAGCCGTCAGGATGTGTGTCTGGTCAATGATGGAGCCACTACAGACAGTCTGGTGTAGTTTATCGTAGATCATCACCATCCAGGGGTACTCACACGTCTTGGAGCTGTTGGCGACACCGCACTGGGCTGGGGGGGGGGGGAGGGGGGATGAAGGAATGATTGACTAAACTTTTCATTGTTTGACGGTCACATGTAAACATCTAACTGGATAATTTGCAGCAGCAATTACATCTTTTAACTTACACCGTGGAGTGCATACATGCTTAAATAAGCAGGTTAAGATGACATTGATTTCTTGATTTTAAATTAGAATTTGCGAAATTAAATGCAAGAAACGACAATTAGCATGGTTTACTATTAGGTTCTTTGTTAAATAGCTACAGCCTTATGCTCATTTTCAAACGTTTAATAAAACCTTTTTACTTAAAACTTAGATTTACATATTATAGATTTATTGTAATTTAAGAATATTTTTTAAGTTTTGGCACTAATGCGCATTAAACAATAACATCACAATAGTCATTACAAGATTTTAGAGTCGATCTAAAAAATAAAATACTACAGCTATGATATAATCAACCTTAAATAAAATCAGAATTATGGCTCGATAAACTTAAAATCAAATTATGGTCTGTGACTGGAAACTGTTTAGCTCAAACATCAAGTTTCAATCGCACGCCCATCAAATTTATTTCACGCTGTGAACAAAGGTAATGTTCACTTTTCTTAACAATATCCTTGCGCTAGTATATTTCGACAATGCAATTCTTATATTTCAATTAAAAATGGAATGTACTTACAATTGACTATAGAAATTGTTGTACTAGAGGGTTTAGTGGTTGTTGTGGATGGTGCTGTTGTTGTGGTTGCTGATTTGGTTGTTGTAGATTGTGATAGTGTGGTGGTTGTTGCTGCTTTCGTAGTTGTTGTGGGTGTTGCTTTAGTAGTTGTGGATAGTCCTGGTGTAGTGGTTGCTGCTTTGGAAGTCGTAGTGGATGAAGCTGGTGTGGTGGTGGCTGCTTTAGCTGTCGTCGTGGTAACTACTGTGGTGGTAGATGTGTTATTCAACACGACAGAGTAGATGGCGAACTCAGCGTAGCAGAGGCCCGTGATCCAGAGGTAGAGGTTGTCGGTGGTGATGCCGTAGGTCTTGTTCTGTTGGAGAGGTACAACATTATCAGCAACACGTTTATTGGGATTTAGTTCTAAGCATTTTTTAAACATTGTTTAAATACACAAACACACATGAATGACAACTTAATTAGAATAGTTAGTCACATAGTAAACTGACCACTGACACGAATGACTACTGACACAAATGACAACTGACACAAATGACCAATGACACAAATGACCACTTACCTCCACACAGCTGTAATTAGAGTATTGGTTAATGACCTTGGCCACCAAGGTCATGTTGGGGGTGGTGTTGGGGATGGCGATTTTCCCCACGGTGTTGTAGTAGGAGGACCGACACACCCCACGTCCTATCTCAACATACGTGTCTGTAAAACAACAGCAGTCAAGTCTCAAGTCATAAGTCATGTCCTGGACGTCTGTTTAGATGTCTTGTTTAGGGGGGGGGGGGTAGTCTGACTAGTGGTGAGCAGTGGGGAGCAGTGGTGGAAGCAGATACAAACAAGACAGAGAAAGATTTCTAGAAAAGCATGACTTGTGCTTCATCTCACCACCTGATCTAACGTTTATCTGTCTCATGCGATATCTAGCAGCTGGTTTATAGAAGCAGAGTGTGTTCACAACTTTACCCAACCTAACTAAATCCACTCTCCAACATTAAACAAATTGAAATTAAAGATACGAACACTGTTGTGAGGCCACCAGTCCTAAGACCAGCATCAGAACACCTGGAAACAAATTCATTTCTTTCTTGTCGATGTTGAGACTTGCCGCTGTCTTCACGTGTCTTTGAGACGCTGAGACTTGCCAACCTGTAGAGAGAACTGTCTTAAGACTGCCAGTAGTGGGTGGATAAGGAGGTTTTTATACATGTCAGGCACAGATGAACAAACACAGTAGGTGGTAACAAACATCAACTTTGTGTTGACCAGACGCCTAAGGTGTTCAGATCAATGTTACACGTGACCAAGTGCTGACGAACGCAATAAAGTAATTAAGACTAATCCGGTTGGGTACAGCTGAACTCCCACTCTCAAGAGACAAAATGTGAGCGAACTTGTTGCACTCACACTGCACGCGAATTCGATAACTCGTCTCTGTATTATGCATGCAGATTATATAATTTGTTGACGTTTAGTTTTTGTTCAATTTGCCTTGGATTCTGACAAACTTTCCTGAGTTTCTGACAAAACATTTCAAATTTTTTATAAATTTTCTTTAGTTTCTCACAAATATCCCTTAGTTTTTGCAAAATTTAAATTAGCTACACGTTATTCCTTTATAGCTTTTCATTTATGATCCGCTTATAACAGTACTAGTCATTGCATATAGATGGAGAGATTTCCGAAATTAATTTTTTACAAATATTTGGTCTATAGTCTGATCTTGTAGTGAGGGAAAACATGATTCTACTGGCGCAAAGCAGATCAGTGCATTATATTGTTTCAACTCTATCAAACGTTCTAGTGGCAGGAGGTGTATATCACAGCAACTCTATTCTAGTTGCACTAAAGGCATATCATTGCAACTCTATTAACTATTCTAGTTGCACTAAAGGCATATCATTGCAACTCTATTAATTATTCTAGTTGCACTAAAGGCATATCATTGCAACTCTATTAATTATTCTAGTTGCACTAAAGGCATATCATTGCAACTCTATTAACTATTCTAGTTGCACTAAAGGCATATCATTGCTATTCTATTACCTATTCTAGTTGCACTAAAGGCATACCATCGCAACTTGATCAACACAAACAATTCTGAGTTAACAAAGATATGACGTGTGAAGAGGGAATCAATACAGTTTGGATAGAGTTGTGTTTCTTGTGATCACGGGACTGGGGTTTGACCACAGGTCATCACCTGTTAAATTTACGTGACGTCATGAAACTGAAGTCTCGGGGATCACGTGGCTTGTTGACCCACGGGGAATGTCGTGTCAATCCTTCGGATCACGTGACCTATCTGTTGTTTGTCTCAGTTACCTGCAGTCTGGAACAGTGCCATTACCTGTAGTGGTGACATCATCTGTTGTATAGGGTTAGGGTTTATTATTTACATGAAAACATTCCTCTGCCTCTCTTGAGTTGTCAGACAAATTCAAATAGATCACGATGTAGGCCTACTTAGACGATGAGGTAAGTTGTATTGGCCTTTTTTTCTCTTCTTTTTTACTTTCTCGTATATACGAAGTATAGAGAAAGTCTTGTAATCGTGCAAAAAAAAAAAATCGAGATTTTTGCAAATCTCGACGTTTTGCATCTCACTGATACGGAAAAACATAATTTTGCAATCTTGTCCGTATGTCTGTGTGTCTGTGTGTGTGTGTGTGTGTGTGTGTGTGTGTGTGTGTGTGTGTGTGTCCGTTACAGCTAGGTTGATGAAATTTCATATATAAGTATTTAATCAAAATCGTAGATCCGTATCAACTTTTGAGCAATTTCCGATAACCGGAAGTGGTACTTTTCCTACTTTGAATTTTTCAAAAGCCTATAACTTGAGTACTATTTCAGATAGATAAATGAAATTTCATACGTAAGTAAAAGATCTAATTCTCTACCTTCTATTAAATTTTGAGTCATTTCCGTTGACTGGAAGTAGTACTTTATGCTACTTCCGATTTCTCAAAAAACTAATGTAAATTTTAAAAGTAATAATAATATTGCGCACTATTATGCGCTTTTTTATTTCGCGTTCACTTGGTGTGCAATTAATTTGTCTACGAGATTTTATTCTATTTTTAAAACTTTAAGTATTTAAAATGGATTAAAAATCATGTCTATAGCCCGAGTTCCCATTCCCTGTTATTTTATATAAGAATATTCGAGAAAGTTTAGGGGAGATCACTCCCGGTTTATTCTGCAAAAGACTGTATCATTATTTTCACACGTCTGTGTATCTGTAACAGCTAAAAAAAATTGAGTAGAAAAGAACCTGACAGTTTTGTTCTTTACCCCGTTTGTTTGAGTCTATTTGTACCGCACGTCAGGAGCCAGGGCTTTAGGCATCTGCTTATATAAGGACTGCGTGTAAGGGTTAGGCCGAATTGAACTTTGAACTTCATTCATGGGGCAAAACTTCGCTTTAAAATAAAGATGGCTGACTATCGTGTTAATTTTTGCAATGTTTGATGTCTATGTGTTACAATCCATTATTAGCTTTCGGCTTTAGTTTTAATGATTATGTTCCAAGAGTGTAAAACATTATTTGTGCTTTTTACTTTCTCGTATATACGTAGTATAGAGAAAGTATTGTAATCGTGCAAAAAAAAAAAATCGAGATTTTTACAAATCTCGACGTTTTACGCCTCACTGATACGGAAAAACATAATTTTGCAATCTTGTCTGTATGTCTGTGTGTGTGTGTCTGTGTGTCTGTGTGTCTGTGTGTAAACACGATAACTTGAGTACCGTTACAGCTAGGTTGATGAAATTTCATATATAAGTATTATATCAAAATCGTAGATCCGTATCAACTTTTGAGCGATTTCCGACAACCAGAAGTGGTACTTTTTCTACTTTGAATTTTTCAAAAGCCTATAACTTGAGTACTATTTCAGATAGATAAATGAAATTTCACGTGTAAGTAAAAGATCTAATTCTCTACCTTCTTTTAAATTTTGAGTAATTTCCGTTGACCGGAAGTAGTAATTTATGCTACTTCCGATTTCTCAAAAAACTAATGTAAATTTTTAAAGTACTAATAATATTGCGCACTATTATGCACATTTTGTTTCGGCGTTTCTTTGGTGCGCAATGTTTTTTTCTATGAGATTCTATTCTATTTTTAAAAGTTTAAGTAATTAAAAATCATGTCTACATTCCAAGTTATATAAGAATATTCGAGAAAGTTTAGGGGAGATCACTCCCGGTTTATTTTTTCTCAGTATACTGACACTGAAATTAGATGTTTATTTAACTTTTTTTAAATTAAATAAATTTCTTTTTAAAATGTAGAAATTTTCCGTTCAATTATGCAATCATCGTTCATGTTAAATCGGTGGTCAAGTCTTTTTCTACTCGATTATATTCTATTGTAAAGTTATTAAATACTAGCCGAACCCGAATAGAGCCTGCACTTAGAGAGAAATATATCCATAAAGGGACATGACTTGTGTGCTCATTAAGCATCACATAGCCTATCATTTGCTGCCCGGTCTATGTATTAAATTTTAAATTAAAAGTCTTTATGTAAACATGGACGTTTGAACAATACAAAAACAAACGCAAACATAAACGCAAACACACACATAAACGCAAACGTACGCACAAATATAAACATACACGCAAACATGAACGCAAAGAATAATATATACGCAATCATAAACGTAAATGTAAAAGTTATTTCAATATTAGTGTATTGTTATATATGTTAATATTGTCCCCTTGTGTGAGCATTATTACATAAAAGCTTCTTATTACAACGTTTTTTAAAGCTTTTATCTTGCTGCCTCTGTCTTTCTATCTGTCGTCACAGATAAGGACGATAACCCCCCCCCCCCCCTCCTTTCCCCCAACCCCTAACCTCCCCCTCCCCTCCCCCCCCCGTTAAAGCAGCCTCCTCTTAGCTACCTCCCCTAAGTTTAAAATCGTTTCAAACTAAATTATCTGCCCCTAATAGCCGTCACTAAACCCGGCTCTACGATTGTAAACATTTAGCGTGAACGACAGCTCGCCAGACTTCCTAGAGAGGAAGAGAGGGGACTGCAAGACGCGCTTACAGCTTGTTTTCCAACATCTCCAAGAAGAGAATTATATAGATAGATAGATAGATGAAGTAAAGGTACGCAACTACTACGTTTTGAAACTACTTCATATATTCCATGGGTAGCTTCCCTTTGACCGTCACGTCTCAGTGCTGTGGTCCCCCCTATATCTCGACTACCAGTTGATTCAAACTTTCATGTCTGAGCCCCGCTGTTGTTTAAACCACACCTCCATCAATCACTCCACACATAATGTTTGTTTAAGTCTTCTATAATAGCTGTCTAACATACAAACATATGTAAACCACACCCCCATCAATCACTCCACACATAATGTTTGTTTAAGTCTTCTATAATAGCAGTCTAACATACAAACATATGTAAACCACACCTCCATCAATCACTCCACACATAATGTTTAAGTCTTCTATAATAGCAGTCTAACATACAAACAAATGTAAACCACACCTCCATCAATCACTCCACACATAATGTTTAAGTCTTCTATAATAGCAGTCTAACATACAAACAAATTTAAACCACACCTCCATCAATCATTCCACACATAATGTTTAAGTCTTCTATAATAGCAGTATAACATACAAACAAATTTAAACCACACCCTCATCAATCACTCCACACATAATGTTTGTTTAAGTCTTCTATAATAGCAGTCTAACATACAAACAAATTTAAACCACACCTTCATCAATCACTCCACACATAATGTTTAAGTCTTCTATGATAGCAGTCTAACATACAAACATATGTAAACCACACCTGCATCAATCACTTCACACATAATGTTTGTTTTAGACATGTGTGTGACGTCATGAAGGCTACGTAACATAAATGTGACGTCTTGTCGTCTACCAGACATTTTCTTGACGTCATGTCGACTACCAGACATGTTTTTGACGTCATGTCGACTACCAGACATGTTTTTGACGTCATGTCGACTACCAGACATGTTTTTGACGTCATGTCGACTACCAGACATGTTTTTGACGTCATGTCGACTACCAGACATGTTTTTGACGTCATGTCGACTACCAGACATGTTTTTGACGTCATGTCGACTACCAGGTATTGACAAGCACGTAACACAAGAGTAGATCCTGTGTTTTTGAAGCTACGAAAATTGATTTCGTTGTTCAAAGATATCATTCGTCGCAAAAGATTGACCATATGATATAAGTAAATATCCCCATTACATTAATGAAGTAAATTTAACGCTTCGAAGTTTTACATTTTTTCTTGTTATCTGAGTCAAACAATTTTTTTTTAAATTCAAATATTTGAAAATTGTAAATATTTACAAATTAAATTGTAGCTTTTAAAAAGAAACAAACATTCATACTGCTTTTGTTCTTTGATTTATTGAAGACAGTTCATATGCAACTATTCGGAACGTTGTCTTCATCTAAGCAGCTGTCGCCATTAATGTTTTCATCTGTTCTATCCAGGGCAGAAAGCTGGAGACCTTGGTGTAGAGGCCAGCAGACGAGCCACAGTACTCGGGACCTGCAGACACGATGCCGTACTCGTAGAAGCGGCCGTCTGCTTCTTTACAGGCTAGTGGACCGCCAGAGTCGCCCTACAACATCAGACAGGGGGAGGGGGGGCATTAGACATGGATAGTGGTCACTCAAAGTTTTTATATAAATGGTTATTTCTAGAGGTGAGACAAATCTGTTTGTGCTAGCTAAAACAAGTGTTAAGAAATGCCAAACTTTTGCTTTAGTGCAATACAAGCACACATCTACGTTAAAACCTAAACGTTAAAGCGCTATACCTGCACACACTGTACAATCACACGACACGACAGAACAATTTGACGACAACAGATCTACAACTAACCCGACAGGAATCCATTCCAGGTGAGCCAGCACAGAAGTTACTGCCGTGGTAGTAGAGGCCGTAGTTGGACTGGCAGGTGACGTCAGACACGACAGGTACATCCACCCACAGCATGGTGCTCTGGATGGTACCTGTGGTGCTACCTGTGGATGTACAACAGTGAGTTAGACCACCACAGCATGGTGCTACCTGTAGCCTGAGGCTATCTTACATCGCCACAAAGTCCTGTTGAAGCGAACAAAGTGTAATCCGATGACAGCGACGTAAAATGTTGCTTGCACTAAACCAAACAAAGAGCAAAAGCACCCACAACAAGAACCCACCATTCAACAAACATAATGTGTAGATAACATTTACTATGATACTTTCTCATTCACACAAGTTAATAAAACGGATTTGATAATAAACACGAACACACCAAAGTATAAATATTTCTAACCCAAGAGCAATGCGTCTACATCGTTAAAATGTAAAACTCTGTTCTAATGGTGACAGGACAAATAATCTCAGACAAAATATCAGAAAGCAAAATATGTATAGAATTTAGGATTTGTGGTCAATTTTAACATTTTTTTTAGTGTCACGTGGATTTTTTTTTTTTAGTTTTTTAATTGCGAGAACCTTTTTCTAGAAATACCAGTATCAAACCAAAAACTCACTGGAATTTTTGCCCCAGCCCATAGCTCTACAGCCTGATGCCATTTGTGGAGTTTTGGAACCGTCGACCAGACAGATGGGTCTGTGGCACGTGTCAAATGTGATGGGTGTGGTCAATTCAAGGAGGGCGATGTCGTTTGCTGAAATAGACGATATTTTAAAAATAGCCCTTGGGGAAATCGACCAAACTGACTTATAATATATAACTACAAACAAGGGATTTGCACCCACCTAAGTACTTCGGGTCGTAACTTGCGTGTGTGGCGACTGTGGCGACTGTTCGCCTAATGACGCCAGGGACACTGGTCTCAAAAGGCATGACGTTGGACCCCGTGTACACCGTCAGGTCGGAGGCTGCCGTGGTGCTGATGGCCCCAGTCCTGGAAGTTGACTAGTTCAGGGAATATGGTGCAGTCAGTCAAGTTCAGGGAATATGGTGGGGTCAGTCAAGTTCAGGGAATATGGTGGGGTCAGTCAAGTTCAGGGAATATGGTGGGATCAGTCAAGTTCAGGGAATATGTGCGGTCAGTCAAGTTCAGGGAATATGGTGCGGTCAGTCAAGTTCAGGGAATATGGTGCGGTCAGTCAAGTTCAGGGAATATGGTGCGGTCAGTCAAGTTCAGGGAATATGGTGCGGTCAATCAAGTTCAGGGAATATGGTGCGGTCAGTCAAGTCAGTCAAGTTCAGGGAATATGGTGCGGTCAGTCAAGTTCAGGGAATATGGGCGGTCAGTCAAGTTCAGGGAATATGGTGCAGTCAGTCAAGTTCAGGGAATATGGTGCGGTCAGTCAAGTTCAGGGAATATGGTGCGGTCAATCAAGTTCAGGGAATATGGTGCGGTCAGTCAAGTTAGTCAAGTTCAGGGAATATGGTGCGGTCAGTCAAGTTCAGGGAATATGGGCGGTCAGTCAAGTTCAGGGAATATGGTGCGGTCAGTCAAGTTCAGGGAATATGGTGCGGTCAATCAAGTACAGGGAATATGGTACGGTCAGTCAAGTTCAGGGAATATGCTGCGGTCAATCAAGTTCAGGGAATATGGTGGGGTCAGTCAAGTTCAGGGAATATGGTACGGTCAATCAAGTTCAGGGAATATGGTGGGGTCAGTCAAGTTCAGGGAATATGGTGGGGTCAGTCAAGTTCAGGGAATATGGTACGGTCAGTCAAGTTCAGGGAATATGGTGGGGTCAGTCAAGTTCAGGGAATATGGTGCGGTCAATCAAGTTCAGGGAATATGGTGGGGTCAGTCAAGTTCAGGGAATATGGTGGGGTCAGTCAAGTTCAGGGAATATGTTGCGGTCAGTCAAGTTCAGGGAATATGGTGGGGTCAGTCAAGTTCAGGGAATATGGTGCGGTCAGTCAAGTTCAGGGAATATGGTGCGGTCAATCAAGTTCAGGGAATATGGTGCGGTCAGTCAAGTCAGTCAAGTTCAGGGAATATGGTGCGGTCAGTCAAGTTCAGGGAATATGGGCGGTCAGTCAAGTTCAGGGAATATGGTGCAGTCAGTCAAGTTCAGGGAATATGGTGCGGTCAGTCAAGTTCAGGGAATATGGTGCGGTCAATCAAGTTCAGGGAATATGGTGCGGTCAGTCAAGTTAGTCAAGTTCAGGGAATATGGTGCGGTCAGTCAAGTTCAGGGAATATGGGCGGTCAGTCAAGTTCAGGGAATATGGTGCGGTCAGTCAAGTTCAGGGAATATGGTGCGGTCAATCAAGTACAGGGAATATGGTACGGTCAGTCAAGTTCAGGGAATATGCTGCGGTCAATCAAGTTCAGGGAATATGGTGGGGTCAGTCAAGTTCAGGGAATATGGTACGGTCAATCAAGTTCAGGGAATATGGTGGGGTCAGTCAAGTTCAGGGAATATGGTGGGGTCAGTCAAGTTCAGGGAATATGTTGCGGTCAGTCAAGTTCAGGGAATATGGTGGGGTCAGTCAAGTTCAGGGAATATGGTGCGGTCAATCAAGTTCAGGGAATATGGTGGGGTCAGTCAAGTTCAGGGAATATGGTGGGGTCAGTCAAGTTCAGGGAATATGTTGCGGTCAGTCAAGTTCAGGGAATATGGTGGGGTCAGTCAAGTTCAGGGAATATGGTGGGGTCAGTCAAGTTCAGGGAATATGCTGCGGTCAGTCAAGTTCAGGGAATATGCTGCGGTCAATCAAGTTCAGGGAATATGGTGGGGTCAGTCAAGTTCAGGGAATATGGTACGGTCAATCAAGTTCAGGGAATATGGTGGGGTCAGTTAAGTTCAGGGAATATGGTGGGGTCAGTCAAGTTCAGGGAATATGTTGCGGTCAGTCAAGTTCAGGGAATATGGTGGGGTCAGTCAAGTTCAGGGAATATGGTGGGGTCTGTCAAGTTCAGGGAATATGCTGCAGTCAATCAAGTTCAGGGAATATGGTGGGGTCAGTCAAGTTCAGGGAATATGGTGCGGTCAGTCAAGTTCAGGGAATATGGGCGGTCAGTCTTAAGTCTTCTATGATAGCAGTCTAACATACAAACATATGTAAACCACACCTGCATCAATCACTTCACACATAATGTTTGTTTTAGACATGTGTGTGACGTCATGAAGGCTACGTAACATAAATGTGACGTCTTGTCGTCTACCAGACATTTTCTTGACGTCATGTCGACTACCAGACATGTTTTTGACGTCATGTCGACTACCAGACATGTTTTTGACGTCATGTCGACTACCAGACATGTTTTTGACGTCATGTCGACTACCAGACATGTTTTTGACGTCATGTCGACTACCAGACATGTTTTTGACGTCATGTCGACTACCAGACATGTTTTTGACGTCATGTCGACTACCAGGTATTGACAAGCACGTAACACAAGAGTAGATCCTGTGTTTTTGAAGCTACGAAAATTGATTTCGTTGTTCAAAGATATCATTCGTCGCAAAAGATTGACCATATGATATAAGTAAATATCCCCATTACATTAATGAAGTAAATTTAACGCTTCGAAGTTTTACATTTTTTCTTGTTATCTGAGTCAAACAATTTTTTTTTAAATTCAAATATTTGAAAATTGTAAATATTTACAAATTAAATTGTAGCTTTTAAAAAGAAACAAACATTCATACTGCTTTTGTTCTTTGATTTATTGAAGACAGTTCATATGCAACTATTCGGAACGTTGTCTTCATCTAAGCAGCTGTCGCCATTAATGTTTTCATCTGTTCTATCCAGGGCAGAAAGCTGGAGACCTTGGTGTAGAGGCCAGCAGACGAGCCACAGTACTCGGGACCTGCAGACACGATGCCGTACTCGTAGAAGCGGCCGTCTGCTTCTTTACAGGCTAGTGGACCGCCAGAGTCGCCCTACAACATCAGACAGGGGGAGGGGGGGCATTAGACATGGATAGTGGTCACTCAAAGTTTTTATATAAATGGTTATTTCTAGAGGTGAGACAAATCTGTTTGTGCTAGCTAAAACAAGTGTTAAGAAATGCCAAACTTTTGCTTTAGTGCAATACAAGCACACATCTACGTTAAAACCTAAACGTTAAAGCGCTATACCTGCACACACTGTACAATCACACGACACGACAGAACAATTTGACGACAACAGATCTACAACTAACCCGACAGGAATCCATTCCAGGTGAGCCAGCACAGAAGTTACTGCCGTGGTAGTAGAGGCCGTAGTTGGACTGGCAGGTGACGTCAGACACGACAGGTACATCCACCCACAGCATGGTGCTCTGGATGGTACCTGTGGTGCTACCTGTGGATGTACAACAGTGAGTTAGACCACCACAGCATGGTGCTACCTGTAGCCTGAGGCTATCTTACATCGCCACAAAGTCCTGTTGAAGCGAACAAAGTGTAATCCGATGACAGCGACGTAAAATGTTGCTTGCACTAAACCAAACAAAGAGCAAAAGCACCCACAACAAGAACCCACCATTCAACAAACATAATGTGTAGATAACATTTACTATGATACTTTCTCATTCACACAAGTTAATAAAACGGATTTGATAATAAACACGAACACACCAAAGTATAAATATTTCTAACCCAAGAGCAATGCGTCTACATCGTTAAAATGTAAAACTCTGTTCTAATGGTGACAGGACAAATAATCTCAGACAAAATATCAGAAAGCAAAATATGTATAGAATTTAGGATTTGTGGTCAATTTTAACATTTTTTTTAGTGTCACGTGGATTTTTTTTTTTTAGTTTTTTAATTGCGAGAACCTTTTTCTAGAAATACCAGTATCAAACCAAAAACTCACTGGAATTTTTGCCCCAGCCCATAGCTCTACAGCCTGATGCCATTTGTGGAGTTTTGGAACCGTCGACCAGACAGATGGGTCTGTGGCACGTGTCAAATGTGATGGGTGTGGTCAATTCAAGGAGGGCGATGTCGTTTGCTGAAATAGACGATATTTTAAAAATAGCCCTTGGGGAAATCGACCAAACTGACTTATAATATATAACTACAAACAAGGGATTTGCACCCACCTAAGTACTTCGGGTCGTAACTTGCGTGTGTGGCGACTGTGGCGACTGTTCGCCTAATGACGCCAGGGACACTGGTCTCAAAAGGCATGACGTTGGACCCCGTGTACACCGTCAGGTCGGAGGCTGCCGTGGTGCTGATGGCCCCAGTCCTGGAAGTTGACTAGTTCAGGGAATATGGTGCAGTCAGTCAAGTTCAGGGAATATGGTGGGGTCAGTCAAGTTCAGGGAATATGGTGGGGTCAGTCAAGTTCAGGGAATATGGTGGGATCAGTCAAGTTCAGGGAATATGTGCGGTCAGTCAAGTTCAGGGAATATGGTGCGGTCAGTCAAGTTCAGGGAATATGGTGCGGTCAGTCAAGTTCAGGGAATATGGTGCGGTCAGTCAAGTTCAGGGAATATGGTGCGGTCAATCAAGTTCAGGGAATATGGTGCGGTCAGTCAAGTCAGTCAAGTTCAGGGAATATGGTGCGGTCAGTCAAGTTCAGGGAATATGGGCGGTCAGTCAAGTTCAGGGAATATGGTGCAGTCAGTCAAGTTCAGGGAATATGGTGCGGTCAGTCAAGTTCAGGGAATATGGTGCGGTCAATCAAGTTCAGGGAATATGGTGCGGTCAGTCAAGTTAGTCAAGTTCAGGGAATATGGTGCGGTCAATCAAGTACAGGGAATATGGTACGGTCAGTCAAGTTCAGGGAATATGCTGCGGTCAATCAAGTTCAGGGAATATGGTGGGGTCAGTCAAGTTCAGGGAATATGGTACGGTCAATCAAGTTCAGGGAATATGGTGGGGTCAGTCAAGTTCAGGGAATATGGTGGGGTCAGTCAAGTTCAGGGAATATGGTACGGTCAGTCAAGTTCAGGGAATATGGTGGGGTCAGTCAAGTTCAGGGAATATGGTGCGGTCAATCAAGTTCAGGGAATATGGTGGGGTCAGTCAAGTTCAGGGAATATGGTGGGGTCAGTCAAGTTCAGGGAATATGTTGCGGTCAGTCAAGTTCAGGGAATATGGTGGGGTCAGTCAAGTTCAGGGAATATGGTGCGGTCAGTCAAGTTCAGGGAATATGGTGCGGTCAATCAAGTTCAGGGAATATGGTGCGGTCAGTCAAGTCAGTCAAGTTCAGGGAATATGGTGCGGTCAGTCAAGTTCAGGGAATATGGGCGGTCAGTCAAGTTCAGGGAATATGGTGCAGTCAGTCAAGTTCAGGGAATATGGTGCGGTCAGTCAAGTTCAGGGAATATGGTGCGGTCAATCAAGTTCAGGGAATATGGTGCGGTCAGTCAAGTTAGTCAAGTTCAGGGAATATGGTGCGGTCAGTCAAGTTCAGGGAATATGGGCGGTCAGTCAAGTTCAGGGAATATGGTGCGGTCAGTCAAGTTCAGGGAATATGGTGCGGTCAATCAAGTACAGGGAATATGGTACGGTCAGTCAAGTTCAGGGAATATGCTGCGGTCAATCAAGTTCAGGGAATATGGTGGGGTCAGTCAAGTTCAGGGAATATGGTACGGTCAATCAAGTTCAGGGAATATGGTGGGGTCAGTCAAGTTCAGGGAATATGGTGGGGTCAGTCAAGTTCAGGGAATATGTTGCGGTCAGTCAAGTTCAGGGAATATGGTGGGGTCAGTCAAGTTCAGGGAATATGGTGCGGTCAATCAAGTTCAGGGAATATGGTGGGGTCAGTCAAGTTCAGGGAATATGGTGGGGTCAGTCAAGTTCAGGGAATATGTTGCGGTCAGTCAAGTTCAGGGAATATGGTGGGGTCAGTCAAGTTCAGGGAATATGGTGGGGTCAGTCAAGTTCAGGGAATATGCTGCGGTCAGTCAAGTTCAGGGAATATGCTGCGGTCAATCAAGTTCAGGGAATATGGTGGGGTCAGTCAAGTTCAGGGAATATGGTACGGTCAATCAAGTTCAGGGAATATGGTGGGGTCAGTTAAGTTCAGGGAATATGGTGGGGTCAGTCAAGTTCAGGGAATATGTTGCGGTCAGTCAAGTTCAGGGAATATGGTGGGGTCAGTCAAGTTCAGGGAATATGGTGGGGTCAGTCAAGTTCAGGGAATATGCTGCAGTCAATCAAGTTCAGGGAATATGGTGGGGTCAGTCAAGTTCAGGGAATATGGTGCGGTCAGTCAAGTTCAGGGAATATGGGCGGTCAGTCAAGTTCAGGGAATATGGTACGGTCAGTCAAGTTCAGGTGATTTATGGTGCGGTCAGTCAAGTCAGTCAAGTTCAGGGAATATGGCCCGGTCAGTCAAGTTCAGGGAATATGGTACGGTCAGTCAAGTTCAGGGAATATGGTACGGTCAGTCAAGTTAAGGGAATATGGTGGGGTCAGTCAAGTTCAGGGAATATGGAGGGGTCATTCAAGTTCAGGGAATATTGTACGGTCAGTCAAGTTCAGGGAATATGCTGCGGTCAGTCAAGTCAGTCAAGTTCAGGGAATATGGCGCGGTCAGTCAAGTTAAGGGAATATGGTGCGGTCAGTTAAGTTCAGGGAATATGGGCGGTCAGTCAAGTTAAGGGAATATGGTGCGGTCAGTCAAGTTCAGGGAATATGGTAGGGTCAGTTAAGTTCAGGGAATATGGTGCGGTCAGTCAAGTTCAGGGAATATGGTGCGGTCAGTCAAGTTCAGGGAATATGGGCGGTCAGTCAAGTTCAGGGAATATGGTGCGGTCAGTCAAGTTCAGGGAATATGGTGCGGTCAGTCAAGTTCAGGGAATATGCTGCGGTCAGTCAAGTCAGTCAAGTTCAGGGAATATGGTGCGGTCAGTCAAGTTCAGGGAATATGGTGCGGTCAGTCAAGTTCAGGGAATATGGTGCGGTCAGTTAAGTTCAGGGAATATGGTGCGGTCAGTCAAGTTCAGGGAATATGGCGCGGTCAGTCAAGTTCAGGGAATATGGTAGGGTCAGTTAAGTTCAGGGAATATGGGCGGTCAGTCAAGTTCAGGGAATATGGTGCGGTCAGTCAAGTTCAGGGAATATGGGCGGTCAGTCAAGTTCAGGGAATATGGTGCGGTCAGTCAAGTTCAGGGAATAGCGTGCGGTCAGTCAAGTTCAGGGAATAGCGTGCGGTCAGTCAAGTCAGTAAAGTACAGGGATTATGGTGAGGTCAGTCAACCCGTATATTTTTTAGAGCTTAACTAAACAATCTAGTTCAACTGTTCTTTACTCGATTGTGTAGCCTTATGTTCTAAAAAATATTTAGATTTACGGAGTTAACAAAGCTCTTTTCGTGGGGTCATGGTGTACAAAGTTAACAAAACTCTTTACGTGGGGTCATGGTGTACAAAGTTAACAAAACTCTTTACGTGGGGTCATGGTGTACAAAGTTAACAAAACTCTTTACGTGGGGTCATGGTGTACAAAGTTAACAAAACACTTTACGTGGGGTCCTGGTGTACGAAGTTAACAAAACACTTTACGTGGGGTCATGGTGTTCAAAGTTAACAAAGCTCTTTACGTGGGGTCCAAGTGTACAAAGTTAACAAAACACTTTACGTGGGGTCCTGGTGTACAAAGTTAACAAAACTCTTTACGTGGGGTCATGGTGTACAAAGTTAACAAAACTCTTTACGTGGGGTCCTGGTGTACAAAGTTAACAAAACTCTTTACGTGGGGTCCTGGTGTACAAAGTTAACAAAATTCTTTACGTGGGGTCCCGGTGTACAAAGTTAACAAAACTCTTTACGTGGGGTCCTGGTGTACAAAGTTAACAAAACTCTTTACGTGGGGTCCTGGTGTACGAAGTTAACAAAGCTCTTTACGTGGGGTCCTGGTGTACAAAGTTAACAAAACACTTTACGTGGGGTCCTGGTGTACAAAGTTAACAAAACACTTTAGGTGGGGTCCTGGTGTACGAAGTTAACAAAACTCTTTACGTGGGGTCCTGGTGTACGAAGTTAACAAAACTCTTTACGTGGGGTCCTGGTGTACGAAGCAGTGAGCAGCAGACAGGATGTGCGTTTGGTCGATGATGGTGCCGCCACAGACCGTGGAGTAGTAGCTGTTGTAGATCATCACCATCCAGGGATACTCGCAGGCTGTTGTCGTGGTCCCACCCACGATCCTGTAGCTGTTGGCGATACCGCACTGGGCTGGGGAGGGGGGTTTGACGAAAAAATTATTGGCTAAACTTGTCAAAATTTGATCTACTTATGTAAATATCTAACAGGTTAATATGATCATATTTCGATCGTAATCTAGGTTGATCATTTGGAGCAGTGATTACATCATCTATCTTACATTAAAAATGCTTGTGTAAATTAGATATGTAAGCACTAAAGGGATTCAAGTAAATGGAAATAAATGTTTCTTAGATACAAGAAACAACTTTAAAATAACATGCTAAAGACGAGGTTTCTTCTTAAATATTTGAGTTAAATGGTAATAGGGGGAACATGTTGAACTGATCTACATGATTTAATAAACTTATATTTGTATACTTCACATGTACTTTTCATGAGATTTTTGAGTTTGCACTAATCCGTGTTAAGCAATATCCTCTCTTTAATAACTAGCCGTCGGTACCCGTTACACATGAATTATAGGCCTAAGTATTTTAATGTTAAACTTGTTTGAGAAAACTATTTGATAAAATAATTATTGATCAAAGCGCAATGTGCTTTACCAACACGTTGAACGATATTAGTGAAAAAGCAAAGAAATAACTTAATAGCTAAAAACCCGACGCACAGGCTAACAATCCTAATACATAAAATACATGAAAATAATATGTTAGATGTTTTAAATTTATAAACTAAATTTTATTTAAAGAACGAAATTAAAAATAAAGGCATATTCGAATGAAGAGACACATTTTTTATTATGCAACCGGAAAAGTGTTTATAGTTGTGACAAGAACGCAATAAACAATGACGTCACAAGCCTCATGTTTAAACCACGGAAATAACACAACACTAATGGCGTCATCTTCCGATTTTAGAATATAAAGAAATGAACTATTTCATTTAAATTTGATTTAGATCTAGATTCTATAAATCTACGTATCAAGACGTGCGCTATAAATTGTATAAAATTGTCTTGGTTAAACTAATACAAATTACTTTAAAAAACAACATAATGACCATTGAATAGCCGGGTTTTTAACGGAATCATTTAAGTCTCATAATCAGTGTATGCATTTAATATGGTGTTGTGTTGACTAAAAGTGTGCGTTGAAGGAATATCCATATCCACACCAATGAGACGCATACACAATGGACGTGCTAAAGGAATATCCACACCAACCTAACCCAAGGACGTGCTAAAGGAATATCCACACCAACCTAATCCAAGGACGTGCTACCGCCACCCGCGCGCAGCGCAGAGCAGGCGCTCTGCTCGTATTGAAATACCGCCTGATCGCTAAGGCTCGGTAAACATAAAAATGAATGTTGAATGATACCCACCTACCAACATATTTCACGCTGCCATCATCTTTATCAAGGTTTCCCAATGAGAAATTTTTCAACAACGCGACTATTTGTATTTTGCTTACTAGAGAAGGTAGACAGCGAAGTGATATATTTTAAAAACTAGAGAACTTACATTTAACTAGAGCAGGTAGACAGCGAAGTGATATATTTAAAAAAAATAGAGAACTTACATTGAACTAGAGAAGGTAGACAGCGAAGTGATATATTTTTAAAAAATAGAGAACTTACATTTAACTAGAGCAGGTAGACAGCGAAGTGATATATTTTTAAAAAATAGAGAACTTACATTGAACTAGAGCAGGTAGACAGCGAAGTGATATATTTTTAAAAAATAGAGAACTTACATTTAACTAGAGCAGGTAGACAGCGAAGTGATATATTTTTAAAAAATAGAGAACTTACATTGAACTAGAGCAGGTAGACAGCGAAGTGATATATTTTTAAAAAATAGAGAACTTACATTGAACTAGAGCAGGTAGACAGCGAAGTGATATATTTTTAAAAAATAGAGAACTTACATTGAACTAGATAAGGCAGACAGCGAAGTGTTATATTTTAAAAAATAGAGAACTTACATTGAACTAGAGCAGGTAGACAGCGAAGTGATATATTTTAAAAAATAGAGAACTTACATTGAACTAGAGAAGTTGTTGTACTAGCAGACACGCTAGTTGTAGGTGGCGCTGATGTGGTAGTTGTTGCTTTAGTTGTTGTTGTGGTTGGTACTGGTGTGGTAGTTGTTGCTTTAGTTGTTGTTGTGGTTGGTACTGGTGTGGTAGTTGTTGCTTTAGTTGTTGTTGTGGTTGGTACAGATGTGGTAGTTGTTGCTTTAGTTGTTGTTGTGGTTGGTACTGGTGTGGTAGTTGTTGCTTTAGTTGTTGTTGTGGTTGGTACTGGTGTGGTAGTTGTTGCTTTAGTTGTTGTTGTGGTTGGTATTGGTGTGGTAGTTGTTGCTTTAGTTGTTGTTGTGGTTGGTATTGGTGTGGTAGTTGTTGCTTTAGTTGTTGTTGTGGTTGGTATTGGTGTGGTAGTTGTTGCTTTAGTTGTTGTTGTGGTTGGTACTGATGTGGTAGTTGTTGCTTTAGTTGTTGTTGTGGTTGGTACTGGTGTGGTAGTTGTTGCTTTAGTTGTTGTTGTAGTAGGTACTGGCGTTATGGTTGTCGCCTTGGTTGTTGTGGTTGGTGCTTGTGTGGTGGTTGTTGCTTTGGTTGTTGTGGTTGGTGTTGGTGTGGTGGTTGTTGCTTTAGTTGTTGTTGTGGTTTGTGCTGGTATGGTAGTTGTTGGTGTGGTAGTTGTTGATGTTGCAGTTGTTGTGGTTGGCACTATGGTGGTGGTAGCTGTCGTATTCAACACGACAGAGTAGATGGCGAACTCAGCGTGGCAGAGGCCAGTGATCCACAGGTAGAGGTTGTCGGTGGTGATGCCGTAGGTCTGGTTCTGTTGGAGAGATACAACATCACCAGCACATTTTTATTTTACTTTTTTCTAAGCACTGATTTTTATCATGAATTAAATACACAAATACACATTAATCGCAATTTGTATACTGTTGTTGGCCACTTAGTCAACTAACGACATACACAATTGACGCAACTGACCACTGACACAAATGACCACTGACACAACTGACCACTGACACAACTGACCACTGACGCAACTAACCACTGACACAACTGACCACTAAAACAACTAACCACTGACACAACTGACCACTAAAACAACTGACCACTGACACAAATGACCACTGACACAACTGACCACTGACACAACTGACCACTGACACAAATTACTACTGACACAACTGACCACTGACACAAATTACTACTGACACAAATGACCACTTACCTCAACACAGCTGTAAGTAGAGTACTGGTTAATGACCTTGGCCACCAAGGTCATGTTGGGGGTGGTGTTGGGGATGGCGATTTTCCCCACGGTGTTGTAGTAGTAGGACCGACACACTCCACGTCCTATCTCAACATACGTGTCTGTAAAACAACAGCAGTCAAGTCTCAAGTTGTGATCTCAAGATTTGTGTGGGTTGGAGGTTACACAATCCTTTTGTCTTGTCTAAATAGTACAAGTCCCATCAGTCTTGTCTAAATAGTACAAGTCCCATCAGTCTTGTCTAAATAGTACAAGTCCCATCAGTCTTGTCCAAATAGTACAAGTCCCATCAGTCTTGTCCAAATAGTACAAGTCCCATCAGTTTTGTCAAAATGGCATATAATCGACAACAATGAAGAAAGAAAGAAACATGAAAGTTCTCTTCAATAGTTTTGTTGTTCAGCTTTTTGACATCTAGATTTATTTACACCCACACTGAAACTTAAGAAATTACGTTAAAATGTTGCTTTCAGCTTTCAAAATATTTAGATAGATTGTTAAATATTGAACAAATTTCCTACAATATCGCAAAAGTTAGCCATCCGTCAAATGTAGAAGATCGGTAAATGTTAGCAATCCGTCAAACTTTATACAACATTGGTAAATGTTAGTTTTTTGTCAAATTTAGATTTTTCATGTTAAAAATGACAAAGGGCGACAGTTATAATTCAAATGATGCTTAACTTTGCACAAAACCAAACTAAAACCCAATCAAAAAGCTACAAACAAAAAGCTACAAACAAAAAGTTACAAACAAAAAATTACAAAAAAAAAAGTTACAAAAAAAGTAACAAACAAAACGTTAGAAACCAAAAGCTACAAACAAAAAGCTACAAACAAAATGCTACAAACAAAAAGCTACAGACAAAAAGCTACAAACAAAAAGCTACAAACAAAAAGCTACAAACAAAAAGCTACAAACAAAAAGCTACAAACAAAAAGCTACAAACAAAAAGCTACAAACAAAAAGCTACAAACAAAAAGCTACAAACAAAAAGCTACAAACACTCCTGTGAAGCCACCAGGCCAAGGATGAGTATCAAAACAGCTGGAAAGAAATTCATTTTTTTTCGTGTCTTCTTCTCTAGCTGAGGTTTGCCAACTTGCAACGGGAGAACTCTATCAAGACTGCCACACAATCGTGGGTAGCAAGATGGCTTTTATACATGTCATCGACAGACATGGACACCAGCATCAAACTCGTGTTGACCAGACGAATATCCAGACCAAAGCGACACGTAGACAAGTGATGACGGATGTAGGAAATTAAGACCTAAGGAAGCGGACAGATGAACCCACACTAACAAGGTGTTGAGTTCGAGAACTGATACGATCGGTCTGTTTGTACATGAACAGCTGGATGGGTTTAGAAGTCGGTCGCTTTACTATTCTGTCTATTCACAGTCTATTCACAGTCTATTCGCTGTCTATTCACAGTCTATTCACAGTCTATTCACAATCTATTTACAGTCTATTCGCAGTCTAATTACAGTCTATTCACAGTCTATTCACAGTCTATTCACAATCTATTTACAGTCTATTCGCAGTCTAATTACAGTCTATTTACAGTCTATTCTTTTCTTACACTTAGAGCTTTACTCCAGATGAAAAATTAGAATCATGATCAATTGCGGACAAACCTAATAATTGTACCCGATACCGTGTGAAATAATATTGCATTATCAGTTTTTATAATGGTTTTAAATTAAAATATTTATAAATTAATTATAAATATAAAAATTAATACACTCAACTATATAGCAGTATACAATCAAAAGAGAGGTAAACAGTTGAATTATTATATGACGTATCGACACATTTCATTTAGCGATATTTTATCTTTATATCCCCATCTTCCACTGATATTCTAATTAACATAAAATGCGTTCTTATCCCAATTAGCCATTGCTCGATGTGACGCTACAAGAGCTCGATGTTCTGTAATGAAGTTTTTTGGGTTCGCTTTATTTCTATTGATGTCATATTGTATAGATTTGTACTATATTATTTACTAAGTTGAATCAGGCGGTTCCGGCGCCTTAGCATGGTGCGATTTGGCGCCCCTGGCAAAACTGTCTCACACTTTGCGTTTATGTTTGCATTTAAGTTTGTATTTATGTTTGCGTTTATTTGCATTATTGTGAGTTATTGTTTGCGTTTATGTTTGCGTTTGTGTTTCTATTTGTATTTGCGTTTGTGTTTGCTTTGTGTTTGGATTTGGCTTTGTGTTTGTGGTTGGGTTTGTGTTTGCGTTTGGATCGGGGTTTGTTTTCGTTTGCTTTTTCGTTTGCGTTTGTGTTTGTGTTTTCTTTGTGTTTGTGGTTGGGTTTGTGTTTGCGTTTGAATTTGTGTTTGCGTCTGTGTTATGTTTGCGGTTGTTTTTTGTGTTTTGGTTTTTGGTTTTTTTTGGTTGTGGTTAGGGTTAATTCGAAAAGTAATATATTTTCTAACCCCGGGTATATGCTGGTTACTATACACACCAGTCATGTTCCTTTTCAGATAGGTTTTTTTACAGATGCCAGTGCAGGGCCTGGCTCGCACGGCTAGTGAAAAATAAATACATTTCATGATTTAAAAATCTCTTGTTTAATTACTGATAGGTCGATCATCACAGGTCCCTAAAATGTTGTATCTTTTTGATAATATTTTACTTTTGGGCACTAAATCAAGGTATGACTCTTGATTTCGTTTATAATTACATACATATTAAAATATCGATTTAAAAAAAAAACCATATAAATATGATGCATAAATAAACTATTTATTGTCACGAAATATGGCCAATGAGGTAAGATCGCAGCAGCTCGTACATTGTCAGGAAGTGCCTTGAAGTCTGGCACTGTCAGAAGACTGGTACAAAGATTTCTGACTGCTTTATTCATGCCAGGACAGTAATCATTAATAAACATGTCTGTACGGTAGTATCACACTTCCCCCTTTACAAGTCAATCTATGTTTATCAAAGCCAATAAATGTATTTTATATTTGCTTATTAAATTAAGTTTAAGAATATTCTCTCTTGATCTTATAAGTAAACTGCAGATACTGTACATTAAAAGATCTTAAAATTATTGTTTTTTCACTGCATATACTACATGCACATTAAAATCATTTTTTTACAGAAAAACTTTTTAACACATCACAAGCTATTAGATGAGAAAGATCGATGCGCAAATCTTCGGTTACATGGACGAAATGATCAGGATGTGAGTGTAGAGTTGTGTTACTGGTGATCAGGTGACAGGTGTTTAAACACAGGTGAACACCTGCCAGGTTCGTGTGACGTCATGAAACAATAGTCCCGGGGTGGCCTGACTTGTTGACCCACGGGCAATTTTACGTCAATCCTGGTCATTATGTGACCCATCTTTTCTTGGCTTAGTTACCTGCAGTGTATGGTGACACCAACAGTAGGTGGTGTAGTGGTGACACCAACAGTAGGTGGTGTAGTGGTGACACCAACAGTGTGTGGTGTAGTGGTGACACCAATAGTATGTGATGTAGTGGTGACACCAATAGTATGTGGTGTAGTGGTGACACCAACAGTGTGTGGTGTAGTGGTGACACCAATAGTATGTGATGTAGTGGTGACACCAATAGTATGTGGTGTAGTGTTGACACCAACAATATGTGATGTAGTGGTGACATCAGGAGTTGTATTGGTGTGGCAACATGTATGCTGTCTGATGGCGTTATTGACTTATTTTATGTTTTAGTGGTGTTACCAACATGTCTTCTGCAGGTGTCTTTCAAATGTTATATGTTAAATGTTAAAATGTTATGTCATCAGCTGTACGTATTGTAACGACGACAGCGCAGTGTGATGAATTTATCTATGGCATCTTTCCTCGGCAAGGTTCAGCTGTCACCGAGCCAGCTAATGAATCAAGTCGTAGATCAAGATGTTGGTAGACATTGTTGGTAGACATTGTTGGTAGACATTGTTGGTAGACAATGTTGGTAGACATTGACACGACCCCAATCTTGGTGACGTCTCTTGTTGGTGTCTGGGCTATTTCATCATGCGATACGTCTGAGCGATTTACACACACACACACAGACATATATATATGTATATATATATATATATATATATATATATATATATATATATATATATATATATAGGCTATATGTGTGTATAACATAGTAGTTATAAACGTTTGTAGTGACTTTTAAAACCAAATTTGACGAGTTATCAGCCGTACATAGCGAGTGAGCTACTGATTTTCCCCTTACATACCTACACAAATGCCTTGCTTGCTAAGCTCTCACTTAAACTCTCTACCTGACCTTTTGGTGTAAAGGTTAATTAGCCAGCCAACACGACACCCCTAGTGTCAAACGGCAGGTGACATTTTTAATCAGGTCAAAAGCCGAGAACAAATGTGAAAATGTGACAGAATTTGAGCCATTTTAAAACTTCAACAAACAGTAAGCAATAGTCGAGAGGTAAAAAGTTTCACTGTCGTGTAGTTTTAACATAGGACTATCTCTAATACTTAGGCGGTGTACTGGAACCTGAGACAATATAGGTCTGGAGTGAAACAACGTTGACAAGTTAACATAGCAGCTTGTAGTAGGCCTCAAGGCTTCAGTACATGTCGACCACGTTAGTTCATTGATCAAATCTACACGTCTTAGTACAACAGAAAATAACACAAAATTAGAGGTAACAGAAATTTAATATAAAAATACAAACAAAAATATATTTGGATCAAAGTTGAGTTGAAATGTAGTTGACAGAGTAGACAGGTATGGCTGAGTAATCAGGGCCTTTTGCTGACGCCAGTTAGAACTTCTTGATTCAGATCAGAACATCGTGTAACAGTGTAACACAGACAAGAAATTTTTTTTTAAATTAAAGACAATTTTCCTCCCACAGAATATATCACCGTGTATAAATTATTTAAATGATCATGTGATCGGGCCACACCCTCAGCCCAACCCCCCCCCCCCAACCCCCAGAAAGTTAAAGCTAGTTCAGTCATCATGTGGCCGATGTAGTAAAACAGCAACAGCCGCTGTCTATCCTACCATCGTCTGGGAGCCGTCACCCCCGTTGGCGTCCATGGTGTTCTGGATCCAGGTCAGGTAGGGCGCCACCTCTGTGACGTAGAGGTTGTAGCGGCCGTTGGAGCACATGTTGAAGGGCAGGATGCCGCGTACCACCCAGTTGTTGCCGTTAGAGCACATCACGGCCCCGCCCTCGTCGCCCTGGGGAGGGAGAGATATTTGTAATTAGAGGTGTACAGTGTACATACAGGGGTACACAGAGAGATGTTGGTAGTTAGAGGGGTACAAAGTACATACAGGTGTACACAGAGAGATGTTGGTAGTTAGAGGGGTACAAAGTACATACAGGTGTACACAGAGAGATGTTGGTTGTTAGAGGTGTACAAAGTACATACAGGTGTACACAGAGAGATGTTGGTTGTTAGAGGTGTACAAAGTACATACAGGGGTACACAGAGAGATGTTGGTTGTTAGAGGTGTACAAAGTACATACAGGTGTATATTGTACACACAGGTGTACAGTGTACATACACGTGTACACGGGGAAATGTTCAGGGCAATACTGAGATCTCTTCACTTTTATGCGTCTTGTAAAAAACAACCCCAATCAAACAATGGAATGATTGAGTGCAATTAAACAAATGATAGTAGCATAGACAATCTAAATTCTAATGAACTCACTACACTTCATTTGCTATTTAATTTTTTTAAACACTTTCTGAAAGAGTACGCAAATGATTTGGAACTTATAACTTTTTAGGCCGTAATCTGCATACATTGAATGGGCAGGTAGACATTGAACCTGTTCATTAATTTTATTTTCCGGCCGTAGACCTTGATCAAAGTCAAATAGTCATCGGACCTGCTTCTAATCATTATCATGTTAAATACTGTAAACCTTGTTTTAAATATCATAAACCTTGTTTTAAATATCATAAACCTTGTTTTAAATACCGTAAACCTTGTTTTAATTACTGTAAACCTAGTTTTAATTACTGTAAACCTAATTTTAAATACCGTAAACCTTGTTTTAATTACTGTAAACCTAGTTTTAAATACCGTAAACCTTGTTTTAAATACCGTAAACCTAGTTTTAATTACTGTAAACCTAGTTTTAAATACCGTAAACCTTGTTTTAAATACCGTAAACCTTGAATTGACAACGAGGAATTGGACTTTCTATTAAGTAAAATTGTTACTAGATCTATATGTGATGACGCAAGATTACGTCAGACATGTTTAGCAGATATAGGTTAGCAGAAACAGACTATAGGCCTAGTTGGTTGGGTAGAGAGGCCAATGGGCGCACAGGGCTGACCGGTCACGTGGGACGGTCAGCTGACCACTGAGAAGTGGGGCAGTAGAGCGATAGGCCAGGAGTTGTTAGGTAGCGGCAGAGACGGCCGAGAATGTAGATAGTTAGGAGATCATGATTAGCTAGCGAGGTAGAAGGTGTTAGGTTGTAGAATGTAGAGAACAGTTAGTGTTAGGATTGGTCATGGGAGTGCGTAGTAGTAGGTAGCATGTGGTATGAACAGTCAGTAGTAGAAGTAAATAGTACAGTGTAGATCAGTTAGGTAGAAACTTGAACATATATATCATTTTAATAAAGAACAATTATAGTTGAACTTGAACTGTGTGTTATTGCATTCATTCGTTACCGCTTCTTAAAAATCCCCACCCTCGCAACTGGTGGAGCGCGGGTCGAGGACAGGAAAGACAGTATATCGGTTTACTCATGACGGAGTACGACTTGTGTATTGCTTTCCTTAACTCAACACAACAGCGGGTTTCTTCAACCGGAACGAGTTTGGATTAACGACACAAGGGAACTGTCACCATGTTCAAAAAGATAAGTACCTTCCAAAAATTTTTTTAAACGTTTGGGTTTAGAGCCGTGCTGGATAGTTTGTGCTAGCGGTTTTTCTGCCTTACACATTCTTATGTTACGCCCTGTTGCATTACTTTTGTTTACTTTCCTCAACACAAACACACATACACAACCATGGAGGCAGAGTTTCAATGCTATAAACAGGGCATACCATTAGACAAAACAGGAGAAGAATTTGAAACATTTGTAGAGAATAAGCTAGAAAACAAGATAGTCAAGATAGTAAAACATGTCAAGAACAAAAGCAGAGTTAGCGTTAGAATTAGTGAAACGGAAAGTACAGCACATAGATAACACGCAACTGCCCAAGAACACCAACCCCATGACCAAAAATGTGACCCCGACCGTCCCCATAAATGATTTTGAACAACGGACAAAAGTGAAGTCAAGTCGAGTTTTTGTGTTGATCTAAGTAGTCGAGGAAATCGACGTGAAGTCGTACAGTCAGAAGTCAGAGTAGACAAATCTGATGTCAATTGTGTTATTGAAGTCAGTGAAGTATAAGTCAGAACTGAAGTCAAAGAAGTCATTTGAAGTCAGTTAAGTCAGTCAATAAGTTGATGAAGTCGTAGTTGAGGTCATAGTGACGTAGTTGAAGTCATGTTGCAGTCAAAGAAAAGTCTTTGAAGTTATATTAAAGTCGTCGAGGTCATAGTGAAGAAGTGAAATCGTCAAAGTTATAGTGAAGTCTTTGAAATCAAAGTGATGTCGTTGAAATCGTTGAAGTCATATTGAAGTCGTTGAAGTCATATTGAAGTTGTTGAAGTCAAAGTGAAGTCTTGAAGTCATATTGAAGTTGTTGAAGTCAAAGTGAATTATTTTATAGTCATATTGAAGTCGTTGAAGTCAAAGTGAAGTCTTTGAAGTCATATTGAAGTAGTTGAAGTCAAGGAAAAGTCTTTGAAGTCAAAGTGAAGACGTTTAAGTTGTCGAAGTTTAAGTCGGTCAGTGAAGTCTTTTAAGTTGAATTGAAGTGAAGTCGTCGAGGTCAAGTTAGTCTTCAAAGTGACGTTAGTCGTCAAGTTGAAGTAATTGAAGTCGTCAAAGTGGAATCAGTCGTTAATTTGAAGTCAGTCAATTTACTGAAGTCAGTTAAAGTGAAATAAGTCAAGTTACTGAAGTCAAAAGTGAAGTCAGTCATTAAGTCAAGCCAGCCAGTTTTTTGTCAGAAGTCAGATAGTGAGAGCTGCTCCACTATTTGATTACGCATTCAAATGTTGATTTGAAACGGCACTATATTATTGATATACACTTACATGTCTATTCTTTTTGTGAAGCTATTTCTAAGCTCTAGTAGTGTTTACGTCTATTGAGTTTATTAGGCTTTACAGATTGTTGTTAGATTAGAGTGTACTGATTTTTTTTTTGGTTATTTTTGTAATGTTATTTTTGTATGCTGTATGTACCGCCAGACAAATGTTCAGCACGTTTAAATTTGGGATTGAGGTTTTTTTTAATGGAAGGTACCTCTGTCTGAATACTTGTCTGCGCGGGCACTAAGATGGTCACGTAAAACCATTGCTCATAATCTCGTAATACAATTTCAGACCCACTACGCTTATTCAGAATGAGACGAGATGAAGCAGACACTTCAAAGAATGCCGCCACCTGAAGCCCTGATTACGTTGAATTACCTGGACAGCAAACAGCCTGCTGAACAGAGAATTGCCCTGGTCAAGACAGCGGACGCATCGCCACCGCTTCGCCCCCGCACTGAGGTTGAATAACAGACCGCCAGCTACGTACACCTACGTCGGCACATACAAAGGGTAGAAGACCCATCGTCCAAGTTCCCAGCGTCGGAACGTTACGTCATTGTTCGCCACCGCATCAGACAGCTCCAGTTCATCGTATAACCACTCTACGTGGACGTCTCAACCAGCGTTGAGATTGTTGCGTCATCACATTGACCAACGAAGTTACGCCTACACCCGCCTCACGGGAATTTACATCAAAACTCGCCACAACCCACCCACCACAGAGGAACGCCAGCAATTACATAACACTTACACATACACTTACACTGCTCGCAGAGCCTGTTCAACCAGTTACACATTCTACTAAGATTAGCTCAAGGCCAGTACACGACAACCTAGCCAGAACTGAGTTACACATGATTGAATTCACACATACCATAACATAGACATACATTATCAAGCAGAGACACCACAGACGTCAGGATACCTACACAAGAACTAGAACAATGACATTTTCTTTCAGGAACACAGACACAAGATTTTATGTTTTTGTAAACTGTGCTGTCCCATTTTGTATTTGATTTACATGATTGATGTTAGGGATAGAATAGAGTAGTAAGATAGATAGTTGTTGATGTATAAGATTAGTAGCAGACGCTGAAAAATATAATTTGTCAGCTACAGAAAGGGAGGGAGATATGTGATGACGCAAGATTACGTCAGACATGTTTAGCAGATATAGGTTAGCAGAAACAGACTATAGGCCTAGTTGGTTGGTTAGAGAGACCAATGGGCGTACAGGACTGACCGGTCACGTGGGACGGTCAGCTGACCACTGAGGCGTGGGTCAGTAGAGAGATAGGCCAGCAGTTGATAGGTAGCTAGCGAAGAGTAGAGAAGGTGTTAGAAAGCGGTTAGAGACGGTTGTAATTTGCAGAGCTAGAGAACAGTTAGATAGTGTTAGGAGTGGTCACGGGAGTGTGTAGTTAGTAGTATAGTGAACAGTTAGTAGTAGTAGTTAACAGTAGAGAGTGTAGAATAGGCTGGTTAGATAGAACTGATTATAATTTTAATAAAGAACAATCATAGTTGAACTTGAACCGTGTGTTATTGGATTCATTCGTTCCGCCTTCTTAAAAATCCCCACCCTCACACTATAATATTTCTGTTTGCTGATGCCTATGACAAAAATGTGAACTGCTTGTTGTAACTTTCGCACCAATGGTCTAACATATACGGCACTCACTCCCTGCCTGTACGCAATGTGTACTCACCAAACAACTGTCTGTCAAAATGTTTGCTGGACTCTGACAGATGGAGCCTGTCGGTCTGGCGTCCTTCAGGCCGAGACGGTCTGTCAAAAAGTTGCAGGCTTCCTCAGATGACAGACGAACTTTGCCGTACAGCAACTCACCTGACAAGTCTGCCGACATTAGAACACGTGATCAGTCAAGGTATCCGTGGGGACAGGTGAGGGGGGGGGGCTTGTCCGTGGGGACAGGTGGGGGGGGGGGGCTTGTCCGTGGGGACAGGTGGGGGGGGGGGCTTGTCCGTGGGGACAGGTGGGGGGGGGGGCTTGTCCGTGGGGACAGGTGGGGGGGGGGGCTTGTCCGTGGGGACAGGTGAGGGGGGGAGGGCTTGTCCGTGGGGACAGGTGAGGGGGGGGGGGGGGCTTGTCCGTGGGGACAGGTGAGGGGGGGGAGGGCTTGTCCGTGGGGACAGGTGAGGGGGGGGGAGGGCTTGTCCGTGGGGACAGGTGAGGGGGGGAGGGCTTGTCCGTGGGGACAGGTGAGGGGGAGGGAGGGTTTAAGATGAGGGGAGGGAGGGTTTAGGACTCTAGATACAGTACACACGTCACAAGACATGATCAACACCTAGAACTTAATCACGTGAGAGCTACATAGAACTTAGTCACGTGACAGCCACCTAGAACTTAGTCACGTGACAGCCACCTAGAACTTACTCTCGTCAAAGCTCTCAGTGGAGAAGCCCCACCCCGTGATGACGCACTCATCGTATCCAGCACAGCTATTGGCTGCTTCTTCTGGCGTGGGCAGGCAGATGACGCCAGAACAGGAGCCTGTGATTGGCTGGGATAATTTAATCAGGGCAACACCGTTGCCTGAGGATAGAAACATTGGGATAATTTAATTAGGGCAACACCGGTGCCCGAGGATAGAAACATTGGGATAATTTAATCAGGGCAACACCGTTACCTGGGGATAGAAACATTGGGATAATTTAATTAGGGCAACACCGTTACCTGGGGATAGAAACATTGGGATAATTTAATCAGGGCAACACCGTTACCTTGGGATAGAAACATTGGGATAATTTAATCAGGGCAACACCGTTACCTGGGGATAGAAACACTGGGATAATTTAATCAGGGCAACACCGTTACCTGGGGATAGAAACACTGGGATAATTTAATCAGGGCAACACCGTTACCTTGGGATAGAAACATTGGGATAATTTAATCAGGGCAACACCGTTACCTGGGGATAGAAACATTGGGATAATTTAATCAGGGCAACACCGTTACTTGGGGATAGAAACATTGGGATAATTTAATCAGGGCAACACCGTTACCTGGGGATAGAAACACTGGGATAATTTAATCAGGGCAACACCGTTACCTGGGGATAGAAGAACTGGGATAATTTAATCAGGGCAACACCGTTACCTGGGGATAGAAACATTGGGATAATTTAATCAGGGCAACACCGTTACCTGGGGATAGAAACATTGGGATAATTTAATCAGGGCAACACCGTTACCTGGGGATAGAAACATTGGGATAATTTAATCAGGGCAACACCGTTACCTGGGGATAGAAACACTGGGATAATTTAATCAGGGCAACACCGTTACCTTGGGATAGAAACATTGGGATAATTTAATCAGGGCAACACCGTTACCTGGGGATAGAAACACTGGGATAATTTAATCAGGGCAACACCGTTACCTGGGGATAGAAACACTGGGATAATTTAATCAGGGCAACACCGTTACCTTGGGATAGAAACATTGGGATAATTTAATCAGGGCAACACCGTTACCTGGGGATAGAAACATTGGGATAATTTAATCAGGGCAACACCGTTACTTGGGGATAGAAACATTGGGATAATTTAATCAGGGCAACACCGTTACCTGGGGATAGAAACACTGGGATAATTTAATCAGGGCAACACCGTTACCTGGGGATAGAAGAACTGGGATAATTTAATCAGGGCAACACCGTTACCTGGGGATAGAAACATTGGGATAATTTAATCAGGGCAACACCGTTACCTGGGGATAGAAACATTGGGATAATTTAATCAGGGCAACACCGTTACCTGGGGATAGAAACATTGGGATAATTTAATCAGGGCAACACCGTTACCTGGGGATAGAAACATTGGGATAATTTAATCAGGGCAACACCGTTACCTGGGGATAGAAACATTGGGATAATTTAATCAGGGCAACACCGTTACCTGGGGATAGAAACAAAAGAGGTCAGGAACTGGTTGGCAACAGAGAAGTGTAAACAACTTGATCTAATCCTAACTTGATCTAATCCTAAATTGATCTAATCCCAACTTACTCTAATCCTAACTTGATATAACCGTTGCACAACAGGTTACAGCCTGTAGACACCGAGGTTCAATCATTCAAAAAATTACAGTTTGAGCACTGCTCTGAGTCTGCAGTGCAATGCACCAGTGTTTCTTCCGGACATTTTTCTCGGGGGGGGGGGGGGGAGGTGGGCACTTGATATTTTCTGGGAGGGGGGGGGGTGGACTAAATTTTACTAGGGGGCGGACACAGGTAAAAGTATATATTTTCTATATACATTCAAATTTCGTTCGAGAAGGGGGGGGGGGTTGTGGCGGTGGACTTATTACTTCCCCCCCCCCCTTCCACTAGTAATCGAGTCCTACAACCAAGTGTAACGCATTAAAGTAATCGAGTCTTACTGTTGAGTTTGACCGAGTCGTCAAATGGAATGGCCTCCGCCTGATTAGCATATGCATAATTAGGGTGAATGTAGACACTGTCTACGTTTATGATCTGCTCCTGCTGTTGGCCTGTGGTCGGGTTGATGTCCAGTCTAGACACGTTGTACTCGCCAGCCACCACCAGGATTCGATCCCGGGCTTCGGCAGCAGAGGATCCAGCTCTGTGGTGAGACAGGTGAGACAGGTGTGACAGAAGACAGGTGAGACAGATAGACAGGTGAGAAACATTCGAGACAGAGACAGGTGATAGACATTTGAGACAGGTGACGCAGGTGAGACATGTGAGAGACAGGTGAGACAGTTAACAAATGGAATATTGAATGGTGCCAGACAGGGCGTTCAGGTAATAGAACTTTGTCTTACACCTCCACTAGACCAATAACATCTACGTCTGTTCAATAGACTAATGACCTCAACGTTTGTACACTAGACCTGTTACCTTAACTTAGAGCAACAAGGTCATTGACACCACTACTAAAACATGAATGTTGACTACCAAGGACAAACTAAAACATAAATGTTGACTACCAAGGACAAACTAAAACATGAATGTTGACTACCAAGGACAAATCAATCAATTCGCCACACGAAATTTCAACCACTGAGCACTCACCCGTAGACACAGAAGGGACTAGTCAGTACCCACTGTTTGTCGATTAGAACACCTTGACACGAGTGGGACGTACCAGCATAGTTCAGCTGACTGGCTGCTCGGAGTCTCGCCCTGTGAATAGACAAAGTTCTGGCATAAGAGCTAGCACGATAAAGTAAAAGATGCAAGAAAACCTGCAATGGCCAGATCAAAAATGATTTGTTTAGGTGTACGGCTATAAACGCAATAATAAAAAGGAAGTAAATTGATTTTAAACGACGCAATTAATACAGTCATTTATAGAGACAACAAACCTACCTGATGGAGACAACAAACGGCCAGTCACACACACCCGTCACACTCCCGTCCAAGATCCGATCAGAGTTGCTACTGCCCCGGCCACACTTTGGTGGTAATGTTGTTCGTGGATCTTTAGGGGTGGGGGTTGGCGTGGGGGTCACTGGAGCTGTTTGAGGACGTCAGAAAATTAGGACATTTTGTCTGGTGTCTTTGTCTAGTAGACTTCATCATGTGACATCATGTGACTAGAGTACACACTGACATCAAGTGACTAGTGTACACAGTGACATCATGTGACTAGTGTACACAGTGACGTCATGTGACATCATGTGACATCATGTAACATTATGTGACATCTTGTGACATCATGTGACATGTGACATCATTTGACATCATGTGACATCATGTGGCATCAAGTGACATCATGAGACATCATGAGGCATTATATGACATGTGACATCATGTGACATCATGTGACATCATGTGATATCATGTGACATCATGTGACATCATGTGATATTATGTGACATCATTTGACATGTGACATCATGTGACATCATGTGACATTATGTGACATCTTGTGACATCATGTGACGTGTGACATCATTTGACATCATGTGACATCATGTGATATCATGTGACATCATGTGACATCATGTGACATTATGTGACATCTTGTGACATCATGTGACATGTGACATCATTTGACATCAAGTGACATCATGAGACATCATGAGACATCATGAGACATTATGTGACATCATGTGACACCATGTGACATCATGTGATATCATGTGACATCATGTGACATGTGACATCATGTGACATCATGTGATATTATGTGACATCTTGTGACATCATGTGACATGTGACATCATTTGACATCATGTGACATCATGTGACATCAAGCGACATCATGTGACATCATGTGACATGTGACATCATGTGACATCATTTGACATCATGTGACATCATGTGACATCAAGCGACATCATGTGACATCATGTGACATGTGACATCATGTGACACCATGTGACATCATGTGACATCATGTGACATCATGTGACAACTCCCCACCCAGATGACCACTGACCTATACCACAACACTTCTGGTCCACACGGAAACAGCCCACGTAGTTGCTGAACTCTGGCACCTCCACCGTCCCGTAGGGGCAGGATGTCCTCTTGTCGACACACCCACCTGACCTCAGCCTCAGGCTGCAGGGAGCTGCAGAATAAAGGACGTCATGCATTAGTAGTGTACGTCATTGGTGACGTCACGCATTAGTTGTGTACGTCATAGGTGATGTCATGTGAAGATTGTGTACGTCATATGTGACGTCATGCATTAGTTGTGTACGTCATATGTGATGTCATGTGAAGGTTGTGTACGTCATATGTGACGTCATGCATTAGTTGTGTACGTCATAGGTGACGTCATGTGAAGATTGTGTACGTCATACAGGACCACCAGCTTTTGACTTACAGAAATATTACAGTAGAACAAGTTGAATTTGAGTAGGGGGAATATGTGTTGGTGGATGAAGGGGGACACCCACAGTTGTGTGTGGGGTAGGGGGACACTTTGAGTTGGGAGGTGGGGGAGGGGGTGGGAAACACCCGAAGTTGCGGGGTAACAGAACACAAAGAATTTAGGAAAAAATAATTAACCTAACCAAACACCGAAAGAACTTGTCAGTGGACTCCAATACACAGCAAGCCCTGAGCTTCACGACTAAATTATTCCCACACACCCGAGTTTTTGAAGACTGGTCTGTAACATTATTTCTTAACGACCGACAGAAGAACTACTATTCTAGTCATTAATTTCCTTAACGTGTTTGAGATTTTCTAATATTTTTTTTTTCGATACATGAGTACATGATGCTTACAATTTTACTTCGACTTCTAAAAATAAAACATCAGAGAAGAGCAGCATTGACCTTCGCTAGCTGTGAAATTTGTCCAATGCAAATGTACGATTAAATGTTGCAATAGGGCCCTGAGAAAATATGATCTATTTTTAGCCCACTACGTCACCACGACATCAAGTAAGAAAACGTTGAGACGTGTTGGTCTAGTACATCAGCTGACGACCCGGCAATTTCCGGGCATCACGTGCTCCGTGACCAGCTGATTGGCGCTCTCACTAGACACCCACGTGACTTGATGTATTCACTATGTCTGTTCGTCTCATTTGAGTTGGAGTTCCCCACATTAAATTAATCTTGACATTTTCCGCTAATATTGTTTCAAGTCTAGCACAAGTCGACACAAGCGTGTATATGTGACTGTTGGTTTATATGTGTTCTACAGGGGCGGAACTACAGTGCCGCCAGACCCCGCATTGCGGGGGGGCCCAGGCCGTTTAGGGGCCCACAGCCGACCATGATCAATTTTTTTTTTATAGTTAAAGAATAATTTTCTTGTAAAAAAACAAACAGATCTACTACAGGTGTGATGTACCACAGTAGCTAACACACACTGTATCGTAAAGTTGTAGTGTGTAAGATAGGCAACCGTTCAAATCGCTTCCATGACTTATTTCCCTTTTTTAAAATAGTCAAATACGTGTGTTCTTAAGAAACTTTAAATAAATTTGCACTAAACAAATTAAAAAGCAATTACATCTCTTAATTATTATTTTTTTAGATACATAATAAAGAATGAAATAGTAAAAAAGGAAATGTATTAAAAACTAATTATATAAATACAAAAAAACTTTAAATAAACATAAGGCGAGAAACCATTACACATACAAAGCTTTCTTGCTTCATATTCTTTTGACCGACTTGTTAATTAAGAAACATTATGTCAAACATTGAAACAAAAAATTTCAAAACAGATTTTATATAAATACATATTACAAGTTACACACAGAATTGAGCTTTATATATTAGATATATATATATAAGATCACGCGATAACCTATAGTCAACTGCCAATCATGTCATCTCCCAAAAGAATGACCTATGCAGCTATCATCAACATCAACAAAGGGGTTGCGCCCTTGGATGTTCCCCCTGGGTCGAGAGACTTGGGGAGGAGCCACCCGGACTACGGTTCGGGTGGCTTAATGAAATCCAGGGCCCAACCCTTTTTAGCTACAACTAATTCAACTACCCTAGTAATCGAGATGCCCGAAGAAGAGAGCCCAGATCTGTTCTCCAGCCAACCAACACCAAACACAACCATGCAAGTCATAATTCAAACGAATGGACATCCAAATCTTCGAGGGCACATTATCCGAAAACTGATAAGTCCACAACAGATTCTGCTGATGAATTACGGCCGAAGTGACACGTGGTTCTTCTCATCAGACGCTTTCAACGTAGCGACGATGGATAATACAAGCAAACAGTATGGGCCCTACACACTGCATTTTTCAATCTATCACAAAGACAAAATCAATGGCACACTTAGGTGGGTCCCACCAGCACTTGAGAACGATGCACTGCTAAAGGCTCTCAGAATAATAAGCAAAAAAGAACCAATAGTAAACAATATCCCATACACAAATAACCGCAGCTTCACCATTTTCTCCGACACTCCGAACACTATACCACATTATATCAAGTTTAACTATAAAAACAGACCCATCAACATCCTCATGTCCTTACCTGGAAGACAACAAGCCTGCCAATCATGTGGTTCCACACAACATTGGACAAGTCAATGCCACCAGAGAGATCAAGAGTGGGAACAACAACCATCCTCACCGACAACTATAACAGCACCACCTAAGGCTACACCTACACTGCAGCAGCCAACAGCGCCCACAAATCAGATGAACCAACAAACGAGCGCAAACACCCCCAGTGTACAACTACCAGCAACACAAGAACCAGTAACAACTGCACCGCAGCCCCCAGAACCGATGGAAGCGGAAATACCGTTCAGGGAACCAACCAGCCCTCCCAAAACATCAAGTAAACCAACAAATAGAGCGAAATCACCAGTCGTCAAAACTCCCGCACCGCAGCAACCAATAACACCACCAAAATCATCGGGAAAAGTAACAACCCCAAGCACAACCACAGCTCAATCCTCAACCAGGAAGCCAACAACATCTCAAAACAAGGAAACAAAAAGCCCAATCGCAGAAACAGATCAAGCCCCGCCATCGAAAAGGAAAAGTAAAAATAGCCCCACGGAACAAGGCAAAATAATTAAAGAACAAAAACGCAAGGAAAGATTTTACAGCTGCTTCTTCTGCACCGAACATTTCCCAAAAATTAGGGAAACAAGAAACCATGAGAACACAATACATGCTTAAACGGTGCACCATCTGCAAAAACCAAAAAGTCCACAATGACATAGGCGCCCAGTATCAGGACTATCACGAGAGTGCATACATCCTTCACTGTAGCGAATGCGAAGTGTACCTCCCCGAAGAGGGCATGAAGTCACACATGGCGTACCATCACCCGATGTCTTAAATAGAGACAATATTAGACGTTTTGTTTAGTGTAAAACTTGACATGAATAATCTAGGAATATTGAATATAACATATATTAGACGTTTTGTAAAACTTGACAAATATGACATTACATTTTTTTCTTTTTATGCAATGCTATGTATTGTAACTATTTTATCATGTTCATGCAACATATCCACACAGCTAGCTCCTAGCTATACAGGAGTGAACTGTGTGGAAGGAAGACTATTAAACGCCAAATGGCAAAAAAAAAAAAAAACAGATTTATAGCACTTACACATGATGTGTTGTTGCTGTATTATGTTGTAATTAAAATTAAAACTAAGAATTTTTAATTATTCAAATTTCGAACAAGCCCGAATTGAGTATTCTATGTTCGTATTTTGGTATATATATATATATATATATATATATATATATATATATATATATATATATATATATATATATATATATATATATATAAATATATATATATATATATATATATATATATATATATATATATATATGGGGCCCAAAAAAATTTTGCGGGGTGGCCCTATTTTTCTAGTTCCGCCACTGGTGTTCTAGTGCTCTAGTTTTTATATGTGTACACGGTGTTTTAGATCTAGATCTAGATTCTATTTTGTAGCAGCTAAATGCTTTAATAGTTGAATGCAAACTAAATCTAAATAATCTAGAAGCTAGATCTAGTGGAATTACAAAATCCATTAAAAAAACTCATAAAATTTGTTCCGAGCGGACAACGGTGTTGAATCTAGATCTAGAATCTAGATTCTATACTTAACTATACTAGATATCTAGATCTAGCTAGATCTAGATTCTATAATTTAATTGTAGCAACACAATTTTTTGCTTATAGCTTCTAGGTCTGGAAGAAATAACTATGGGTTTTACATTGGGGACTAATGAATCAATGCTGAGTCGTTTGTGAACCCAAAAAAGCAGCATAGAACTGATTTATTCACTGTAACTCTTAATCAGCAGTGCAGGGAAACTGATAGTATCTATCCGGATCACGTGACCGGCAGCCACTGAAATAAAGGTCCATTTCCGTGTGTTGCAGTGTGGTACACGCTGTGACGTCACACACCGAAGTCTGTCCCTATATTCCCACACACCAAAGTCCCGTCACCCATTGAGTTGTTATATTTACTTAGCCTAACCTCCGCAGGCTGATAAACGGAGCTAGTGTGTGATTAAGGAAGATCTAACACACGATATTCAGGTGGGGGGGGGGGGGGGGGGGGGGGGGATAGAGGACATCAACCACCCAGTGTTTCTTCCAGACTTTTTTCTCCGGGGGGGTGGGGGGCACTCGAAATTTTCGGGGGGGGGGGGCGGTAGAATAGATGCCTGGAAGAAACTCTGCAACCACCTACAAACCTTAATCTTAATCCACAGGTCATGGTGTACATTAAAGGAAATGTTAAGATATTTGAGGTGAGTGGGCGGGGCAGTGACTCGTGAGTCAAAACCACGTGACATATGTCAACAGACCACGTGACAGACGTCAACAGTTCAGTTGCCAGTCCTCCACATAGCCTCACCTTTCTTTCACATTTTAAATTAACCTCACAGGTAAAATGTGATACGATCTTGTATGTCCCCAGCTATTTTGGTTGCAGGTTGTCCCTAAAATAAACTTTAGTCGCCAGCATTGTGTGGCCAGTGGTTTCTAATTAATTAAAACTTAAACCAGACCTCATTAGACAGATCTAAACGAGACACTAGTTTCAGCGTGAGGCTGCTTGTTGTACAAAGTGTTTGAAAGAAAGCAAATATCTCCAGATAATTTAATTGTTAAATTTAAAAACTATTAAAACTAGGAGCATTGCCTTAGGTAAATATTATAAATTATTTGACACACTTTGGTCTAAATTTGGTTTGAAATATATTTTTTTAATTGAACACAGACTGTCAAAAAGGAACAAAGTAATATGAATTATGTAAAATAATAATTTTGTTTTGTATTTAAACTGTTGAGGTCACTTTGATAATCAAAACACGTAGCAAAATATATATCCACGCAATGGTGGGCGATAATTAACTTTAAATTAATATTTAGTTGATGAGTGACGGTAGGAAAAGTTTTTCTTATAAATTCTTTTTATGGAGGATAAACGTATAATGTATTAAAGTTGACTCTGTATGTGCATTATGTTTGTTTACTTTTACATGTGACTAATGATAAGAAATATGATATGTGACAGATGACATGTGATATATGACATGTGACATGTGACATATGACATGTGACATATGTCATGTGATATATCACATATGACATGTGAAAGGTGATAGATGACAGATGACAGATGACAGAAAACAGATGACACGTGACATATGACAGATGATAGATGACAGATGATAGATGACAGATGATAAATGACATGTGACATACACGGTACTTACTAGATGACCAGGACAGCGCCCCACCGACACAACAAAGAACGATAACTCCAGCCAGACGAAACATTTCCAGACTTTGTTCCAGAACAATCTTCAGCACACAACCCACGGCCAGCGACGTATCGAATGTCTCAAACCCGGGGACGGTACAAGAAAAAAAAACGTTCCCGAGAAACTCCCCACCAGGATATTTGAGCAAGTTTTCTCACATCCTACCCACCCTTAATTCTTTGTTTATTTATTTAAATGGACGCTCTTTGCCCGTCTTTTGAGTCTAAGGCGGGCGACTCCATTCTCCGTGAAAGGGGTGGAAGGTTTGCTTTTAGCCCTGTATTAGCTCGCCCTAATCAAACATGGGCGCTACCTACCGATGTCCACATAGACGCGAACCGGATGTGTCCGTGGGTCCCATACAAATCAGCTGGATCGTGTGGATAGCCTGGATACAATGGATAGGTTTATCCCCTAATTGTGGATGCAGGAAAGTGGCAGGTATCCACGAGAGGGAGGGGTAGGCCCGGGTAGGACTTGAGCAAATACGGTGTTTAAATAAGGTGGGGACAAAGGTCACGTGAGGCAGTCCCGACACGGTAGGACGGGGGGGGGGGGTGGGCTGTGGTCGGTGTCAAGCTGATATTAGCAGAGTAGTGTAGCAGAGCTGGTCACGTGATCTAACTGACCACGGCAGTCGTGTTGTCCTGCTGTCCAGGTGTTGATATGGACGTACATGTTGAGGATAAAAAACATACAAAGTCAAACTACAAACACACCAGATATGCAGCACACAGCTCTAACACACACAGCACACCAAACCTAAAGACCTAATGTACACAGCACACCAAACCTAAAGACCTAATGTACACAGCACACCAAACCTAAAGACCTAATGTACACAGCACACCAAACCTAAAGACCTAATGTACACAGCACACCAAACCTAAAGACCTAATGTACACAGCACACCAAACCTAAAGACCTAATGTACACAGCACACCAAACCTAAAGACCTAATGTACACAGCACACCAAACCTAAAGACCTAATGTACACAGCACACCAAACCTAAAGACCTAATGTACACAGCACACCAAACCTAAAGACCTAATGTACACAGCACACCAAACCTAAAGACCTAATGTACACAGCACACCAAACCTAAAGACCTAATGTACACAGCACACCAAACCTAAAGACCTAATGTACACAGCACACCAAACCTAAAGACCTAATGTACACAGCACACCAAACCTAAAGACCTAATGTACACAGCACACCAAACCTAAAGACCTAATGTACACAGCACACCAAACCTAAAGACCTAATGTACACAGCACACCGAACCTAAAGACCTAATGTACACAGCACACCGAACCTAAAGACCTAATGTACACAGCACACCGAACCTAAAGACCTAATGTACACAGCACACCAAACCTAAAGACCTAATGTACACAGCACACCGAACCTAAAGACCTAATGTACACAGCACACCGAACCTAAAGACCTAATGTACACAGCACACCAAACCTAAAGACCTAATGTACACAGCACACCGAACCTAAAGACCTAATGTACACAGCACACCAAACCTAAAGACCTAATGTACACAGCACACCGAACCTAAAGACCTAATGTACACAGCACACCAAACCTTAAGACCTAATGTACACAGCACACCAAACCTAAAGACCTAATGTACACAGCACACCAAACCTAAAGACCTAATGTACACAGCACACCAAACCTAAAGACCTAATGTACACAGCACACCAAACCTAAAGATCTAATGTACACAGCACGCCAAACCTAAAGACCTAATGTACACAGCACACCAAACCTAAAGACCTAATGTACACAGCACACCAAACCTAAAGACCTAATGTACACAGCACACCAAACCTAAAGACCTAATGTACACAGCACACCAAACCTAAAGACCTAATGTACACAGCACACCAAACCTAAAGACCTAATGTACACAGCACACCAAACCTAAAGACCTAATGTACACAGCACACCAAACCTAAAGACCTAATGTACACAGCACACCAAACCTAAAGATCTAATGTACACAGCACACGAAACCTAAAGACCTAATGTACACAGCACACCAAACCTAAAGACCTAATGTACACAGCACACCAAACCTAAAGATCTAATGTACACAGCACACCAAACCTAAAGACCTAATGTACACAGCACACCAAACCTAAAGATCTAATGTACACAGCACACCAAACCTAAAGACCTAATGTACACAGCACACCAAACCTAAAGACCTAATGTACACAGCACACCAAACCTAAAGACCTAATGTACACAGCACACCAAACCTAAAGACCTAATGTACACAGCACACCAAACCTTAAGACCTAATGTACATAGCACACCAAACCTAAAGACCTAATGTACACAGCACACCAAACCTAAAGACCTAATGTACACACCACACCAAACCTAAAGACCTAATGTACATAGCACACCAAACCTAAAGACCTAATGTACACAGCACACCAAACCTAAAGACCTAATGTACACAGCACACCAAACCTAAAGACCTAATGTACACAGCAAACCAAACCTAAAGACCTAATGTACACAGCACACCAAACCTAAAGACCTAATGTACACAGCACACCAAACCTAAAGACCTAATGTACACAGCACACCAAACCTAAAGACCTAATGTACACAGCACACCAAACCTAAAGACCTAATGTACACAGCACACCAAACCTAAAGACCTAATGTACACAGCACACCAAACCTAAAGACCTAATGTACACAGCACACCAAACCTAAAGACCTAAGACCATAAGGATCCCACATGCCTACGTCATGTCAACTATAGCGGTGCTGTATTTATGTCGTTTACATATTATTTGTATATGACGTCAAGACAGCTGTGATTTAGGCGGGGGAAATTATGTACCTGACCAAGTACACCACAAAATGTGTACCTAACCTAGTACACCACAAAATGTGTACCTAACTTAGAACACCATACCATGTGTACTTGCTCGTGAACACCGTGTTATTTGTTAAAGACCTAATGACTTCCTTATTCTAACACTGAGTAATGTACACCATCAATGTTAACATTACACCTGATGTACACCATCGAGTTTAACATCACACCTGATGTACACCATCAATGTTAACATCACCCCTGATGTACACTATCAATGTTAACATCACACCTGATGTACACCATTAAAGTTAACATCACACCTGATGTACACCATCAATGTACATCACACCTAATGTACATCATCAATGTTAACATCACACCTGATGTACATCATCAATTTTAACATCACACCTGATGTACACCATCAATGTTAACATCACACCTGATATGCATCATCAATGTTAACATCACACCTGATGTACACCATCAATGTTAACATCACACCTAATGTACATCAGCAATGTTAACATCACACCTGATGTACACGATCAATGTTAACATCACACCTGATGTACATCATCAATGTTAACATCACATCTGATTTACATCATCAATGTTAACATCACACCTGATGTACATCATCAATGTTAACATCACACCTAATGTACACCATCAATGTTAACATCACACCTAATGTACACCATCAATGTTAACATCACATCTGATTTACATCATCAATGTTAACATCACATCTGATTTACATCATCAATGTTAACATCACACCTAATGTACACCATCAATGTTAACATCACACCTAATGTACACCATCAATGTTAACATCACACCTGATGTAGGCTACACCGTCAATGTTAACATCACACGTAGCTTCTAATCTGTTCGTTTATTAAACACTAATTTTCAAGGTAAACGTCTTTCTTCACAGCTAGGTTAACTCTGTGTCAAGCTCTCTCTTCACCCTCAACCCCCCCCCCCCCCACACACACACACCTCAGTCCCGTAGAAAACACAGAACGAGGAAACGAGGAAGAAGTGTCACAGTACAGAAGATGTGAGGGCTACCGTTTCTTTACTCTGAAGATAAATTGATGGGGGGGGGGGGGGGGCTAGAGAAGCTGGGCGATCCTATACATCAGGATATTGGCTGATGTGGGTCGGTGTACATGTGGTGATGAGGTGTCGAGATTGGAATGCCATCGTGACGTCATAGAACCCATTGGCATTGATGGAGATCCGTCTTCCGGGTTTAAAAAAGATGAGCTATTTATAGAAAGCACGAGCTAGTGTTAGTAATGTGCCATTGATAATAGGGCCATCACCAATAGGGCCATCACCAACAGGGCCATCACCTACAGGGCCATCACCAACAGGGCCATCACCAACAGGGCCATCACCTACAGGGCCATCACCAACTGGGCCATCATCAAAAGGGCCATCACCTACAAGGCCATCACCAACAGGGCCATCACCAACAGGGCCATCACCAACAGGGCCATCATCTAAAGGGCCATCACCAATAGGGCCATCACCAACAGGGCCATCACCTACAGGGCCATCACCAACTGGGCCATCATCAAAAGGGCCATCACCTACAAGGCCATCACCAACAGGGCCATCACCAACAGGGCCATCACCAACAGGGCCATCACCAACAGGGCCATCACCAACTGGGCCATCACCAACAGGGCCACAATCTAATGGGCCATCACCAACAGGGCCATCACCAACAGGGCCATCACCAACAGGGCCATCACCAACTGGGCCATCATCTAAAGGGCCATCACCAACTGGGCCATCACCAACAGGGCCACAATCTAATGGGCCATCACCAACTGGGCCATCACCAACAGGGCCATCACCAACAGGGCCATCACCAACTGGGCCATCATCTAAAGGGCCATCACCAACTGGGCCATCACCAACAGGGCCACAATCTAATGGGCCATCACCAACAGGGCCATCACCAACAGGGCCATCACCAACAGGGCCATCACCAACTGGGCCATCATCTAAAGGGCCATCACCAACTGGGCCATCACCAACAGGGCCACAATCTAATGGGCCATCACCAACTGGGCCATCACCAACAGGGCCATCACCAACAGGGCCATCACCAACTGGGCCATCATCTAAAGGGCCATCACCAACTGGGCCATCACCAACAGGGCCACAATCTAATGGGCCATCACCAACAGGGCCATCACCAACAGGGCCATCACCAACAGGGCCATCACCAACTGGGCCATCATCTAAAGGGCCATCACCAACTGGGCCATCACCAACAGGGCCACAATCTAATGGGCCATCACCAACTGGGCCATCACCAACAGGGCCATCACCAACAGGGCCATCACCAACTGGGCCACAATCTAATGGGCCATCACCAACTGGGCCATCACCAACAGGGCCATCACCAACAGGGCCATCACCAACTGGGCCATCACCAACAGGGCCATCACCAACAGGGCCATCACCAACTGGGCCATCATCTAAAGGGCCATCACCAACAGGGCCATCACCTACAGGGCCATCACCAACAGGGCCATCACCAACAGGGCCATCACCAACTGGGCCATCATCTAAAGGGCCATCACCAACAGGGCCATCACCTACAGGGCCATCACCAACAGGGCCATCACCTACAGGGTCATAACAAAAAGGGCCATCCCCAACAGGGCCACAATCTAATGGGCCATCACCAACAGGGCCATCACCAACAGGGCCATCACCTACAGGGCCATCACCAACAGGGCCATCACCAACTGGGCCATCATCTAAAGGGCCATCACCAACAGGGCCATAACCTACAGGGCCATAACCTACAGGGCCACAATCTAAATGGCCACAATCTAAAGGGCCATCACCAACTGGGCCATCACCAACAGGGCCACAATCTAATGGGCCATCACCAACTGGGCCATCACCAACAGGGCCATCACCAACAGGGCCATCACCAACTGGGCCACAATCTAATGGGCCATCACCAACTGGGCCATCACCAACAGGGCCATCACCAACTGGGCCATCATCTAAAGGGCCATCACCAACAGGGCCATCACCTACAGGGCCATCACCAACAGGGCCATCACCAACAGGGCCATCACCAACTGGGCCATCATCTAAAGGGCCATCACCAACAGGGCCATCACCTACAGGGCCATCACCAACAGGGCCATCACCTACAGGGTCATAACAAAAAGGGCCATCCCCAACAGGGCCACAATCTAATGGGCCATCACCAACAGGGCCATCACCAACAGGGCCATCACCTACAGGGCCATCACCAACAGGGCCATCACCAACTGGGCCATCATCTAAAGGGCCATCACCAACAGGGCCATAACCTACAGGGCCATAACCTACAGGGCCACAATCTAAATGGCCACAATCTAAAGGGCCATCACCAACAGGGCCATAACCTACAGGGCCATCACAAAAAGGGCCATCACCAACAGGGCCACAATCTAAAGGGCCATCACCAACTACGCCATCACCTACAGGGCCATAATCTACAGGGGCAGCACCCACTAAACGATTGAACACACGTGTAATACATGAGACAGAGCTTGAATGTAAATCTATGTTTCTAAAAGTGGTTACATTTAAATTACGATTTTTCCGATTTCTAAATATGCCATGCGGGAAAACCGTATCGGAAAATAAGTTATTTATAAAGTATGATTGCAAAATTCGAGTTTTTAATGAAAACAGATTGAAACAATTAATTTCGCTTAATTACTAGACTTGAGTTAATTTAACGAATTACATTCCTTAATCCATAATGGCCGATAACCCAATCATTGCATTAGTTGTAAGTGTAGGGAATCTATGTAAGAGTAAACCTTAAGTATTATTCCGCAATCTTATAACTAAATAGTTTAATTTCAAAATAATCCTTAAATGAAAACAATCAACATATCGGGAATTTGTTTTTATTTTTACTTCAAAATTCAAATTAAATTATATAGAAATTAGATACAAAGTGTGCATAAACTAGGGGTATTCAGATAGGAAAAAAAAGTTTAAACAAAAATAGGAATATAAAACGTAAAGTTTGTTTTTAATTCTAGCTTTTAAAACTAGAAAAAAAATTGTAGAATCCTTTTTTAAATAAAACATTTTAATGTTTTCAACATCAAAGGGAAACAATCAAGCGTTGCCGTCTCATTATAATGGTTATCTCTCTTTGAAGAGAGAAAGAAAATTTGTGGTCAAAGGGAAACAAACAAGCAAAATGTTCACGTCGTAGTTTAGCCTGGATTACCTCGCTTATTAAATATTATTATGTATATTATTTATGTATAGGAAAAATGCTTTTTAAAATTCCGCTTTTTGTACACATACTAGCATTTTAATTAAAATTACATTTTTGTGTGTGTGTGATGTACTTGATTGAAAAACTCAATCAAACATTTAATTAACTAATAAAATAACATTTTGTTTTTGTGACTCTGTGAGCACATTTCTTCAGCTTGCGACTTTGATTTGTGATGGCAGTCGAAATCGTTTCGTTAGTGATAACTAGGCTAAGAAAAAAAATGTATTTATTTTATCATATCTTATTTTGCATAGGTTTTCCTTATTTGCATTTAAAAAACTATGTGATATACCTTTAAATTTATAGTCAAAAGAATACATCATTAATATGTTCAACTTCGTAATTTAGCCAAAGTAAATTTGCTTAGTAGTATTTTCAATTCACATTATTTTTTATGAATTTTAAAATTGGTTGGAAATTACTATGTATCTATATTAATTATTAATAAAGTTTTAAAATATTAAATATTAAATAATAAATGTCACTGAAAATATGCAAGAAAGATAACCTCGGCTAAACTACGAAGTGAAATATTTTCTTGTTTGTTCCCCTTGGATCATAAAATTATGTAGTTTCTTTTTTTCAGTTTTAAAATTTCAAAGTGGAATAGCCTTTTTAAAAAAAACAACTAAAATCGAAATGTACTGTATCTGAATATAAAAGCCTATGTACGCACTTCTCTCTCTCTCTCTCTTTCTCTCTTTCTCTTTCTCTCTGTCTCTGTCCGCAACATTTTTGAGGCTATGTGATCAGTATGTTGGTAAGCGATACGGACTTTTGTTGAAAAATGTATGTTGGATGATTTAAATGTAATAAACTAAATTTTATTAAAGAAGGAAAATAAAACAAAAAGCAATATTCGAATGTAGATCTACTTATCAAGACGTACGTTATGAAATATATACAATCTCAAAAACAACATAAATATCATTGAACAGCCGAGTATTTAACGGAATCATTTAAGTCTCTTAATTAGTGTGTGCATTGAATATAGTGTTGTGTTGACTAATAATGTACTTAACTTGGTTTTAATTTAATAGGTATTGGTAGCCGCCTATTTTAATTTAAATGTGTCGGATTTGTATCTAATTAGTTATTTCTTTGCTTTGTCACTTATATCGTTCAACATGTAGTAAAGCACGTAGCGTTTTGACCAATAACTTTTTCATAAAATATTTTTCTCAAACAATATATAACATTAAAATAATTCACATGTAACGGGTACCGACGGCTAGAATTTTATAATTGTAATGAAAATATGAAAAATGATTTATGAATTGTACAGAACGAAGTTGCTACCCGTATGCGCCATTCAAACTTTCAAAGAGATAAAAATTAGCAGCTTTATTTAATTTAAAAAAATAAACTTAAAAAAAAAAGACGTTAAGCATTTAGAAAAGTGTCATTTATTGGCATTTAAAGTTGTCGGGTTTTTTTTTTTTTGTTTTTTTTTTGTTCGCTGACTTGAAGAAATAAACGACAATTGAAATGAATAAAACGTGTGACTACACCAGCAACATTTAGCGTGGGTTTACACACATTCTATAACTAGTGTGGCGCGCTAAAATTTATACTCCACATACAACCCACTGTAACTCAGTTTATTAGAGGCGACTCCCCAATGGGGGTGGACTTGCCCCCACCCCAGTCTGTAGACCCCAGCCCCACTGCTACCTGGACAGGTACAATTTGTGTACGTGTACCTGGTCCAGATATCTTTAAGTATTTGTTTATTTACCTCTCTGTGTACCCAGTTACCTACAGAGACCTGCTTAGAACAGCCATGAGGATGTGACACTATAATGGTCAGCTTGTCCACATCTCTACGACTCTTGTATTTGTATTCTATCTTGTCACACAGACCCCCAAACCTCTCCCTCATCTCCCCCAGTTTGTCCCCCACCTCTACGTCATGTGTCACACATTCTACCCTACACCAGTCTCCTTCGTTATTTGACCCACACACCTTCCGTCCATAAATATTGACCGCTGGACTTTGATCATAATCAAACCACAACCTACAGCTGGACTGTCTCGCCTCACTGTCATCAAACACCACCTGTCTGGCTGTCAACACAACAACCTTCCACCACACTTTGCTGGGTGTGTCCGAATGGTCACATTCAGGACATGGACAAGTTCTGTAGTCCCACATCCCCTCTGTGTATTTGGACACACTCCACACCCTCCCAGTCCCTGTCCTCAGTGAGTTCTGTCCCCTGGTGTTGTAGCAAGGATATGGATCTTTAGTGCCTTGTACAAACTCTGGTCTGTCTGGACTGGTGAACTTAACGGCTATCCTGACTGTTAGGTCAGCCAGGGCTTTTGTGAGGTCATACAGGTCGTTGTCATGGTAACCAGGAGGAAAATGATCAGCAGTGAACTGGTCTGCTGCTACATAACCTACGTGAGATTTCTTGCAGTTTTTCTTGTAAAATTCCAAATCAGCCTCACCTTGACCTTCAAGACATTCTTGTACTTCATGTGTACCTGTACAGGTAAACGAACCAATTGCAAACATTTCATTAGCTTAAACAATTTGACTAACATGAAACATGGAAACAAATCTACCATTCCCATCTGCCCCTCTAACATCACCATCACCATCACCATCACCATCACCATCACCATCACCATCACCATCACAAGACAACAGTAAAACCTAGTGAATGTTTCAATACAACAGCATAGTTTAGGACTACGCCAGCATAAACTCATTAGCATAAACTCATTAGCATAAACTCATTAGCATAAACTCATTAGCATAAACTCATTAGCATAAACTCATTAGCATAAACTCATTAGCATAAACTCATTAGCATAAACTCATTAGCATAAACTCATTAGCATAAACTCATTAGCATAAACTCATTAGCGTAAACTCATTAGCATAAACTCATTAACATAAACTGAATAGATTTGGCTTCATGCTGTGTTTGTCATGTGGAGCACCTCTAACGTTGTAGCTACTGTCAAACAATGAACCAGTTACCTGTAAAATATTTCGACACGTCTCCTGTCTGGGTGTCAAACAATGAACCAGTTACCTGTAAAATATTTCGACACGTCTCCTGTCTGGGTGTCAAACAATGAACCAAGTTACCTGTAAAATATTTCGACACGTCTCCTGTCTGGGTGTCAAACAATGAACCAGTTACCTGTAAAATATTTCGACACGTCTCCTGTCTGGGTGTCAAACAATGAACAAGTTACCTGTAAAATATTTCGACACGTCTCCTGTCTGGGTGTCAAACAATGAACCAGTTACCTGTAAAATATTTCGACACGTCTCCTGTCTGGGTGTCAAACAATGAACCAAGTTACCTGTAAAATATTTCGACACGTCTCCTGTCTGGGTGTCAAACAATGAACCAGTTACCTGTAAAATATTTCGACACGTCTCCTGTCTGGGTGTCAAACAATGAACAAGTTACCTGTAAAATATTTCGACACGTCTCCTGTCTGGGTGTCAAACAATGAACCAGTTACCTGTAAAATATTTCGACACGTCTCCTGTCTGGGTGTCAAACAATGAACCAAGTTACCTGTAAAATATTTCGACACGTCTCCTGTCTGGGTGTCAAACAATGAACCAGTTACCTGTAAAATATTTCGACACGTCTCCTGTCGGGGTGTCAAACAATGAACCAGTTACCTGTAAAATATTTCGACACGTCTCCTGTCTGGGTGTCAAACAATGAACCAGTTACCTGTAAAATATTTCGACACGTCTCCTGTCTGGGTGTCAAACAATGAACCAGTTACCTGTAAAATATTTCGACACGTCTCCTGTCTGGGTGTCAAACAATGAACCAAGTTACCTGTAAAATATTTCGACACGTCTCCTGTCTGGGTGTCAAACAATGAACAAGTTACCTGTAAAATATTTCGACACGTCTCCTGTCTGGGTGTCAAACAATGAACCAGTTACCTGTAAAATATTTCGACACGTCTCCTGTCTGGGTGTCAAACAATGAACCAAGTTACCTGTAAAATATTTCGACACGTCTCCTGTCTGGGTGTCAAACAATGAACCAGTTACCTGTAAAATATTTCGACACGTCTCCTGTCTGGGTGTCAAACAATGAACCAGTTACCTGTAAAATATTTCGACACGTCTCCTGTCTGGGTGTCAAACAATGAACCAGTTACCTGTAAAATATTTCGACACGTCTCCTGTCTGGGTGTCAAACAATGAACCAGTTACCTGTAAAATATTTCGACACGTCTCCTGTCTGGGTGTCAAACAATGAACCAAGTTACCTGTAAAATATTTCGACACGTCTCCCTTGCTGTCTGGGTCATCTATACGACCATGTTCTACACTTGCCATACTGTTCTGAGCACTCAAACTTTACCTGTTACTTCCTGTTAATACAAGAATAATAATAAACACAATAACAACATCACTAACAGTTTTGTTTGCTGATAAAAACTACTTCTGACATCAGCCTAACTAACAAAAGCCTTCACTCTTTTTAAAATGACCTAGATCTATGTGTCAGAAGATATTGTATAAATACTTCCCTCCATCTTCCTCTGTAAACTTCTAGATGCTAGTTAACATCTAGATCTCCCACCCATAACAACCCCGCCTCCACACAACATTTGCTACAATAGAATTGTTAAAACAAGTGTTAACTGTACATCTAGTAGGTAGAATACACGTCTTAAACTGCTTCATTACCTTTTCATACAGAAAACAAACTCCAGGACCAGCCCACTATAAACACACCTCAATGTGGCTACACGTTCTACACTGTGTGTGTGTGTCTTGGCCTACTTACGATTCTATTTTAGGCCTGTTGTGTAAGGGTTATCTAGGTCTGTGTAAATGACATGGGGATTTATACTTTATTAATAAATTACTCAAATAACTACAACTACATTAGTTTGAAACTGTCCCTTTAGAAGCACTAAAGTCAATGCCATGTAAATTAAATCTAAGTCCTCAAACTGTATAATAATGTATGGAATACCTAAAACTCAGGGTATAGCATAAACTGGTGACGCTAGGACGTCTATTGTGTATGCGTCACATTGGTGTGGAATACCGGTTGGTTTTTTTGTTTTTTTTTTCCTTTGAAGCAGCATGATAATCAGAGATGTTATTGTCTTTCATTTATGCTTTAAAATTTTAGGGTTGTACTTGGAATTGGATTTTTTTTACATAAAACAAAACTATTGTAAAAAAATATAAACAAGTAGTTGTTTTTTTTTATTTATTTCTACAAATAAGATACAACACAAAAATGTCATTAATTTAGGAGTTTGTAATTCTAACATGAATGAGTCTTTAGTAGAAAATATAAAGCATAGATAATATCAAGATTAACAGTAATAATTACCAATTAATCATTAGTTGGCATCCACTTTGAGCTGGTCAAACGATACATTCTTAATTGCGTTTATTTTTAACAAATGGCCATTTTATATAATTAAATATCAGGCAATGTATATGTGTTTTCAAAATTCAAATGACAATTTTATATAACTAAATATTAGGCTATGTATTCGTGTTTCAAAATTCGCATTAAGTAGTTTTTTTTCGATTCCATGGAGAATCCTAAATATATAGTGATTATCTGTTTTGAAGTACTTTCATATATGTACAATGTTATGAAAGTATTTTCGTCTTAATTAGGCCTACTTTCATATACGTACAATGTTATCAAAGTATTTTTGTTTTAATTTGGCCTACTTACATAATTCGTATACAGTCATCAATACATTAATAATGAACATATGCTGCATATTATTTTTCATGTGGAAAAAAAAGTTGGCTTTAAAACCGCATGTTTAATTTCAAACGGTATATTTTGTTTCTCAACCAAAAAAAAGAATTTTATTTTTCGTATTATTAATTTGAACTAGACGCCCAGGTTTACCGTTCCAAAACGGTCTGTCGGCTGCACATCACAAACCAACTTCCCACTAGGCCCACCCCACCCCTGTCAACATACCCCTGAACCGCCGCCCAGTACCTTTGAAGCATCCTTTATAAAGTCCGGCGGGAGAATCTGGAGTAGGGGGGTGGGGGGGGGGGGGGTTGGGGCATAAGGAAGTCTAGTTGTCTGGACGCTTGTAAAGAAAATTAGCCATAGCTATTCGCTTGTACAAGTAAATGCGTGTTTGTACATTCAAATATTTCTTTTAACTTTGTTAGTGTCTCTAAACAAATTTGTGTTAGTACATTCATACAAAAAAATTATTTCTACATAAGTAGGCATTTTAAAATTCTAGACAAATTTCAGAAATTTCAGAATTAGCGATACAGACAAATAAAAAGATAAATATACAAAGTAAAACAATAAACATTTGTAGATTTAACAAAGTTCCTTGATGATTTTAAAAATGTACATAATTTTTTAGCGAATTATTAAGAAATGTGGACGTGTCATACAAGTATTCTTTGTGCGCATTTAACTAAGAATTGGATTAAATGATATGTGCATATATAACAAAAAATACACTTATATAGTTGCTCTTATATAAATGGGTAATCAAATTTAAAACGTGTGAACACACACAAAATTACAATATCTATTTTTAAGCATAAAATTGTTAGATTTACGGAAAAATAGGTTAATAGTACAAGTACAAATTTCACTAATTATAGTTTTCTAATTTAAGTAATTATGACTCGAACTTAAACTTTCTATTCTACTAGAATTTGAAATTTCGGTACACTTTCCGTTACACAATTCCACCACACAGTTCATTTCATCTCTGCAATAATGCAACATGAAAACATTCCCAACACCAGCAGTGGGGTTGCTCCCACTTGCTTGAAGGGGAGAACAGGTGAGTAAAGGACTAATCATCTTAATCGCAATATCTGCAGGAGACAGGCGGGTCCGCTCAGTTCATCCCCCCAACATTGGCTGACGACACTGGCGTTTCGCTCACACCACAGCAGGAAATACTGTCAATACTACCACTCAAATTCAAAGTACTTTCTACAAGTTACATCAGCAGCACGCAACCATCAGAAACCCACAGCAACAAAACTATCACCAGTACAGAAAAACCAACAACAACCGCCAGAATTCAAATGTTAGACACAGTAAATACAAAAGTATTTAAATAGTAGTCTATAATTTATTTTCAACTTTTTAGTGCATTAGTACATAAAAGCTTGTTATTAAAACGTTTTTTTTTTTAGGAATTTTTTTGTTATGTATGCTAGGATTTTTGGCGAATTTATTTGTCAATTTTTACTTTCTCGTATATACGAAGTATAGATAAAGTATTGTAATCGTGCACAAAAATAACATGAAATTTTGACAGTTTTCAGCGTTTTACTCCTCAGTCCTTCATCACATCCGGAGTATAGAGGACTTTTTTTAATCAGGCAAAAATTATAAATACAAATATATAAACATTTTGGCGTTTTATGCGTTATCGAGTCGTAAAAACTGGATTTTGCAATTCTGTCCGTATGTCTGTGTGTCTGTCTGTGTGTGTGTATGTAAACACGATAACTTGAGTACCGTTACAGCTAGTTTGATGAAATTGCATTTATAAGTATTATATTGAAATCGTAGCCGTATAAACTTTTGAGCGCTTTCCGATAACCGAAAGTGGAACTTTTTCTACTTTGAATTTTTCAAAAGCGTATAAATTGAGTACTATTTCAGATAGATAAAGGAAATTTCACATGTAAGTAAAAGATCTAATTCTCTACCTTCTATCAAATTTTGAGTAATTTCCGTTGATCGAAAGTACTAATTTACGCTATTTCCGATTTCTCAAAAAACAAATGTAAATTTATAAAGTACTAGCCGTCCCGGCCAGGCCCTGCTCTGGCATCTCTGAAAAACGTATCTGTAAAGGACCATAACTTGTGTGTTTAGTAATCAGCATAAACCCGGCATTGCCCGCCCTAAACACAACCAACCAAAACACACAAAAAATGCAAACATAACACTAACATAAAACAAACACAAACGAAAACACAAAAACAAACGCAAACACAAACCCAACCACAAACACAAAGAAAACACAAACACTAACGCAAACAAAAAAGCAAACGAAAACAAATCCAAACGCAAACACAAACCCAACCACAACCAAACAAAACCAAAACACACCAAAAAAACAACGCAAACATAACGCAAATACAAACACAAACGAAAACACAAAAACAAACGCAAACACAATCACAAACACAAAGAAAACACTTACGCAAAGAAAAAAGCAAACGAAAACAAACCCAAATCCAAACCCAAATACAATCACAAACGCAAACCCAAACTCAAACACAAAGAAAACACAAACGCAAAGATAAACTCATAGTGTCCAGTCTAGCCCGGGGTGTAAAATCGCACCATGACGACGTGCGGCGTAACCGCCTGACTCAACGTAGTAAACGACTATAGTACCCAACTTATTCATAGTCTTTTCAACTCACTTACGCGAACGTAGGTACCATAGCGTACACGGGAAGGCCCGGGGGGCCAAATAGCACCCTGTTGGGGTGCCGGAGGACGCCCGGATTTGATTCACTTAAAGACTATAGTATCTTTCTTATCCATAGTCTATCGCACTGTTTAAAACGAAATTATGCAGCATAGCGCTCACATGATAGGCCAGGGCGCCAAATCGAACCGTGCAGGGGCGCCGGCGGACGCGCCTATTTCAATTCAGTGAACAAAATTATAATACTCTAAGCTTATCCGTAAATGGAAAGAAATAAACATATAGGATTTGTAGGACCTGGCTTATTAAATGTTATTGATTTAAAAAAAAAAGAATTAGTGAACAGTATGTTCAGTGTATAGAATAAATAAAAGGCAGTATTAAAAATACCAACGACATTGCACTTAATCAATACCCGCTAATTATGTAATTTTTTTTTTCTTAACACCAAAACAAAGTAATAAAAAGTAAATTCTCTCTTCCCCCGATTTAATGATTTTTTAAAGAGAAGTAACTGTGGAGTCAATACATTTCAGACACAATTTTAGAAATTTTATAAATGTTAATACACTTTTTTAAAATTTTATGTAATGTTCATAATTGAAAATTATTATTCTAAGTATATAAAATGAAAATTGTTTTTAAAGACTTTCAATAGTAATTTTTTAACTCAAATATTAATACCTTGAGCACTATAATAATCTAACACTTAAATCCATCGAAGTATCCACGACAAACTTATTACAAACATACAGAATTGAGCTTTATATATTACACTAATAATATTCCGCACTATTATGCACATTTTATTTAGCGTTCACAGGTGTGCAATCCTTTTTTTTACGAGATTTTATTTTATTTTAAAAAGTTTAAGTATTTAAAATGGATTAAAATTCATGTCTATATCCCGAGTTCCCATTCCCTGTTTTTTTATAAAAGAATATTCGAGAAAGTTTAGGGGAGATCGCTCCCGGTTTATTTTATGTCTGTGATACTGCCAACTTAATGAAAAGAAAGATGAATCACTACTTTCGGGTTTTTATCTTTTAGGTATGAAGTATTTTGTTTGTAGTTAGAGAAAATTTCAGCAAAAGTTTTCCAAAGCTTTGTAAGATAATCTTCAAAGTTTCGCCACCAATGAAACCAGTCATTGACTTCCTCAAACTGTGTGATACCATACCTGTCTGTTTGCGATACACGCTCAACCACGTTTATCAAACATCGAGATTGTTCTCTTTTAATATCCTCATCACGTGTTCTGTTATTAATTAACAACGGTGCATTTTCAAAATAACTCATTATTTTCTTTTCCATTGATTTTTCCGGCAAAGAGGTTAGCCATTGTTGCCACGTTTTTCCTTCCGTGTTGTCGTCAGTCTCAAAGTCATCCCCTCTCGTAAACACCAGCAAGCCATACTTGTAAAAATATTGATCGCCAAACATCTTTCTCAACATCTGCAACACACACAGTTCATGCTCAGTTAAACGCTTTCCGTATGGCAAAACAAACACAAAAGCGTTGATCCCACTGTTAATCCTTACGCAGATCTCTTTAAACTGCTTAGCAAACGTTTTATCGCAGCCTTTTTTAAAATCAATGCCTGGGGTATCTATAACTTGCACATTGTGTTTGCCATCAATTAAACGAGTTTCCCTCTTCACATCCGTAATTCCATTTTTCATTCTGCTGCAAGAGGTAAATACTTTTTCTCTTAAGATTAAATTACCCAGCGTGCTTTTGCCGACTCCAGGACTTCCAAGAAGCAAGATCGCACTTTCACATCTCACGTACTACATCAGAAAGAAATGTGTATAAGTTAATTTATATATTTTTTATTTTGAATAGGACACTCTTTCTCTCAAGCACACACAAACACACACACACACAAACACACACACACTCTAGATTGCCTTTACACAATCGGCTCAACTTGTAAGTTAAATTATACCTTACAATTCGGTAGCTTCCAGTATATATATATATATATATATATATATATATATATATATATATATATATATATATATATATATATATATATTTATACTAGCATACCCGTGCTTCGCCACTATTAATCTTTTTAAATGTGCCCACTTGGGAACAGAACAGAACCAAACAAAATACAATCACAAACGCAAACACAAAAACAAATACAAAAACAAAAGAAGATAACAAACGCACACGCAAACACGAAAGAAGACACAACGCAACACGCAAACGCAATACAATTACAAACGCAAACACAAATACAAACGCAAACACAAAAAACCACAAACGCAAACACACTCGGACACAAACTCAAATAAAAACGCAAACACAGATACAAACACAAAAGAAAACACAAATGCAAACAGACGCAAAAGCAAACTCAAAAACGCAAACTCAAGCTCAAACACTAACGCAAACACTTTTTTTTTTAATTACGCTTTCCCGGGGTCCGCGCTTAAAGAGAGACTTTACCACATTTCTAATTTAACCATGCCTTTAAATAACACCAAAAAATTGTGATTTTAAGAGATCATAGGAATAAAAAAAAGCAATAAAAAAATTATGTAGGCCTACCGACTAATCAGAAAAAGATATAAATAATCTTAACATAAATCTATTTTAATTATAAGCCTTTATTAGCTACTTTAATACCAATATTTAGTGTGAGTTGAATTTCTTTTTTAAATTACACCCTGGCATAATTATTAAACATTTTAATTGATTTGTTTTATTCGACACTACATTATTAAAATGAATCCTTTTTTTCTAGCATGCATATAAGCGAAATATTATTTGACATTGACCCGTTTCATATGTTTTAGCAATGTGCTGTATTTAAATATTTTTCTTCTCGTTTTTATTAGTGATATATGTGAAAGAGTAAAAACTTTGCAGATTATAAAAAATTAAAGTCGTCACATAAATAAACCCTACTCCAAATCATTTTATGAGACCATTCGTTTCATGGAAAATCGCGGCATGTGTTATATTTATGGATTCAACATCAAAAAATATCGATGATGTACGAACGGACTAACATACTGACACACTGACACACTGACACACTGACACACTGACACACTATCTGGCAAATGTTTAACCACTTTTATATAACTAATAAATCTGCGCGTATGTTAAATGCAACCACGTGAAATTATTTCAAAACATCAGTTACTTTTTGATAAATTTTAATTATTCATATGAAAAAACGATGCTAATAATAACAGAATCCACGTGTCTTAAGCACGAACTTCTATTTGAACAATGATCATTTTTATAGGATAAATGTTCACTCTACGTAATTATTGGTATGGAGTCACGTACCTTTTCGTAAGCTTCTTTAGTCAGGAAGAGTTTTTTAGTCAAAGTGAACGTAGAGGGACATATTTGTTTATCTCCACCAACTTGTCTCTGGCTTAAGCGTGCTGTTACTTTAGTCATCAGCTCGGTGATATCATCCTGTCGGCTGAACTCTTTCACAACTTGACACCAATCTTGGATAAACCAGGATCCCGCCGTTATGTCTCTGTACGCCACGTGACCTGATACACAACAAACATTTTGTTGAAAGCTTGACATCATACAGGTGTCAATCTAAACAGGTGTGTCATCTGTGTAGCTCAATTCTACCCAGCATAGTGTCATCCCCTTTTAACGGACCCTTTGTACTTTGCCATTTAGAATAATTGAGCGATTAGTAAACGATATAATAGAAGCGGCAATTGTAGACAATGAAAATATTTAAGATAACCTACCTGTAAATATTTATGACAAAGAGAGTTGAGCATGGTGATCAGAAAATTATCACAATTAATTGTATAATTAAATTTAAAAAGCCAGGTCATATGAATAGCTGCAGATAGGATAATTCTACTGACATATTTGCACATTCAGCAAACTGCCTACTACTATACGGTCAGTTATGATTTTGGCCATATTTATAAGAGTATTATTTGGAACAAATGAGCATGATTATAATGTAGGATAGATCGCTATTTATCAAACAGACAGGCAGACAGGCAGACAGAAAGACGGACATACAGTCAGACAAACAAAAAATCAACCAACTTATTATTATCCGATCGATTACTCCGAACTGAAATCAGATTTTATGTTAAGTAACTTGAAAATCGTACCCTCAATGGTTGAATGAATAACACAGCAGTCTGCGAAATTGGGCGGCTGTGTTGCGTCTGTTTCTGTCAAACTTACTACGTCAGCACAATCTGCTGCTGGTGAGTTTTCTGGTCTGTTTGTGCTGCTACCTCGGCATGCCTTTAAAAATGTTTTAAATAATTTTATTTTTTATTTTCGTTCTGGGAGGGGGTGGGGGTAATTTTTGTATAAGTAAGTCATATAACTTTTACTAAAGTTTTTTTCAACCAATCATTAGTCATATAAATAAGCAATTTAAATACTACAAAGAATTAAACCTGTGACTTAAAAACATTTCTAAGTTTGTTGCTTGCTTAACATTAACAGAGAATTCACTAGGGGTAGATTAACGGACTTGAGTCAAGGGTTACTAGGCCTGGTAAAGCCTTTCATGTCAGTGTTCGAACCTGGCAGCGCATATCACGTCTTTACCCAACATTCATTGGAACAGTTTCAATTGCGGCTATGCCATAGTTTCATGAACACATTGTATATGAAAACACTGACAATATTTTTTCATGGCTTTAATTCGCTTAAGATAATTTTGTATGAGCTACTTACTTGAAAGATAAAAATCTTTGGTTTATTTTTTAGCTCATTTTTACTCTGAATTTTCTTGACGATATCGTTTATCTTGATCCTACCGTCGGTAGCGTAAACCTCATCCTTGTTGCCGTGAGACATGATGATGAACACGGACATTGCGTACTTGCTGTACTCTTTGCCATCTGGACAATAAAGTAGTTACAAATTAACTCAAACCTAAACAAATGTAATATCTTTCTTTCGAAATTTAAAACATTATGCATAAAAGCACGTCGTTACCTGATTCTAAAAGTTCCATGATGGTGTCTTTGGTTGGGTTCTTCATCAAATTGACCTCCATTTCTATTGATTTAAATGTCTCACACAGCTCCTTTACGTCCATTTCTGAACCTTTTCGATTGCTCTGTGGTTCGCGACTCTGGTCAAACTCCTCAACATTGATGATGGTCACAAAACCCGGTTTTAGGTTTCCGAATTCATAGACTGTACATTCTGGAGAAGTTAAAACTTTTAATGTAAACACTGTAGTATCACTGTAGTATCACTGTAGTATCACTGTAGTATCATTCATTTACTGAGACATTATTGTAAGTTCATAACAATGAAGTACTCAGAAGTACGATGGTTATTTTCATCGAGTGGGTGGTTTCACAATCAGGTCAGTCTTTGGTAAAAATGTCACTAATACAAGCAAATACCCTTGTCATTACTCGTTCGTATTTTAAAACGTTTTGATTTTTTGTTGTATATCGGCGTTCTTTTCAAAGTCGGTAAAAAGTATAAACACGTCTAGTAAAACGTTTGAATCCTGACTAAGATCTATGACAATTTTTATTCTTTCAGTCTGATGTGTGCAGGAAATATCTTTTCTAAAACACGCCTGTTCTGTTCACGTGCAGGTCCAAAATACGTCATTTAATTAGGATTTCGAGATTTTTCACAATTCGTTTAAAAGCATGTGTCGATTAATGAAATAAATTAATCATGTTTATCTTGGCTAATTTGTGTGTAGTTTAAATAATTATTGAGATCACACAATTAAAGTATAAACTGTACCTTGATTACTTTCTGAAACCATTTTTATCCTGAGCAATGATTAACGTTCGATTATCTTAAATGTAGGGAGTGATTGGTAGAAATCACCTCATGCGTCACTGTACAAGCATCTAAATCGTGAACAGTAAGAGAAAAATCAACATTAATTCTTTATTTACACTAATATTTTAAATAGTAGAACGTAAGCTACAGACGCAAAGAATTTAAAACATTTTGCCATCTATGAAATAAACATTTAATTTCGCTATTAAAATGGGAAAATTATTACAGATACTCATATATATATATATATATATATATATAAATATATATATATATATATATATATATATATATATATATATATATATATATATATATACATATATATATATATATATATATATATATATATATATATAGATAGATAGATAGATAGATAGATAGATAGATAGATAGATAGATAGATAGATAGATAGATAGATAGATAGATAGATAGATAGATAGATAGATAGATAGATAGATAGATAGATAGATAGATAGATAGATAGATAGATAGATAGATAGATAGATAGATAGATAGATAGATAGATAGATAGATAGATAGATAGATAGATAGATAGATAGATAGATAGATAGATAGATAGATAGATAGATAGATAGATAGATAGATAGATAGATAGATAGATAGATAGATAGATAGATAGATAGATAGATAGATAGATAGATAGATAGATAGATATATAGATATATAGATATATAGATATATAGATATATAGATATATAGATATATAGATATATAGATATATAGATATATAGATATATAGATATATAGATATATAAACGCGCACACACATAGCCTACATATATATATATATATATATATATATATATATATATATATATATATATATATATATATATATATATATATATATATATATATATATATATGTGTGTGTGGGGGGGGGGGGGGGGGTGGGGGGGGTGAGTGGGTGTGGGTGTGTAGGTGGGTGTGAGTAGCGAGTGTGTGTGTCTCTGTGTGTGTGTTTGTGTACCAGTGTGTGTATGTGAGTGTATGTGTATGTGCGTGTGTGTGTGCGAGGCTGTTTATATTTTATCTTTAATGACTCCTAGGGTGAAGAAGGTTTTGAGACATCCAAACAAAGAAAGTGGTTTTCTTTGTCCAGAACCTGCACACAAACGTCACACAAACGTCACACAAACGTCACACAAACGTCACACAAACGTCAACAATCAATCATCACTTAATCAATAAAACTGTAATATCTCTTACCTTTTACAATCTTTTTTATTCTACATTTTACACAAAATAAACTTACTTGCCTCTAGGGGTTATTCTACCAATATGACGCCTTAGAAAAAAAAACTAGATCCTGACGTAAGCCGCTGCTAACATTGATTGTTGCTGCGGTTGCTATGCAGCACCCTCAGGGTTTCTAAATTTAGAATGTAAATTTTGGAATTCCCGATATTACGTAAATAATGGATAATTTTTCTTTCTCGTACATACGAAGTATAGAGAAAGTCTTGTAATCGTGCAAAAAAACCCGAGGTTTTTGCAAATCTCGACGTTTTACACCTCCTGTAGTCGGAAAAACATAGTTATGCAATCTTGTCCGTATGTCTGTGTGTGTGTGTGTATATCTGTGTGTGTGTCTGTAAACACGATAACTTGAGTACCCTTACAGCTAGGTTGATGAAATTTCATATATAAGTATTATATCAAAATCGTAGATACGTATCGACTTTTGAGCGATTTCCGATAAGCGGAAGTGGTACTTTTTCTACTTTGAATTTTTCAAAAGCCTATAACTTGAGTACTGATTCAGATAGATAAATAAAATTTCACGTGTAAGTAAAAGGTCTAATGCTCTACCTTCTATCAAATTTTGACTAATTTATGTTGACCGGAAGTAGTAATTTTTGCTATTTCCGATTTCTCAAAAAACGCATGTGAATTTATAATAATATATAAAGTACTAATAATATTCCGCATTATTATGCACATTTTATTTGGCGTTCACTTGGTGTGCAATTATTTTTTCTACTAGATTTTATTCTATTTTTAAAAGTTTAAGTATTTTAAATGGATTAAAAATCATGTCTATATCCAGAGTTGCCATCCCATGTTGGTTCATACAAGAATATTCGAGAAATTTTAGGGGAGATCACTCCCGGTTTATTATATTTGAAATAATATTTACATACTGTAGCATGTTTATCATTCTTACACGCGTTTTTTTAAATACAAATGCTTCAATACTAAATATAAACTTAATTCTAAAAATATTGTGACTTTTTAATTGGAAGTAATAGCAGTAGTTCAAAAAGAATGCGAAAAGGGTTCCATAAGCGTCACAATAAAGCATTATTATTTAAATAGGTACACCTGTCTGTGTACCTGTCTGTGCACCTGGTACCTGTCTGTGCACCTGGTACCTGTCTGTACACCTGTCTGTGCACCTGTCTGTGCACCTGTCTGTGCACCTGTATGTGCACCTGTCTGTGCACCTGTCTGTGTACCTGTCTGTGTACCTGTCTGTGCACCTGGTACCTGTCTGTGCACCTGGTACCTGTCTGTGCACCTGTGTCTGTGCACCTGTCTGTGCACCTGTCTGTGCACCTGGTACCTGTCTGTGCACCTGTCTGTGCACCTGTCTGTGCACCTGTCTGTGCACCTGGTACCTGTCTGTGCACCTGTCTGTGCACCTGGTACCTGTCTGTGCACATGTCTGTGCACCTGGTACCTGTCTGTGCACCTGGTACCTGTCTGTGTACCTGTCTGTGCACCTGGTACCTGTCTGTGCACCTGTCTGTGCACATGTCTGTGTACCTGTCTGTGCACCTGTCTGTGTACCTGTCTGTGCACCTGGTACCTGTCTGTGCACCTGTCTGTGTACCTGTCTGTGCACCTGGTACATGTCTGTGCACCTGTCTGTACACCTGTCTGTGCACCTGGTACCTGTCTGTGCACCTGTCTGTGCACCTGGTACCTGCCTGTGCTACACCCGCCTTCCATCCATACACTTTGACTATGAGACATTTGATCATCATCAAACCACAACCTACATCTGGACTGTCTCGCCTCACTGGAATCATAAACCACATTTATTAAAACAACTGCTGGCTTGTAGTTTGTTCTTGGTTGGACAAAGGTTATGGAAGCAAATCCGAAAAGAAAAGCAGGCTGAAATCGGAGTCAATAGCCTCAATGGCGCATAACCAGTTGACACGTAACGCTTAATTGTGTTGGAGGCGTGGTCAAGTCGGCAAAAAGCTCATGGTTGATAAATTCGAACAAAGTCTCGAGTTCAAACCCACTGGCAGATAAATCTCGATCCCCTTCAACACTATTAATTAAGAACGAAGAAGAAGAAAGATAAACCACATGTCTGGCTGTCTACACATTAACCTCCCACCACACTTTGCTGGGTGTGTCCGAGTGGTCACATTCAGGACATGGACAAGTTCTGTAGCCGTTCATTCCCTCTGTGAACTTGGTCGCAAGCCAGACCCTCCCTGAGCCTGTCCGTAATGGTGTCTTCCCCCTAGAGCCGTAGAAAGGATACGGATCTTTCGTGTCTGGTACAAACTCTGGTCTCTGTGGACTGATGTACTTGACGGTTATTCTAACCGTCAGGTCGGCCATTGATTTAGTTAGGTCATACAGGTCGTTGTCTTGGTAACCAGAAGGAAAATTTTCAATGCTCAATTTCTTTACAGGAACAAACCCAGCATGGGATTTCTTGCAGATTTTCTTGTAATTATCTAAATTAGATTCATCGTCCCCTTCAAGACATTCTTGTACCTCATGTGTACCTATACAGGTAAAAACATAACACATTTCATTACATTAAAGAATTGACATAAAACAAAATCAAGCACTCCAGAACCTCCTAATGTCTGAACCTAATGAATCACAGAATCACTGAACACAATGTCCCTTGGTTCCATAGCATTCAACACTCAAGCTAATGCCGATGTAATCAAACATTACCTTTAAAATACTCGGACACGTCTTCTTCACAGGCCATACTTTGGGATCAAACAAACAGCAACTTTACCTTTGGGATCAAACAAACAGCAACTTTACCTTTGGGATCAAACAAACAGCAACTTTACCGTTAGCCACACAATGACCAGCAAGTTCTGTCTAGAAATATAAGGAAAAATTGATGAATCGTTTAATACATGAAAGTGATTATTGGAAGCAATCATCATAGTCTTAATCTCTCATATCCTAGTCCTAATCTGATATATTGTGATGTTGTTTTAATAACTCTGACCCTCTAATTACGTCTTGTATTTTGGTAAATATGTTTGTTTAGAATCTTTGAATTTATAATAGAAAACGAAACAAAATGTGTCCATTTACCTCTTACCTGTTGCCTCTATACAGCTATATCAAAAACAAAATAAAGCGAGAGTCATCTCCTTTAAACTTTCTCGAATATTCTTATATAACACTACGGGGAATGGCAACTTGGGATATAGACATGATTTGTAATTATATTTTAAATATTTTTTTTAACAGATTATCACCAAGGAATTTATTTGATTATCATTTGTTTATGTAAAAACTATTAGGATGCCAATCAGTGCAGGCATGAACAAATTCCAGCTATTAATACAAGATGTTACGTGTAGAGTAGAGGCGTAGCGAGGGCGGGGCGGGGGGGGTGCGGACCGCACCGGGTGACACCATTTAAGGGGGTGACACCATGACAAAAAAATAGCAAAATGTACATAAGAAAAATACCTCTTTGTCAGATCTATTAATTAAAGTTAAATGAATAGTCTTTACAATACAGATCGACAATTGTTACTATAGTATACTTTGTTTCTTTTGTGGGGGGGGGGGGGGGTGACACCACGAAGTGCCGCAGCGACGCCACTGGTGTAGAGTGTAACCTCTCTATTACAACTAGCTTTTACCCAAGTAGCTTGTAACTCTAAACTCCAGACAAAGGACACTAAATCAATATTTCCAGTCAGCTAAATGTAACTTCTTATAAATAAACAGGTCAAGCATCATGTGATTTACAGTGTCCGTCAGATTAACACGAATTAACCATCAGATCATAAACTATAATTAGACTCGCGTGTATGCTGAGTTCAATGAAAAGAATGTACCAAACAGTTCTTTGCTTACATTTCAAAATGGCGCCGCTCAGTTGTTGTTGTGTTTCTATGCGTATCGATGGCGTAACGTTCTATAATTAGAACATTGATTTGTTGATTATTTGGACTAGACAAAAATCAATTCAATACTTTCATAATGGTTCGAGACTGAAGTTATTTTTAAACTACAAGTAGAACTATCAAGGATTAAATTTACCTATATATCTACTACTTGTTCGCAAATTAAAATATCTGATTTAGACATCATAGACTGTACCACACTTGTATATCATATCCCTCTAGATCAAACATCGACCTCTCTTCACGTTATTCTCGCCCAACTCTCGGACCTATGCCAACTTTACAACAGCCAAACGGCAACTACGTTCTTTTTAACATAATTCACTCAGGTAAACACGGCTAAAATCTTAGAACATTACAGGCTTGAAAAGTCTCTGTAATCTTACTAATTGTTTTTTAATCTTTTTAAACAATATGGCAACTGATAAAATTATGGTTACATTTTAAAAATTAAAGTTGTTTGGGAACCATCGATTACACTCATTTTCATAGTGTGTAATAATAATAAGTCATTGAAAAGCATTTTAGAATTATTTTATCAAATCAAATATTTTTTTTTTAAATTCTCAGCCTCAACCACTCCTTAAGGTCAACCGGAGGGGTCAGGGAAAGAAAAACAATGAAAATAATAATAATTGTTTTCTATTAAAAAATACATTATAGCGGTTAGTTAGAGAAAGCCTAGTTGTTTATTTAAATTAAATAATATAACACCCACTATCACCATAACAGACTCTACTAATCTATATATATAATTCTCTTCATGGAGACCATAGAAAACACCACGCAGCTCAGCCACCACCCTCATCCCCACCTGTCAGGTGAGCTGTGGTTCACCCCGAATTTTTACAATATTAGAGCCGGTTCGAATAAGTGACGACTATTAGGGGCAGGTAATTTAGTTTTTAAACGATTTGAAACTAAGGGGAGATAATAAGTTCTGCTTGATATTTTCATTGTCGTTTGTAAACGGCTGCTTTCACTGGGCGGGTTGGGGTGGGGATGGGGGAGGCAGTGGGGTGGGGTAGTGTCGAATTCACAAATTATGAATTGCTGATAACTAGAAAATAAAACAAGTAGATGGCGGCGTATGCTACGTCCCGCGTCAGCTCGTCCAAATTAAAAATGAAAGTGTTTTCTAAATTAATATTATATTACTATAATTATTTACTTGAAGATTTATATTTCTATTCGACAATTGAGACCTAAGCGTCCCATTTTTGATCAAACGTTTCAGGCAGAGAAGGCCTATAGGTGGGTAAAGTTATTCATCGTGAACATTTTTAAACTTAAGAATCCAGGACACTATGTTGACTCTCAGTGTTGAGAATGCAAACAGGCGGTCTAATCCTAACCTCATCAAAGATGGCTACCATATGTTGCTGTTTAAAAACGGGTATTTCCAATTTTTAAATATTCTGTTATTTTACTGAGCAAATAGAATGCTTACGTCATCACGTTGAGTTTAGCGCCATACCTGCGATGTCTTCTGTATTCATTCTTAGGATGTGCCCCATTCTTCGCCATCTTTTTTAATATTACGGAAAAAGATGTCATTTCTCCAAGTAATTTATTATTTGAGATATTTTTGGGTCATTTGTGTGCGTTTTATCCTCCGCAAGCACTTAGGGGGTCATCCATCAATTACGTCACGCTTCTTTTGACGATTTTTACCCCCCCCCCCCCCCTCCCCTCCGTCACACGTCGTCACAAAAAGCCAGACCCCCCCCCCCTCCTCCCCCCTACGAGTATGACGTCATTTATGGACGACCCCCTTAGTTTGGACAGAGTCCAGTGATCTGCTGATGGCGGTTGTTCCAGCATTCGCTGCCATAAAGTAGGACACTAAGTTCATTACTTTTTGGAAAGTCTGCATTTGGTCTTGGGGGAGATTTTCTTCGATGGCCATATATAGACTTACTTGTCCTTTTTTTTTTTTACACCCGCTAATGCATTTCTACGACATCCACCAGTCATGGAAATGTAATTGTTGAGTCTCATGTGTGTAGATAATGCAAGGTACACGTTGTCTTTTTCTTTATAATAGCAGGAAGGATTTTTCAAAATTTGAAATAATGTTAGAAAACGTGTCAATCTATTGACATCGGCCGTAATAAGAAGGGACTCAATTTAAAGCAGAGTTTCTTCCAGGCATCTCTTCGGTGGGGGGGGGGGAGAGAGAATTTTTACCGCCCCCCCCCCCCCCCCCCCCCCGAACGAAATGAAATTTATATAATTTATATAGAAAATATACACTTTTAACAGTGTCCGCCCCCCCCCCCGAAGAAAGTTTACCGCCCCCCCCCCCCCGAAAATTTCAAGTGCCCCCCCCCCCCCCCCAGGAGAAAAAAGTCTGGAAGAAACACTGATTTAAAGTCATCCTGGTACGCATTGATAATGATTGATACATCGATTGTACTAAAGACATTATATTGATTTAGATGAACTACCTCTTGTGAAATATTCAGTCTAAAAGAAATATCAATCTAAATATATTTTTTTTCTGAATAGAAATTGTTTTTCTTCGTTTGTTTAGAGTGCTCGAGGGAATCAGTCAAAGAACTTGAGACTATTTCTATAGTGTGTACCCTGTTCAAACCTTTCTGAATAGATCTTGTAAACAATAAAACACCATCCACCCCACATCAACAACCAAAGATTTAGAAAGCGCCATCTTTATCATAGCTTTAATTCAAAATTATATCAACCTTCTCCTGAACTTTAATTAGTGTTTGTTTTCTTGAAAGTTTTTTTTTTCGATTTAAAAATTGTCCTTGATTCAACAAATCACTCTACACTAATTTAAATAAAACATAAAATTATATTGAAATTTATTGGCTATCAAACAAAAAATAATTTATAAAAGATCATTTGCCTACTTATATTATTCAGATGTACATCTTTATTACATGCTAATAAGACACAAATTAATGAGTTTTTAATTGTATTATTGTAATCGACGGTTGTAGAACGTTGAAATTTTTTTTTCATGCCGCTAAAAACAAGATCTATGAACGTTTGCTTATCTTAACAGAATATGTAAACAACAAACGCCATGTTTGTTTACATTGAGACATGGGCAGACAACTACCAATCAGTGTCACCAGCCAACCCACTGTAATTTAATCCACCAGAGTTGGCGTTAGCTCCACTGTGGGTATGGGCAGACCACCCCCACCCCACCCTGTACACCTGAGCCCCACTGCTACCTGGGCAGGTACAGGCTGTGTACGAGTACCGGATCTGTTTTAGCATGCCCACCTCCTGTCTGTGTACCCAGTGACCCACAGAGACCTGCTTAGAACAGCCATGAGGATGTGACACTATGATGGTCAGCTTGTCCACATCTCTACGACTCTCGTACTTGTCCCGTACTACAGCACACAGATCCTCGTAACGTCCCAGCATCTCATCCAGTTTATCAGCGGTCCTCGTGTCGTGGGTCCAACAAAACATCATGCACAGGTCGCCATCGACGTTTGATCCCGGCACCTCCCGTCCATAAATGTTGACCTTTGGACATCTCTCCCTATCAAACCACAGCCGACAGCTGGACTGTCTCGCCTCACTGGTGTCATACACCACGTGTTTGGCTGTCACCACGTGAACCACCCACCACACCTTGCTGGGCGTGGCCGAGTGCTCACACTCAGGACATGGACAATGTCTGGAGCCGTTCGTACCCTCGGTGTCTTTGATTAGTTCACACACCCTCCCAGTCCCTGTCCGGAGTAAACTGGTGCCCCTGGAGTTGTAGAACGGATATGGGTCTTGAGTGCCTGGAATAAACTCTGGTCTGTCTGGACTGGTGAACTTAACGGCTATCCTGACGGTTAGGTCAGCCACAGCTTTTGTAAACTTATATAGGTCGTTGTCATGGTAACCAGAAGGGAAATGTTCATTAGTTAATCTATTGACAGGTATAAACCCCAGGTGACCAGGAGTTTTCTTGCAATGTGCCATCTGCGTGTGTAGATCTGCCTCACCTTGACCTTCAGCACATTCTTGTACTTCGTGTGTACCTGTACAGGAGAGGAAAACAATTTTAGAACTGTACATCTTTTAGAAGCTATTCAACTTGGACAAAATAGAACATTTTAAAATCCTAACAATTTCCACAACCATCTCAGCCATCACCACCACAAGCCGCTCGTGACGTCAACAAATAAAGTTTCAACACAACAACATCAGCACGTCCTGTCGTCATTGGTTCCCTGGACCAGGATTGTTTTTACTTTCTCGTTTATACGAAGTATAGAGAAAGTATTGTAATCGTGCACAAAAATCACTTGAAATTTTAACAATTTTCACCGTATTACACCTCAGTCCTTCATCACATCCGAAGTATAGAGGACTTATTTTAATCGGGCAAAAAATATCAATCCAGATTTATCAAAATTAAGAGGTTTTATGCGTAATCCAGTCTGAAAAACTGAGCTTTGCAATTCTGTCCGTATGTCTGTGTGTCTGTCTGTGTGTGTGTCTGTGTGTAAACACGATAACTTGAGTACCGTTACAGCTAGGTTGATGAAATTTCATATATAGGTATTTTATCAAAATCGTAGATCCGTATCAACTTTTGAGCGATTTCCGACAACCGGAAGTGGTACTTTTTCTACTTTGAATTTTTCAAAAGCCTATAACTTGAGTACTATTTCAGATAGATAAATGAAATTTCACATGTAAGTAAAAGATCTAATTCTCTACCTTCTATCAAATTTTGAGTAATTTCCGTTGACCGGAAGTACTAATTTACGCTATTTCCGATTTCTCAAAAAACTCATGTAAATTTATAAAGAACTAATAATATTGCGCACTATTATGCGCTTTTTGCTTTGGCGTTCACTTGGTGCGCAATTCTTTTTTCTACTAGATTTTATTCTATTTTTAAAAGTTTAAGTAAACAAAAATCATGTCTATATTCCGAGTTGCCATCCCACGTAGTGTTATATTAGAATATTCGAGAAAGTTTAGGGGAGATCACTCCCGGTTTATTTTATTTAAAGACAAGACAATAAATGGACATTACCTGTAAAATATTTGGATATGTCCTCTTGACTGGCCATACTGTTGTGTTCAGATAGACGACTGAATTTATTTACTGGCAATATAAAACAGCAAAATGTAGGCCTATTTAGTCAAGTAATAACGGTGAGAAAATGTACAAATAAATTATTTTGATAAATCATTAGTGACTTTCGCAGTATCAGCGGTTTACCTTTTAAGTTGATATTCATCAGATTTTAATGGGTGATTGTACGCTACCGTTGGTAACACATTTTTGAGAATGTTAAAAAAACTTTTTAGATGTGCTAAATCTGGGTATTTTCATGAAACGTGTGAGGTTAGTTTTGTTTATCATCTGTACGTCCCAGGGTAAAAATCTATGTAAATTATTTACGGTAGTGTATTAGATTTGTGGACACGTCTGGGTTAGGGTTATATATTTGGACGCAAACATAATCTATAAAACATGATCTATAAAACATGATCTATAAAACATGATCTATAAAACATGATCTACAAAACATGATCTATAAAACATGATCTATAAAACATGATCTATAAAACATGATCTTACTAAACTTTAAAGCGAATGCCTGACAATAATTCAAACAATTATAAATAACATTAATGACAAACTAAAGATAGCAATACACACGATCCCAAGACTAATCATTAACTTTACACGATCCCATTTTTTGAAAAGTTTAACCGACTTCTAGCTACAGCACAAAATAATAAACATGAGCAAATAAATAGGCCTAGCACAAAATATAAACTTAAGTATAATCTTTAACGAAACCTTAAACATAACATTTATCCAACATTACAAATACAGCGTTGTTACCTTCCCCAAATGTAGTAAAATAGAAATATAACTAGTAAAGCCTACCATAGCAGGCTTCATATGAATATGTTTTGTTTGTTGTCAACATATGTCGCCAGTCACGTGATTGGGATAAGCTATGACGTCACATAACGATCGCTGAGCATGTGAGGGTGACTGGAAGGTTGTCAACAGGTGAGGATGTGTGAGGACAAATTGTGTGGGGACAAAATATGTGAGGACATATTGTGTGGGGACAAAACATGTGGGGATAAAACATTTGGGGACAAATTGTGTGGGGACAAATTGTGTGGGGACAAAATGTGTGGGGACAAAATATGTGGGGGGAAATATATGTGGACAAAATATGTGGGAGGAAATATATGTGGGCAAAATATGTGGGGGGAAAAATTTGTGGTGGGACAAAATATGTGGGGATAAAAAAAATTAAATCACCGATACTGGGAAGTGTTAAAAGCGATTAAAAATAAAACTAGTGCAGATTATTATTGTTTTTCCCTTTTTTTTTTGCAACTCTTTTTGACTTGTTCTGTATTCGGTACATCATTGGCTGTTCCCCTGACGAGTTATAGACTAACTTAGCCAATTATTTTATATGATTTATCTAATCGAGATCCACAAGAATATTTTATTTTTATTATGTGCAGACAACTCTGGTTTACTGCTGTAGAAAAATATTTTACCGGTAGCCTCCCTTTGACCGCAAAATCATCAGAATGAAATTATTTGTTAAATAATCACTGACTGAAGGCTACTGGACCTCCAGAAATGTTTACATTATTGTGTTGACATCCCAACAGAGGCGTAGCGAGGGGGGGGGCGGGGGGTGCGGACCGCACCGGGTGACACCATTTAGGGGGGTGACACCAAGGCAAAAAATAGCAAAATACATAGAGAAAAACTTGAGGGAGGGGTGCAAATCGAAAGTTTGAGGGGGAGGGGGGTGCAAATCGAAAACTTGAGGGGGAGGGGTGCTAATCGAAAGTTTGAGGGGGGTGCAAATTGAAAATGTGTCCCCAGGAAGGGTCGCTACGCCTCTGGGGGGTGACACCATTAAGTGCTGCACCGGGTGACACCCGACCTCGCTACGCCACTGCATCCCAAGATTCACTAAAAATAGATTGATCAAAATTATTAAAACTGATCTAAAGATGTGATCATAAAAAACCGATACAGTCACACACACACACACACACACACCACGCACACTGTAAAAAAAAAAGTTAGTAAAACAAGTGAAATATTTGTTTATTTAAAAAAAAACACAAAACAAGGGACACAATTAGAAAGATCACAACTGTTTTACGAGTTAGTGACTATTTCTTGTTTATGTCCCTTGGATAAATGCAATTAACGTCGTATCTGCCTGTGGCATAGCTTTTGTTTCATAACCTCGGTGGGAGGTGGGGGGAAGGGAAGAAGGGGGCAGCTCCCTATTTTTGACACCCTCTGGGGAGGAGGGGTGTAGCTCCCTATTTTTGACACCCCTATATGTCACACGTCACCTATGCCACTGGTGTTTGGAATGTGTTGAGCTCATTATACCATAACAGGTACAATTAACATTGTAACTTTTGATTGCCGGTATGTACAATATTTATCTTTGGTTGTTGATTGCCGGTACAATAACATTTTAACGTGTGCAAATCTGTGATATGTTAACAAATCTGTTAACAAATCTGTTAACAAATCTGGGACATGTTAACAAATCTGTTAACAAATCTGGGACATGTTAACAAATCTGTTAACAAATCTGGGACATGTTAACAAATCTGGGACATGTTAACAAATCTGTTAACAAATCTGGGACATGTTAACAAATCTGTTAACAAATCTGGGACATGTTAACAAATCTGTTAACAAATCAGGGACATGTTAACAAATCTGGGACATGTTAACAAATCTGTTAACAAATCAGGGACATGTTAACAAATCTGTTAACAAATATGGGACATATTAACAAATCTGGGACATGTTAACAAATCTGTTAACAAATCAGGGACATGTTAACAAATCTGTTAACAAATATGGGACATATTAACAAATCTGGGACATGTTAACAAATCTGTTAACAAATCTGGGACATGTTAACAAATCTGGGACATGTTAACAAATCTGGGACATGTTAACAAATCTGTTAACAAATCAGGGACATGTTAACAAATCTGTTAACAAATATGGGACATATTAACAAATCTGGGACATGTTAACAAATCTGTTAACAAATCAGGGACATGTTAACAAATCTGTTAACAAATATGGGACATATTAACAAATCTGGGACATGTTAACAAATCTGTTAACAAATCTGGGACATGTTAACAAATCTGGGACATGTTAACAAATCTGTTAACAAATCTGGGACATGTTAACAAATCTGGGACATGTTAACAAATCTGGGACATGTTAACAAATCTGGGACATGTTAACAAATCTGTTAACAAATCTGGGACATGTTAACAAATCTGTTAACAAATCAGGGACATGTTAACAAATCTGTTAACAAATATGGGACATATTAACAAATCTGGGACATGTTAACAAATCTGTTAACAAATCTGGGACATGTTAACAAATCTGTTAACAAATCTGGGAAATGTTAACAAATCTGGGAAATGTTAACAAATCTGGGAAATGTTAACAAATCTGGGACATGTTAACAAAATTGGGACATGTTAACAAATCTGGGAAATGTTAACAAATCTGGGAAATGTTAACAAATCTGGGAAATGTTAACAAATCTGGGACATGTTAACTCTGAAACGAGGCACGCACGCGCCGTCCGTTGAGTGGCTGAGGTGGGCGGAAGTTGTCCGCCATGAACCCGTCGTCCCCTGGGTGGGGGTGATCGCCCTTGACAAATGTACACAGGCGGCGAAAGTTCTCCATCTGAAATAAAAGGGGAGGTTATTGATGATTTTGGCTGAGTGAGGTTACGGCCCTTGTAAGAGCTATTGGAAGGGACGCAGTTCTCCAGCTTTCTCTCCCTGATCTGAGATAAACTGAGTACTTTCAATTAGAGCAATTGTTGCTGTTGTGATCAGAAGATGAAACTTACCTGTGGTAGTGACGTCATCAGTGGGTACCTAAGGACGATCCACGTGACATTCTCAGAACAAGGGGGCGTGGTCAGTGACCCCTCGTAGGTCCAGAAGTCCCAGAGAGCTGGGTCTGGCGGAGAGTGGAAAGGTCAAGGTCATTACATGGGGTTGTGAGTGGTGGTGCTACACAGACACACACAGACAAACACACAGACAAACACACAGACAAACACACAGACAAACACACAGACACACACAGACAAACACAGACAAACACACAGACAAACACACAGACATGCGCATTAACAAACACACAGACATGCATACACTCAGACACACAGAACCACACAACTCACAGACACACACACACACTGAGAACCACACAACACACACAGACACACACAGACACACACAGACAACTCACCAGGCAGGAATGTTGACGGATTGAATGGACCGTTTAAGGTTTTTTGTCGACCCTGGAATTTATTTCAGATTTTAAAATACATTTTATTAAGTTATCGTTTAAACGACAAAATTTAAAAATAAAAGAATTCACCCACTTGGTTGTACAATTTGTAGACACTGAAACACGTTGTAAAGTTTGACTATACGTGTCAAATTATCTCCCTTTCTAATAGATCAACATTGTGTTACTTCCCTTGTGTGGATGTCGTATGATTTAAGACCACGTGACACCTTCAAATCACGTGGTGTAGTCTACTTGTCACGTTATTTAACTAACGTGATTTTACACTGACCAGGACTTGATGTCAACGTTTGACAACGTCATACAGCCCACTCACTACTGTGACGTCATTGTTCAGGTAAGTGACGTCAGACTCACCTTGTACAAGACGTCCTCCAGAGCATCAGCCACGATTCTCAGACCGTTGTGTTCACGTCCAATCTGGGGACACATTAGGTGGGGGGAGGGGGGGGTACAGCTCTATGAGACACAGAAATATTTTAATGCATTGCAGTCAAAATACATTGTTGAGAAATAAAATGTAGACAAAAGGGCAAATGTAGTTGATTAAAGAAAAATGGTTGGCCATAAATTTGACATCACACCTACGGTCAGAGCTGTGAGTACACGTAGTATCTATACTGACGTCACAGTTAAAACTGACCAGGTGTTGGGTCATGGACAGGTGACCTTGACCTGGATCATTACCTGTCCAAACATGGCGACTATAGCTATCCCATGTCGACTGCCCACAGCGTCCTCAATGCTTGTGTACAGCTTAGAGTTCCAATGGACAAACTGGATCTGCTCATGTGGACAGTAATTAGGTTAATTAGCAATAGGTAAACACTCCTCCGCGATACTAACTAAATTTTTAAAGTTGAGACAATGTTAAGACTAAAGATTTTTTTTACCTAAGTATTAACACACCACCATGTACAAATGGACAAACAACACAATCTAGACAACAATCCCCCACTCCTGCCCCAATGATTGAAACGAGGCTGACCTCCATAGGAAACGCCCCCCCTCCCCCACATGAGACTGACCTCCATAGGAAACGCCTTATGGTTGACCAGGTGCCCTGACCCCCCCCCCACGCCTGCCCCCCCACCCCCCCCCCCACCCCCCACATGAGACTGACCTCCATAGGAAACGCCTTATGGTTGACCAGGTGCTCTGACCCCCCCACCCCCCCACCCCCTGCCCCCCCCCACCCCCCCACCCCCCCCAACCCCCCACATAAGACTGACCTCCATAGGAAACGCCTTGTGGTTGACCAGGTGCTCTGACCCCCTCCCCCACCCCCCCCCACCCCCTGCCCCCACGCCCCACCCCCTGCCCCCACCCCTGCCCCCCCCCCCCCACATGAGACTGACCTCCATAGGAAACGCCTTATGGTTGACCAGGTGCTCTGACCCCCACCCCCACCGCCTGCCTCCCCCCCTGCCCCCCACCCCCTGCCCCCCCCCCCCCCCCCACATGAGACTGACCTCCATAGGAAACGCCTTATGGTTGACCAGGTGCTCTGACCCCCTCCCCCACCCCCCCCCCACCCCCTGCCCCCACGCCCCACCCCCTGCCCCCACCCCTGCCCCCCCCCCCCACATGAGACTGACCTCCATAGGAAACGCCTTATGGTTGACCAGGTGCTCTGACCCCCCCACCCCCCCACCCCCTGCCCCCCACCCCCCACATGAGACTGACCTCCATAGGAAACGCCTTATGGTTGACCAGGTGCTCTGACCCCCCCACCCCCCCACCCCCTGTCCCCCCCCCCCCCCCCCACCCCCCACATAAGACTGACCTCCATAGGAAACGCCTTGTGGTTGACCAGATGCTCTGACCCCCACCCCCTGCCCCCCCCCCACCCCCTGCCCCCACCCCTGCCCCCCCCCCCCCACATGAGACTGACCTCCATAGGAAACGCCTTGTGGTTGACCAGGTGCTCTGACCCCCGGTCACAGTCCTTACCCCAGTGGAACCGGATCTCTGACAGCTCGTACTCGCTGCCGTCTCGTAGTGGGCCGCCGGACAGCACTGTCGGCAAGATAGGCAATACGTTAGGCAAGACAGGAAATACGTTAGACAAGACAGGAAATACGTTAGGCAAGACAGGAAATACGTTAGGCAAGACAGGAAATACGTTAGGCAAGACAGGAAATACGTTAGACAACACAACATTGTAGGCAAGACAGGCAATACGTTAGGCAAGACTGTTGTGACGATCTTTTTATCGGTCACAGTCTTGTCGGGAGAGGACATATTTATTTTTATTTATTTAGAAACCTGTTAACTGTTATGTTGGTAAGTATGTTAAGCCCCGCCCCTCCTTACGACGTGGCTAGCCTATCACAACTATTGATTTCAACAACTAGACAATATTGTCTACTTTGTTTTATTGCCCACACCATCCTAAGATAAATCCTTGCCTTTGTTTCTATAACCCAGCACACACAACTGTGTATTACCACATTAAGTGATGGGTGTTTGTGTGAACTAGCTCGTGTAGATGGTGTTGTGGAGTGCCATATGTAGATTGTGTTGTGTCGTGCCATATGTGGTGTGCCATATGTGGTGTGCCATATGTGGTGTGCCATATGTGGTGTGCCATATGTGGTGTGCCATATGTGGTGTGCCATATGTGGTGTGCCATATGTATATTGTGTTAGGGTGTGCCATATGTAGATTGTGTTGTGGTGTGCTATATGTAGATTGTGTTGTGGTGTGCTATATGTAGATTGTGTTGTGGAGTGCCATGTGGTGTGCCATATGTAGATTGTGTTGTGGTATGCCATATGTAGATGGTGTTGTGGCGTACCATATCTAGACTGTGTTCTGGCGTGCCGTGTCATGTATGATATGCACATCGCTCGACATGTACATGGTAAACTAATCCCAAGCTATTGATTCCCAACTTCTCTCTCGGCTACAACAGTCTAATCGCATCATTTGTTAACTGGTTACCATGGCAACAGGCTTACATCGACCTTTGTTTTATTTATCTCTCACGACATTTGCTGTTGTTGGCGGGGTTGTCAGTTAGGTTGTCAGTTAGGTTGTCAATTGGGTTGTCAGTTAGGTTGTCAATTGGGTTGTCAGTTAGGTTGTCAGTTAGGTTGTCAGTTGGGTTGTCAGTTAGGTTGTCAGTTGGGTTGTCAGTTGGGTTGTCAGTTGGGTTGTCAGTTAGGTTGTCAGTTAGGTTGTCAGTTGGGTTGTCAGTTAGGTTGTCAGTTGGGTTGTCAGTTAGGTTGTCAGTTAGGTTGTCAGTTGGGTTGTCAGTTGGGTTGTCAGTTGGGTTGTCAGTTAGGTTGTCAGGTTGTCAGTTGGATTGTCGCTTGGTAACATTTTTTCTCCTCTACATGAGGTCACTTTCTTGGCCATTTGTTCAGTTTGTATTTGCTAATTGGCTATTTTTTCTTGATTATTTGTTCAGTTTTTATTTTCTAATTGGCTATTTTTTCTTGGCCAACGGATTTATTTGATTAGCAACTGTAATCAAGATTCAAGTAGAGCCGACTATACCACAACCTTTACGTACCCAGCCCAGCCCACCTCCTCCCCCCACCCCCACCCCCACCCCCACCCCACACTAACCGAACCACGTACAAGAACTTCATGTGTTTCACTACGAGCTTATCCCAACGTAATTTAAATGTGAGGAAACGTTTGGAAGAAATACTTCTATCGGTTCTCCCAGGTTTCACGACAAGACGTATTTCATTAAAGTCAACTTTAAAGTTGCAAGTCTAGACAGTTGCATTCAAACAAGTTAAAACCCGTGCCTTCATGTTCACTAACATAGAATAAGAGACAACGTGTCTTGTGATAGTGTACAATATGAAATGTCAAAACAAAGATTGTCATTTGTCAGTTAATTAATTTAAAAAAATGTATCTTCATTACATGGGATCAACTCCACAGAAATATTTTTAACTGGAGTTGAGAAATCAATAAAGTTATGGAGGCTGGTCTGGTTATCTGTTGTTTTACTTTGTTGGTTATAATTATCTACAATTTTCTGTCGTTGTCTTGTGTGGTCTGTACAGTAACCAGGCTAGCTGTTTCATATGTCAAACACATACAACTTACCGCTCCAAATGTCAAACACACACAACTTACCGCTCCAAATGTCAAACACCCACAACTTACCGCTCCAAATGTCAAACACATACAACTTACCGCTCCAAATGTCAAACACACACAACTTACCGCTCCAAATGTCAAACACACACAACTTACCGCTCCAAATGTCAAACACACACAACGTACCGCTCCAAATGTCAAACACACACAACTTACCGCTCCAAATGTCAAACACACACAACTTACCGCTCCAAATGTCAAACACACACAACTTACCGCTCCAAATGTCAAACACATACAACTTACTGCTCCAAATGTCAAACACACACAACTTACCGCTCCAAATGTCAAACACCCACAACTTACCGCTCCAAATGTCAAACACATACAACTTACCGCTCAAAATGTCAAACACACACAACTTACCGCTCCAAATGTCAAACACACACAACTTACCGCTCCAAATGTCAAACACACACAACTTACCGCTCCAAATGTCAAACACACACAACTTACCGCTCCAAATGTCAAACACATACAACTTACCGCTCCAAATGTCAAACACCCACAACTTACCGCTCCAAATGTCAAACACATACAACTTACCGCTCCAAATGTCAAACACACACAACTTACCGCTCCAAATGTCAAACACCCACAACTTACCGCTCCAAATGTCAAACACACAAAACTTACCGCTCCAAATGTCAAACACACACAACTTACCGCTCCAAATGTCAAACACACACAACTTACCGCTCCAAATGTCAAACACACACAACTTACCGCTCCAAATGTCAAACACATACAACTTACCGCTCCAAATGTCAAACACACACAACTTACCGCTCCAAATGTCAAACACCCACAACTTACCGCTCCAAATGTCAAACACACACAACTTACCGCTCCAAATGTCATACACCCACAACTTACCGCTCCAAATGTCAAACACACACAACTTACCGCTCCAAATGTCAAACACCCACAACTTACCGCTCCAAATGTCAAACACCCACAACTTACCGCTCCAAATGTCATACACCCACAACTTACCGCTCCAAATGTCAAACACCCACAACTTACCGCTCCAAATGTCAAACACCCACAACTTACCGCTCCAAATGTCATACACCCACAACTTACCGCTTCAAATGTCAAACACATACAACTTACCGCTCCAAATGTCAAACACACACAACTTACCGCTCCAAATGTCAAACACCCACAACTTACCGCTCCAAATGTCAAACACCCACAACTCACCGCTCCAAATGCCATACACCCACAACTTACCGCTCCAAATGTCAAACACCCACAACTTACCGCTCCAAATGTCAAACACACACAACTTACCGCTCCAAATGTCAAACACACACAACTTACCGCTCCAAATGTCAAACACCCACAACTTACCGCTCCAAATGTCAAACACCCACAACTTACCGCTCCAAATGTCATACACCCACAACTTACCGCTCCAAATGTCAAACACCCACAACTTACCGCTCCAAATGTCAAACACCCACAACTTACCGCTCCAAATGTCAAACACACACAACTTACCGCTGCGTCCGATGGATTCGATCCTAAGTCCCGAGTCGACTGAAACCAAAACCAAAGATCGTGTTAGTTGAGAGATTTGTACATCTGTACGCATGAGGTTATATTTGTTGAGAGGTGTGTGCATCTGTACGCATGAGGTTATATTTGTTGAGAGGTGTGTATATCTGTACACATGAGGTCAAGTTTGGGTCTGTCAGCTGATAAAGTAGAAACAAACTCTTACAGGTTTTGTTAAATATTCGTGTTTTTGGACAGCTGAAGTAGAGTTAGTCCATAACAAACCAATAGTAAATTAAAACTTATATCACTTAGGCAACCTTCTACAGCCATAGTTGATCCCCTCTAAAACAGACCCTACTACAACTGAGCCCCTCTACCACTGACCCCCTCTACCACTGACCCCTCTACCACTGACCCCCTCTACCACTGACCCCCTCTACCACTGACCCCCTCTACCACTGACCCCCTCTACCACTGACCCCTCTACCACTGACCCCCTCTACCACTGACCCCCTCTACCACTGACCCCTCTACCATTGACCCCCTCTACCACTGACCCCCTCTACCATTGACCCCTCTACCACTGACCCCCCCACCACCGACCCCTACTACCACTGACCCCCTCTACTACCGACCCCTCTACCACTGACCCCCTCTACCATTGACCCCTCTACCACTGACCCCCTCTACCACTGACCCCCTCTACCATTGACCCCTCTACCACTGACCCCCCCCCCCACCACCTACCCCTACTACCACTGACCCCCTCTACTACCGACCCCTCTACCACTGACTCCTCTAACACTGACCCCTCTATCACTGACCCCCTCTACCACTAACCCCCTCTACCACTGACCCCCTCTACCACTTACCCCCTCTACCACTGACCCCCTCTACCACTGACCCCCTCTACTACCGACCCCTCTACCACTGACTCCTCTAACACTGACCCCTCTATCACTGACCCCCTCTACCACTAACCCCCTCTACCACTGACCCCCTCTACCACTAACCCCCTCTACCACTGACCCTCTCTACCACTAACCCCCTCTACCACTGACCCCTCTGTTACTGACACCCCTACCACCGACCTCTACTACCACCGACCCCCCCCCCCACCACTGACCCCCCCCCCCACCACAGACCCCCCCCCCCCCACCACAGACCCCTATGACCCACCTTGTTTAGGCCGAGGAAAGACGACCAGCGTATAGCCGTTGTTGAGTACCTCAGTCTCGCGTGACGTGGAGTAGTTAAATTTTAACGGTTTCTCTGCCAGAGTTTTGTCGAAGAGGGCGTCGTTGGAGATGAGGTCAATGGGGGACTGGTTACTTCCGCTGGCCTCTGGGTAATACATGCCCCATTCCGAGCACTCTGTGGAACATGGGGGGGGGTCAAATGTTTATTTCGGTGTCAAGATTTACATTTTCTTGAACTTCTAAGAATAGTTTTTCTAAATTAAAAAATACGTTTTGCATTCATCTAGAAATAATTTGGCCAATATTTTATACATTTGGCCATCATTTTAAAATATTTGGCCAACATTTAGAAACAATGGGCCATTATTTGAAAACGTTTGGCCAATATTTTCAAATATTTAGTCAGCACCCTCTAAGTCAAGATTTAAGAACAATGACTCACACAGAGAACACCAGCATCAACATTTGTCAATCATGACAAAAAAATGTATTGTGTTGAGATGTGGAGACCAAATATGTAAATTAAACTTGGAAAAGCGCGCGTCTACTTTTAAAAATAGATAAGCGGAAAAAAAAAACGTGTCTGTTTATTCAGTCAATTTAATACTTCTATTTGATCAGGAGAAACGACACTAGAGCCTAGATGTAACAACAACAACAGCTTATTGCCCACAAATGTTTAGTGGAATCAAAGGAAAATAAATTGAAATACTTAACCAGACAGGTGTAACTAACGTTCACGTGCATGAAACAGGTAGTTAGGCGATCATGGAACGTCAACACATTGATAAATTAAAAGGTTGGCAATCTGGTAATTAGTAGACCCTGCGGTAGTCAGCTATAGGTCATCACAACACTACCTACACAATATAACTCACACAACACTACCAACACAACCCACACAAGAAAACACACACTACCCACACAAAACTACCCACACAACACAACTCACACACAAAAAAATCAGCAGCTACCTACCCTTATTCTTAGGGTCGTGAAAAACCTTCCTGTTGACCGCTTTATCTGGCCAGTACATGGGGCTGGGGTTGGGACTGGGGTCCCCCTCCCCACTGTCCACGACCCTGCTCCTCTGCAGCAGGCCCCGACCCCGGTGTTTTAACGAATCCATGTTTTAACCTAATTAATCAGCAACCAGCATGTACGTCATCACACACGTGAGCTGTACCTGTTTTTGTGACGTCACATCAGTTCTCTAAACACAACCTCCAGGTTGGGTTAGGTTTTAAACTTCCACAAGCACACGAGAATTCAATAGTGCCTTTAGTTTGGGTTCGTTTATAAATACACTGAGCTAAACCCTAGCTAATACAAATCGCTTAATTTATTTATTTCAGACACGACGCATACATTAGAAACCATGTTAACACTTTACAATCCACACGTATCACTCCAAACTTAGAAATATGGTTCAGACACAGTGGGTTAAAGATCTGCTTACATAGGTCTAGTTCCTGTAAGACAGATCTGCTTACATAGGTCTAGTTCCTGTACAGCTAATGAATGAGACCTGTGATTGAGAGGTGGAGGTCTATTTATAGAACACATTGCGAAATGATGGACATATTGATTACGTCATCCACTTATGCCACGGGTCAATACATGTATCCAGATAGACGCTTGACGGTCACGTTCAACTTGTCACGTCATGACGTCACGCCATGACGTCACAATTCGTAACATCCTGGACGTCCACAAGTATCTGAATGACGTCAAAATGTTGAAAGAAGTGTCTGAATGACGTCACATAAAAAACAGCAGTATTTAAGTGACGTCCCACAAACGACAGCAGTATCAAACAAAACCCAACTCTGGAACTCGCTGCCAGACAGACGAGGCTGGGTGGAGGGTGGAACAACAAATGTCAGCGAGAAGGGTGAGTACAGCAGATATTTGAAGGTTTCCAAAGATAGGAGCTGACACCTTGCTCAATACGACACGATGGATCGATGCCAAATTGTCAGTGACAGACAATGTGGCAAATTGTGAGTGACAGACAATATGGCAAATCAAGGACTCGCCTGGCCAATTTTGTCTTGCTCCAGATAAGAATCCAATAAACACAATCTGGGCGTAAATAACAACCTTGTCAACTCACGCCCAAAACTGCTGAGTTTTAGAATCTTACAGCAAACATTATTTTTTAATTGAAGGTGGGTGTTGGAACTGACCACTAATCCAACAACTAAGAACTGACCACTAATCCAACAACTAAGAACTGACCACTAATCCAGCAACTCAGAACTTACCACTGATACAACAACAAAGAACTGACCACTAATCCAACAACTAAGAACTGACCACTAATCCAACAACTAAGAACTGACCACTAATCCAGCAACTCAGAACTTACCACTGATACAACAACAAAGAACTGACCACTAATCCAACAACTAAGAACTGACCACTAATCCAACAACTAAGAACGGACCACTAATCCAACAACTAAGAACTGACCACTAATCCAGCATTTAACGAGAGGGCACACAGGGTCAGGTAAATCACAATTCTGCTAACCAACAGGTTAGGTAAATCACGATTCATCTAACCAACAGGTCAGGTAAATCACGATTCTGCTAACCATGTTTACCGGCACAAATTTGTCCACAAACTGATTATTGATTTCTTTTCCCATTGGTCGATCATGATAACACACAAGTTACCCCCCTTGTAAAATTAACATCGGTTTATTACATTATTATCTGCCCTTGTAGAACTAACAGCTAAGTTCGTCGAGTTTATTAAGACCTGACTTTGACGAATTAACACTGTCATTTTTATCCTTCAAACATTTGCATTTTGCATGAAAATTAACGTGCTAACAACAATAAATGCATGTATATTTTTAAATACAGTTAGTCAAATTTATTATAATTTATTAAATGCCATATTGCACACGCTAACATAAGGCAACATATGGTATCAGAAACATAAGGCACAAAGTAACGGGGATGACAATAGCCTAGAGGTGCTATGATCATCAAACAGCCTGTCCTAGACTCAAGCATTGAATGTGAACTACATAACACCACTGGAGACACAAACAAGACAAAGTAGATGGATGCCGACAGTGATTAGACCAACACACACGTTTCATAGATTACATGTATAAATATAGATCTGTTATTAAATAGATGTCTCCATGTTCACGAATATCTGTTACCAATTGGTTTCGAGCTTTCAAATGTGTAAGCACCATGAAATAAGTAGTTTTAATATCGTGAGCTATCGTCAGCCAGCATTAATTTGAGAAATTTTTTTTTAGCCTACAAAAACCACTTGCAAATTTAATCAAAATCTTTTTAGTGCTTCAGGGTTTTTTGAGGAAAACAATAGGATGTTTTCTAATCAAAGTCTCATATATATATATATATATATATATATATATATATATATATATATATATATATATATATATATATATATATATATATATATATATATATATATAAGGAGACTAAGTTATTTATTTATTTATTATTATCGGTAGGTTACCGTGAAGGAATGTTAGTTTACAGCGACAGTGGGGTTCCTTCTTTGGGTGCAGCTAGTGCGGTAGTATTATGGGGTGAAGAAATGTACTAAGGACTTGAGGCCTTCCTATCTATGTTCAGAGGCCTCAGGAACCAATTCTTTATCTCGCACTTCTTGGAGTTTATTGTCACAGCTAACAGTTAATTTTAAAAATAAAGCGGGAGTATATCCCCTAAACTTTTTCGAATATTGTTATATATATATTCTTATATAACACTACGGGGGATGGCAACTCGGGATACAGACAATATTTTTAGTTACTTAAACTTTTTAAAATAGAATAGAATCTCGTAGAAAAAAGATTTGCACACCAAAGTGTGTATAATATGTGCGAAATATTATTAGTAAATTCATATGCGTTTTTTGAAAAATCTGAAATAGCGTGAAGTACTAATTAAGGTCAACGGAAATTACTCAGAACTCGATACAGGTAGAAAATTAGATATATTACTTATGTGTGATTTTTTTGTACGATTACAATATTTCCTCTGTACTTCAAGAAAGTTAAAGATATGTCTTCACGTTAAAAGTTAAGGCTGAAATGGATTGGTCTATGTAGGAGACAGAGGCGTCGCAAGGCGGGGATTGCGTACCGCACCAGGTGACACCATTTAGAGGGTGACACCAGGACAAAAAAAAAAGTGCAAAATATATAGAAGAAATATGCTTTTTGCTAAGTCACACACACACACACACACATATATATATATATATATATATATATATATATATATACATATATATATACATATATATATATATATATATATATATATATATATATATATATATATATATATATATATATATATATATATATATATATATATATATATATATATATACTATTTTCCATTTGGTTGGGGGGGGGGGGGGGGTTGTGACACCATGATGTTCCGCACCGGGTGACACTGGACCTAACGACGCCACTACAACGTGGTATGCTAGTTGCTACATTTAACCTAGGAGCTACATTTTGTTAACGGTAAAATAAAGTATATTCGTAGCGTATTAATTGGGATAATCTGTAAAATGCGTGAATTCAACCGGTGGGAGGGTCTGTGCCACTCCTCTACTGGGAATATAAACTCTAGTATAGGATAACTAGACGTACTTTCATTAAGGTCTGATGACTAAGTGTCAATTCAATGCACAAAGTTTACAGCCTTAGTAGACATTTTACCTAAGTGCTACATTTTACCTAGGTGCTACAATTTACCTAGTTTCTTTGAACCCATGCAACCCCCCCTCCCCCCTTACATTCTAGGTTATCGAACAACCATGTGACATTTTGAGCGCGAAATTTTTTTCTTGACATTTACTGTAGCAGTTATCCTGAAAACTAAACATTTCAACATACCAAATATTTCAACATACCAAACATTTGTTAAAATGAGATATTACACTTCAGGAACTAGAGAATTAGTGCATGTAACGGTGTATGATTCACTGTATAAATGTTATGTCAATTTTTGGGTGTAGAGACTATGATACGTGTTTACAATCACCATACACAACAATGTCACCAGTCACCATTGTTGTCATGGTTACCGTCTCTAGTCACCACTCACAACGTTGTCACCATTGTTGCCATGGTTACCGTCTCTAGTCACCACTCACAACGTTGTCACCATTGTTGCCATGGTTACCACCTCCAGTCACCACACACAACACTGTCACCATAGTTGCCATGGTTACCGTCTCCAGTCACCACACACAACACTGTCACCATTGTTGTCATTACCGCCTCCAGTCATTTAGCCACAGTCGTGCACAATTTATCGAACAAAGGGCGGTAACTATGGCAACAAGCTTGATACGGATATGTCGTTCGTCGATACATCAGTTGGTTGTGATGTCGCCATGTTGATGTGATGATGTTGTCATGTAGATGTGATGATGTTGTCATGTAGATGTGGCGATGTCGCTATGTTGATGTGATGATGTCGCCATGTTGATGTGATGATGTCGCCATGTTGATGTGATGATGTCGCCATGTTGATGTGATGATGTCGCCATGTTGATGTGATGATGTCGCCATGTTGATGTGATGATGTTGTCATGTAGATGTGGCGATGTCGCTATGTTGATGTGATGATGTCGCCATGTTGATGTGATGATGTCGCCATGTTGATGTGATGATGTCGCCATGTTGATGTTGTGATATCGCCATGTTGATGTGATGATGTCGCCATGTTGATGTGATGATGTCGCCATGTTGATGTTGTGATGTCGCCATGTTGATGTTGTGATGTCACCATGTTGTAATGTCGCCATGTTGTGATGTCGCTAAGCTGAAGTTGTCAAGTTGTCATGTTGATGTGATGATGTCGCCATGTTGATGTGATGATGTCGCCATGTTGATGTGATGATGTCGCCATGTTGATGTTGTGATATCGCCATGTTGATGTGATGATGTCGCCATGTTGATGTGATGATGTCGCCATGTTGATGTTGTGATGTCGCCATGTTGATGTTGTGATGTCACCATGTTGTAATGTCGCCATGTTGTGATGTCGCTAAGCTGAAGTTGCGATGATGTCATGTAGATGTGGAGATGTCGCTATGTTGTAAGGA